ACCATATATACATATATTGGGACCATATTGAGTGATACATATTGATACATATTGGACCATATTGAGTGATACATGTAAGTTCTCTTACTTCGAGAAGCATCATTAATTCTAGCATTCCTAAAAATACCAGAGATGTTAAACCTCTTAAAAAAAGATCTGTTATTAGACACAATTTCGTTTGGACTTATTAATTATTTAATTCAACATGTCAATTGTATTGACACGTTTCTCATCTATATCACAGTCTATATGTTTAAAGAAAGGCATATACCGGGTGATATATAAATCGTGATTGATTAACGTATTTAGTTTCGGTCACTTCGTGTTTCATGGGAAATGACTACAACTTTTGATTTTTAAATGGTACCCTCGGTATATTTTACTTTATTTCGTGACATTTTTTAACTTTTTATTTCTTTTGACATTTTTAATTAAAAAAATTGCATTTAAATATCAATATAGAGTGCCATGGCTGTGTTAAAATCATTAATTTTTAATGAAGGAGTTTTGGAAAAATAGATTTGATCGTCTAAACGGAACGATGATGGCTCATTAGAATATTCGGAAAAATCTTTTTTTTTTCGAATAATTTCGTACTACTGGTATTTCGAGTCAAATTGTGGTTATTGGTTATACATTTACGGCAGTAATGTTTCTAACTATTCTATTACTTTATAAAATACACAGACTGAAATTTAAAATACTATTTTTTTTAAGCGAAAATATCAAAAGAAAGTAAAAATATCTATCAAATAAAGTAAAAAAATAATTAGTAATTTTCCGGTGAAACAGGAAGTGAACGAAACTAATACATCAATCTATCCTGATTTATGTCATATAATAATAATAATAGCTCCCGTATATAGCTTTAACGCCTTGGGAGTAGCAAGGTACAGCTATACTAGAGCAGTTCGGTATACAAGGAAGGTAATGTGGCTAGCACTACGCTTCAACCGCCTATTATGACTTCAGGATTGTGAATCCCAAGTACTCATTTAAGGCTGAGTCGACCTAGGTACCCAAACTATTTTTATTTTAATAAAAATAGTCGGCTTATGAAATGCCGGGTGTGGGAATTGAACCCACACCTTGAGATTGGTAGACGAGAGCCTGTACCTCTACGCCACCGGGCACCTCTATGTCATATACTTTCTCCTTTATGTCATATACTTATACCAAATATCGTTTTTTATCTAAAAAAATTAAAACATTATAGAGGTTAGGTTAGGTTAGGTTAGAGCCACTTTTGAAAAACACTTATAAAAGTAATATTTCTGATTACAATATTACAATATGATTTGAAATTTATTTTTTATCGCTTTAATTTATAATATCGGTTGAAAGTTTAAAAGAAGAAGAAAACGGCAATTTTAACAATAATTTATCAAGGTATATTAAATTTTGGCATGAAACCATATTTACTGTTATGTGGGTGCATTTTTTTGTGAAAACTATTTAACCCACACAAAAAATGTTTAGTAGTAAAAGTTGTAAATTTTACTTTCATCTACATTCTAAAAATATAACATTTATGTTTACCATAATATCTTTTATTTTATCAATTGAACATTAAAAAATCGATTGATAGAACACAAGGTATACACAGGGTTGTACAAAAGGTGTATGCAACAAATGGGTAAAAAGTATTACTGAGGTTTCAGATAAAAGTTTGTGTGGACTTAATTCATCATGCCCAATAATAAAAAATATATACAATAAAATGTTCTTTTGTATATTAAAATGGAATTTGTGGTAGAATATTGAAGTGTCAAAGAGAAATGTTGTTCATAATTATTATTATTTTATATTTATATCAATTTTCATAAACACAGATCTTTTCCCAAACTATTCTAAAGTTATCCGAACAAATGGTTTTTTTTTAAATAAATTATTTTGTTCTTGCGTTGTAATGTTAAGTTTAAAATGGAAATACCTTTTTGTATAGTATTTTTAATTAAAATTTATAATATTTAAGTAAAGATTATTTTTATACTACACAATAAAAAAAATACTATATTTACTACAAAATATACATTGATAAGGGTAAGGTTATGTTATAGAATAAATAAAACTGTACTGATTATACTCCAACAAATAAAAGAAGTATTATTAAGAGTCTATTACGCTTGCGAGTTGCTCTCAGAGGTAAGCGGGTGTATGGCCGGGAGAATAAAGCGGGTGTATGGCCGAAGGAAATATATATCATATTTCGGAAATCTGCCCTAAGTCCGATCCTGTCTCCTGTCGTGTTAAGCCACACCTAAAATTCCAAACACACGTGCTTTGATAAGGCTTGATTAAGGTTTGCAGAGCTTCAGCATTTGCCGTAAAACAGCCAGCAATTTGTTACAAAACCATCTAAATAATATATCACTGTAATCACAAAACTTTACTTCCGTATTGTAACGGAATTTTAAATTATGTCCTTATTTTCGAGAAAATTTAATCCAAACATAAAGAATATTTTGTTGATGTTTGACCATCAAAATCTTAAAAATAAAAAAGATGTCTAAAAGTATGCTACAATACGGATATAGTATAATCCTTTATCTTTAATTTCCTTCTTCATTTGTGTAGAAATACCTAGCCTGTTTTACATAAAACGTTAAATACTGAACGCATATTTTGCTACTTTTTCGGACTAGTGAAACGGACTCTTAATGTTTGCAAGTGCAACTTGTGTCTCGCTAATAATATTAACACATGATGCATTAGAGTACCAGTATTAATTAAATACGTGATAAAATATACATAAGTTTACTCAGATGCTAATTAGAAATTTGATAATATTACGACGAAAATATGTTCTTATCAAATAGATGTTAAATGTATTTTATCTAAATCGCATAGATATGTAACTAAATCATAAGATTTAACTTTTATATGATACGTTATGTTTATAGAACAAAATGTGTTTATAAAGCTCTCGATGACGTTTAGTAGGTAAAATTGTTTGGCAAACTGTTGTTAGTACACTCACCGGCACGAAAAACGATAACCTTAAGATTTTGTTGTTTTTTAAAATTTAATATATTATGTTGAAGTGGGCCGATTTTTTAAACGATTTATAGCTAAATTATTATCTCTTTCTAATTTAAAAATGAAATTTTCCAGACGAGGGAAAAATGTTAATATTTTAGTCAAATTTTGAAACACCCTGTGGAATATGTTAACAAAGCAAGGAATTTAAAATCATTTTATCCTCTAAGTAGATCTTTTCTCGATAGTTCGTTTTTTGATTCATCTCAATAGCTTTATTTTTGTTGGGGATATTCGCTTTCGTGTTTGTTTTTGGTCCTAGTCAACAGACCTATGAAATAGTGTTTATGATTTGGGTAATGTCACTATCGTTAAAAAAACATATTATTATTGTCTTCGTAGGAGAACTTCGAATCGAGTCGAAGTTCAGATTCCTAAATTTGTAATGAATTGCACGACGTAAGGATACAACTTCTGAACTTAAAACCATCTCTGGTAGACCCAAAAGACAATAATCATAGACAACAATAATATTGACTTTTCGATGATATAAGCTTTTTTCGTTTTCCTGTTATTACCGATTCTGAACCGTCCTAGAACTGTGATGCGTATGCGCAGAAGGAAATATGAAGACATTATTTCATTTGCGCATGCGCTGCAGAGTTCTAGGACGGTTCAGAATCGGAAATAATAGGAAAACGAAAAAAGCTATAGACATTAGATAAATCATAAACACTATTTCATAGGTCTGTTGACTAGGACCAAAAGTAAAGGAATGGTTTTAATGTAAAAGTTACGAAAAAATGTTAGTGTCTTCTTCAAAACCGAATATCTCCAACAAAAATAATGCTATTAAGATGAACCGAAAAACAAACTATTGAGAAAAGATGTACCTAGATGACAAAATGATTTTTAAATCGATGTTCTTAAACAGCCGTTAAACGGTAGCCTACTAAAATGCCGTTAATAGATATTGTGACGTCGTTCATGTCGGCGGAAAGTAATGCCTAACCTTAAGCATTTTGCAAGAGCACCAGTGGCTGAGGCTATCGCTTCGTAAGCGAATGGTCCGTGGTTCAAATCTCGGTTTCCCTCTTTTTAGTTGGATTGGTTTAGTTATTTGGCGGGTTGGTTAGCATGGTTATTTAGAGGGTGTTAATTCATTGGTTAGTTGGTTATTTGGTGGGGTTAGTTGATTTTTACTAATTTATATTTGTTTTTTATATTTTTTATCAGTGTCGAGGTTAGTTGCGTTGGTTAAGTTGGTTATTTGGTGGGGTGGATAGCGTTGGTTAGTCCTTATAAAATTTCTATATTTCATAAAGCCGTCAAGTGCGTCACATCAAAGACGTCATACCTATTAACGGCATTTTAGTAAGCTACCATTTAACGGCAGTTTAATACAGCCTTTTTAAATTCCATCCTTTCTTAACATATCCCACAGGTATGGAATATGTTAACAACTTTCACCAAAATATAAACATTTTGTTTTCCCTTGTATAATTGACAGATAGGAACTTTCATTTTTAATTTAGAAAGAGATACTAAAAAGTCAAATAATGTAGCTTACAACCCAACCAAAATATATCAAAACTTTAAGGTGTTAATTTATTAAGTTATTAGGGTTATATTCATTTTTTGTACCGATAAGTTTATTTGCGTTCTTCATACATTTTTAATATAATCAAGTATGATTAAGTAACCTTCATTATAAGTACTGTTATCGAGCAGATGTAAAAATATTTTTTCAATAACTCGAAATGTAGTAACGCGGTATAGTATAAATACGTCTTTCGTAGTACACATACAAATTGAACTTTAGAATTTTTGAAAATGTTGAGTGTATTTTTAGATTTCTTCCTTGGAATTGTATTCCATATTTTATACATTTTTATGTAAGTGGGGCAATTTCATTATCATAATTTGATAAGACGTTCTTAGTAGGAGGTATTTGTTATTGACGCCTTTGCTATTTTGATGTTATATTACATATACACACGTTATTCCAATCAGCATTGTAGTAAGTGTTTTCTCTCGGAGAAAGCGATCGTGATAAAAATATTTTATAAAAATATTTATATGCAGCGAAGTTTCAGTGAATATGTGTTTAGGTTATGTCTTTAAGTTTTTGAATAGGAAAATTTAAAAAGGGTTGATAGTTTTTTCACTATCCAATAAAATTTTTAGTGAGTACGAAATTTCATCATTTATTTCGATATTTTAATTACTGGATCATAAAAATAAATGAAATAATACAAACAAAAATACCTGCTCTAATATTAAAAGAATATGAGCAAATTTTACAACTATAAAATTTATCAAGATATCGAATACTATTGTCATAATATTAAAAATATTCATTTCAAAAAAAAATCTCATATTTTATTTAGTTTTAATAATTATTATTCTTAAGATATTAGAGAAATTTACTTTAATTGGCTTATGAAATTTATAAAATATATTTAAGGGGGATTTATTTAATTACCATTCATTTAACTTATACAATTTCAACTAAAAATAGCTAGGAAAATCATCATCAATCAGCCATAAAGTCCACTGCTGGACGTAGGCCTCCCTTGTATCCTTCCACAACTCCCTATCTTGAGCAATTTGTATCCAGGTACTGTGGATTAGTGTGGATACATCTAAAGTCGTCATGCTCCTGAATACATCATGTCTTAGTCCCATTCTATAATTTTCTTTGACTATCGATCATCGTTTAGCCTTGCAATGCCCTATTCCATTTTAAAGTTGATATTTTTTCTATGACTTATTCTGTCCCTTACTTCGGAATTCGGTCTTTGTCTCCCAGAGATGAGAGATATCCCCAGCATTGATCATTTCATCGCTCTTTGTGTTATTCTGATTTCGTTTGCTGTTTTCTTGGTTAATGTTAGGATCTCCGCTCTATACGTCAGAACAGGTAGTACACATTGATTGAAGACCTTTCTCTTCCTATCTATTATTTCCTATCTATGTATTTATCGGAAGTGCTCCTTTTTGAAAATGTATTTCAGTCGTTCATAGCCAGCCCAGGTTAGTCCTATTCATCTGTTGACTTCGCAAGTTTGGTTATCACGGCTTATACGTATTTTATGACCCAAGTACTTATAAGAAATTGATTCTTTAATTTGATAGTGATTGATATATAGTCCACCGCCAATTATATTAGGTTTGTCATCATTTGGGTTTTTGGGATGTTGATTTTTAGTCCTAACACATAATCAGAATAAAAATAAATAGATAAGAACCGACACTCTTCTATTATTTGCGATTTGAATGAAACATGTGAAGGTTGTGAACATATTGACTAACAAAATTTTATTTTTTAAAAATTGAAAACTAAGTATTGACAGTCATTTATATTTATTATTATATTATCAATTATGACGCCTATATTTTAAATAATTTATTATTTTATATATTACATAATATGTGGTTTGGAAAATGATTTTGAAAAAATAGCTGATTTTGTTTCTTATCGATTAGACACTGACATACATACATCAGTTGCGTTCATGTAAACCCCGATATTTACAGAACTACCAAGGTCTTTTAAGATATATCGATTGTAAAATATAGTAATTTGTCGGCGTACTGTATCTTGTTGGATTTCACAATTTACCGGAAAATAGTATTTTTACAGTTATTATTTTCAAAATATATTGTTCTTACAGTACCTACTGGCGATAAATAGAGATCAATTTTTCAAAGATTTACAAAATATAATATTTTGAATCAATTTTGTATAAGCCAATAGGCACAATTTCTAATATAATACATTTTTTTCTGTTGTTCTTTAGTCGTAAAAAAAATCAATTTTTATGATACTAAACTTGTTTTAATGATATATACAAATGAATATCATTTATTAAACAAACTGACTAAACTAAAAAGACCGACATTAGATGATTTTAACATATTTTTAGCAAATATACAAATGTAAAAGTAGAATAATACAACAATATTATTTATATTTCAGGGTGGCGGAATCTCGAAGAACTTAACTTAAGGAAATTCAAATTCAAATATGGTAAGCCTTTTTATAAATTATTTTATTGTAAATGTCATGGGTATTATAGTATAATTTCGGGGGTTAAAATAAATCTGTTTTGGGATGTAGAATTTATGGGAGGGGGGTTAGTCACCTCGACCTTACAGATCTATTGTGTCCCCCTTTCTTGAGTTATAACTCATCATACAGTCTCAGAGTTTTGACAAAAGCAAGTATCTGAGACGGTTTTACAGAGGTTAATTCTCCATCTCCGATATCAGCATTGGCGTAACTACAGGCTTGCCCGGGGGTGTAAGAAATCCAAACTCTACTTCTTGGTATGCATCTTTCCTTTTTATGAGTTCATTTATTAATTTATCTATTAAGGGAAAAATACAGTTATTCGAAATTTCATTTTTCCGTCTGTAAAATCTGTGTCACTTTTTGCTTCGTCAAAAGGTACTTTTTTGTTCGATTCCTATCGATTAGACACTTTGTGACATATCATACTGGAAAATATTATTTTGTACCTACTAGATTCAGTGAATGGGCTGCATTTTTTTTAAAATTACTTTTCATTTAAAAAGTTGATCGCTTTTGAATTAGAATGAAAGTTGATCGTTTTTAATGCTACTTGACTATCGGATTAGATGGCTATTACTTTTTTTCCGATAGTTCCTATTTTAGAATAGTTGTACGCATCTTTCGATAGCGTAGATTTCTGCCTGAAGGATACTGGGGTAGGTGCCCATTGGTTCGGAGTATTTAGTTTTCGGCCCAAATGCTCCTATCCTTGTTCCTGCTTTGGTTTTGGAAGCATCAGTAATATGTGTTGTTTGCAAAGATAAGTCTTGAATTTCATTAGTGGTGTTTATTAGGATTATAATCGATCAACAATGATTGAAATAGTCTATTCTTTTTTTTCTTGTTTGGTTCTCAAAAAATTAAGAAATTAGAATATTTAACATAATATAACAATACCGACACCTGTTAGCCTGGCATTGACGTCAGGAACATGTGGATTCTATTTCTTCTCTCTTTTATTTTTTAGTCGCAACTTAATATAATCATAATTATATCGTTACAAATATAGGTGACCGTGATGATGAAAGCTGTTGAAAAAAACTTTGACAGTGAAATAAATTTTAATATAATTTTCCATGAAAATTGTTCCCTTATCATAGCAAACATGATCATACAACTTTTTTGATCACATTTTAGACATAGACTTACTGATTGGAAACCATTTTTACATGTTTTTAAATGTATAGTCAGTCTAACCAGTCACAATGACGAGAAAAACAATATAATTTACCTGTCAATTAAAATGATAGACGCAACTGTCACTGGCTTGTAGCCTCCCGTTGGAGAGACTATAGATTCTATGCTACTACGTTTTAATAAAAAAAATGTCGACTTAATAGATTATTACACTTTTTTGATTAGCACATTATTGAGATGCATATACCCCCCCTCCCCCCATAATATTAGCTGTATTTCTATTACCTAAGTATTTGATACCACGAGATATTTTTACGTATTTATAAATTATACATTTTGTTGGAGTTTCGGATTTTAGATATCTAAATAACTGTCTAGAGTTGTGTTTTGTTTCAAATGTCAATCAAAATTATATACCATACGATCGAAAAAAAAAAGGTCTTAATATACAGGGTTGTTCACCACATATGACACAGATAGACAATTTAATTGTGCATCTGATTCTCCTAAAATATACAGGGCATTCCATTTAAATTAAAGAAGTTATTGCCGTTTGAAGCTAATAATTATTTAAAATAAATTTTTAGACACTCTGTATAAGGTAGTATTATTTTTATTATTGCAACACAATAACTGATCAATAAATAAACTTCATTAAATATATAGTATTAAAAACATTGATACCCTTGGAGAAATGAAGCTTTAAAATGTTTACTGCAATTTCACAAAATTGAAAATATTTCAAAAACGGTAAGGTTTAACAAAAAATGTAATAATATACAGGGTGTTCCATTTAAAAAAATACAACTTTGATATTTTTTATTTATTTGGGACACTCTGTATCTTCTAAAAATATTTTTAAATTGTAGCTCTAATAGTCCTTCAACGAACCCCAAACTTACAATTTGTAAAAATCTCATCGTTTAGCTACAATACTCCGTGTCGTATGTGGTGAACAACCTGTATACAGAGATAGCTGAGGAATTACAATCGATGATCAATGACTTATTGCCAGTTGGCCTTAAGAAGGTTGTAATTTATTTTTATATTGTGTAAAAATGATTTTTAAATGGTCTATGGTTTAAAATTCAAGTTTTTTTTTGGAAATTTATTCATGTGTCTGGAAACGTTCTATCATGTTTTAATCGATCTATAATTAGTGTTAATTTTTGACAAGTTTTATGTCAAATTTTTAGTGAATGACGTCTAGAGATTGACCTCGCCAAAATTATCATCGATTGTCATTCCCCAGCCATCTTTGACGCCGTTTTTTTATCATACAGTATTATCCTTCAGGAAGCCTGCCACAAAGTATATTTTTTAACATAAATAGCATTATCATCAAATCTTATTAGAAATTATATGAATATACATTGTCATTTATTTGTAAAAATCTTATCCATGTTTCTTATAAATTCTTTGGTTTGCATATGTCTATAATAATATTATTTGAAAATTGATTGGTATTTCATTTTATTTCAGACCGAAAAACCTCAAATGGAGGGCCAAAACGGTAAAACTACCGAATTAGAAGTATTCTTACCCAAAGATGAATCATCTACCAACGGCATTACCAAGTAAGTTTTTACGATTCTTTTGGTGTTAAGTTATTGAACCAATTAATATATCCTTTTTTATCACATTCCTTATTTACCGCCAGAAAATCGACTTTACTAGACTACTAGACGCCGATTATATGCCGGCATTGATTGAATGCTCATTTTGTAACACGGTACATTACAACGCTCAGCTCAAGTCAATTTCCGTCTTAAGATGTAACAAGAAAATATAATGTAAACACTATTTACATTATCTGCCACTTCTTGAAGTATATTCATATTTGGCAAGAATAGTGGTTACGAAATATATTAAACTTAAATAAAACTAATGATCCATGCATGTTGATGATGCTTATGTTTATTTTTTGTAATTATTAACATAATATTTTTCAAGAAAAACGTCTCCAATAAGGTTATGTCTTGATAGATATAAATATATATAAAAACATGTACAATATTTGATAGAAAATATTAGAACTAATAACCATCTGAAGTTAATTTCTAATAAAATTATTACTTTAATAATATGATTTTAAAATTTGATTATGCAAAATTTCTTAATACTTTATGTTATTTTTCTAGCATTAAAAAAGGATACGGTAGTTGTGGCATTTTAGAAAATACACTATGTAAACATATTGAAAAAAACTTTTTGGCTTCTAAGAAGTTCGAAAAGCAAGTAATTTATCTTATAAAATCAGTATGGTATACGTACAGAGTAAGACAAAGATTGCGCTAAAGTTGATTTATGTTGTGATTGTAAAATTTGCAAAGAAACTGTTTTAAATTATTTCATTTATATAAATTTAATAAAAAATTCTATTTTTTTTTGAACAAATAAGTATTTTTTGTCAATTTTTATCTTTCTAAAATTGCAAAATAAAAAACACTAGTACATACACACCTCATTTCAAAACACTATATTTTTAACGCTGTACACGTGTTTAGGTAACTATATGTTGCATCATGAGCAGATGATTAAACATCAGTTAAACAACAAAGCATTCAGTTTTAAAAATATAGTGTTTTGATTAATAGGCGATGAACTAGTGTTTTATTTTGCTGTTCTGTTTTTCACTGTTCTGTTTTTACAATCAAAGAATAAATAATAGGTCTTTGAATTAAAATGATCGAGAACCATAGCCGTCGTTTTGTTTTATAAATAATTACGATTTTTAGAAACATATCTTATGTCTATCTTTAACATTAATTAATGTTTTATAAATATCGTCAGTTTTTTTTAATGCCTATTTGATAAATTATTTTTTCTTACATTTTATTTTACTTTTTTAGAAACAGTTTTTTCCCAGTTATCACCAACATGATGTTAATAAGCTTTCTGCAATCATTGACTCACCTTGTATATATTATAAATGTAAAAGTTATTTTGGTGTTTATAAAATAGCTCCATTACTAAACTTAATATTCAACTATTTAAAGTCCAAGATGACTGATACAATATTAGCATGCATGCTATATTATGTTATTAAAAAGTTTATGTTCAAGCGGTCGTTGAATTTGACAGTTAAACAATTCTAATATATTTCCAATAATAATTGTTCACATGTGATGATACAAAGCACGCTTGATCATAAAACTTTTTATTCACATTGCATTTAGCTTTAGTCTTTAATTCTCAAGATAAATAATAATCATATAAATCAGTGGCGGCTCGTTGAGTATTTTAAACTGGAGAATACACTAAATTCAAACAATAGACGTTAGAATACTCGTTATCATTATGGTTATAAAAAAACTATTGATATAAATTATATTAGATAAAAGAACACACGTGATGCCAATCGTTGTACTTCTGGGCTCTATGTCTGCTCTGGGAGAAATCATTTTGTTAATGGGATACCCTGTATTTATTTTTTTTTTATTTTGTTTGCTTTGTTATGAGCTGTCTAAATATACAATATAGTCTATACTTTTTCATTAATAAGTTAAAAAGTGCATTATTTAACTTTTTTTAATGTACCCAGATAATTTTGCCTTCCCATCGTGTTATCTTAATAAACTACACTGAAAATAAGCTTGTGCAGTTTTAGATAACACGCTGTTAATCAAAGTAATCGATATTTTTGATACACTTGTGCAATAATACACAGAAACTAGCGTGGAATAGCCAAGAACCAAAAGTTGACGCCGAATAAATTATTTGATTGTTTTTATTACCTAATTTAAATCGGCCGAATAAAATATTTTTATTTTATTTGCGTTTCATCTTTCAAACAACACTATTTTATACCATGCCTAGTACATACCAAAAATCGTTATTTCGAAATTAACGTAGCGACGGGAGCACCAACGCCAATAGTAACCGATCAAATCGCGACAGACAAAACCGAAACCCTAGAAGCGCTCGCGCTCCAGCGACTGCTGGAACGGAGTACGTAGCCGCCGAGGTCGAGCGTCGAAAATCAGTTACAGCAGTTACTTCTGTTCGCGACAGGGAACTAAAACTCTAGGAACGCGACGGCTGGAGCGCGGTAGGTCGCCACCAATGACTAATGAATTCAAGGACAAATAACACCCGATAGCAAATTGTTACCATGGCACCAAACAGTGCCGTGGCCATATTTTTTTCTTAACTTAGCTAGTTGAAGGGATATTTATATGTTTGACAAATGTTTTGACTACGCCTATGGTGTAGGTGGTGGCATAATGTTAACAAAAGGTACAAAACTAGTATAGACGTATTAACACACGTCAAGTACATATAATATCAGAAAAATAATTATCGAACTCAATAAGAAAACGCTAAAAAGGTGGAGCGGACTGTTTATTTACCTATGAAAACGTAACTCCTGGCTCTTTCTTGTCACTCCTGCTTTTACATTTGAAAGCTGAACAACAATCAGCATTGTAATAAAGTTTATACAAAGTTCACTACACACAAACTATTAAAAATTGCTGTTGGTGACCAGCTGATGACTCATTGTTTGCCACCAAAAGAAAAGGCGTCTAAGGTCACAAATTCTGCTGCAGCCCGTATATGGGCGTTACATCTTCTTATATTCTTTAGTCATTGGTCGCCGCCAAGGTAGAGCATCGATGCCCAGTTACAGCAGTTACTTCTGTTCGCGACAGGGAACTACAACTCTAGGAGCGCGACGGCTGGAGCGAACACGTCCCGATCGAGATCGCGCGGCGCTACGGACATACCAGTTCCAGATACTACTGTTGGCGACCGACGAAATCGCGACGGCTGGAGCAAAACACGTCGCTATGCGGTTACTACGGTTCGAGCTAACTTCAAGAGCGATTATAAATAATTTATTTGCAAATTATAAATAATTTATAATTTTGTCGTCATTATGATCGTCGTTCTTCAGTAACAGGTTCCTGATTCGTTGTGGAGCGCGACACGACGTTACAAAAAAATACCGCTCCAAAATCGCGTTACTCAAATACCGACACATCACTAATATGCACTAGACACAAAGTTCGAATAATACAAAATAATTTCAATTACGGTTCCGGTTCCGTGAAAGTTAACTCAAAAACAGTAAATACAACTCGGCAGAAGTTACAATTCTGTCATTATTCCAATACTCATTTATGTCGCTGCGTGCGTCGCGGTCGTTATGTTTTCGTTATCTGCCGACGACGTGGCCGGTTAGCTGACAGCAATGCAGTTCCGCGGATAGGGGCCAATTTTCAGTAGGATCTACATCCATCAGTACTGGCACTGGAGAGAGGTCCGTGAATTCGTATATATCCGGACCTACTCATCTCTAGTGACATACCGATTGCCTATTTCCACATATTTTACCGTTTTCTCACCAGCCGCCGCTGGTATAGCATCTACTAATCTGACCCAAAAATTACCGGGGAATATATTTATGCATGCTAAATCATATTTTTAATATTAAGTCGATTATTTAGTAATTGTGTTTAATTCTTTTCTGTTTTCTTTAGATACAAAATTACAAAAGATGGAGATCTGGAAGCTGATATTCACGAGTTCGATCCATTCAAAGCTAGAGAAAATGAACATCCCGTATCGTAAGTATTGCAGTTATATTTTTCCTATTGTACTCATTTCCCATTGTACTCTATTTCAATTTGCAATCAGGCTCAAATTCGACTGAATCTACGATTTTTAGGATTCCGTGCCTCAAAAGGAAAAATCGGAACCTTTATAGGAACACTTTGTAGTCCATACGTGTGTCCCTTTATTTCGGGAACGCGTGGTAGAATCGAATTTAAATTAAAACCATACAGGGTGGCATACCTCATTCGCCTCGGTTGATTATACGAAAACGGAAAGATGTAGAAGCAAAATATTTTATGGGTATATGTTTGAAAGCAATGTGCATAATTTAAAATTATTTTGAAATGTACAGGTTGTGGCAAAACTTAGATTCATACTAAAGTAATATTTTTTCTTATGGAACACCCGGTATTTTATTTTATTTTTGGATTCTTAGACATAAAATAAGGCATTTATTATAAGAGTTTAATATGTTTAAAAGCTTTGGTTTTTGATATATTTAAAGATATTTAAATATGCATGCTATAATAAAAAGGTTTGTCAACACCCTGTACATCACTTTTCAGAATTAATTCTTGTGCTGACTTTCAAGCCAGAGAAATAAACTTTACTAAAAAATTTAAATGCTCTTTCAAACTATATTAGGGTTTCCTATACCTATCTAGCTCAGATTTTGAATAAAAAGCGATTTTATCGCGATGGAAATTTTCTAGTGCCACTTAGTTCCTATTTTGAATATCGACATTAGTTTATGGACTTTATTTAAATTTATAGCAGGTTATTTTTATTTAATTTACCTACATCAATGTGAATAAGTAATAAGTACGTATTTATTAATTTATCTAGAAAAATGAAGCAGTATCTGCTGTCTGCTGGCGGAAGGAATCGATATGTTACTAGTGATTTTATTTTGTGAGGACATTTGCTTGTTGGCCTGAAGGGTTTATGCTCAAAGATATCCAAATCGGCAATCTTGACAAGCGTTCCTTTGAAAAACTACTTTTCCTATTTCGCAGAGCTGATGTGGTATATGAAAAACATATTAGCGGAAACCTGTCGTTGGAAGTGAAGAAAATGAATTTGCCTTAATTGGTTTTTTATAGAAAATCCAATATATATATATATACAAGTCATCGTAATATAAATCAAAGAACTACTTTATTTTTCTTGATAAAATAATAAATACTTATTAAACTATTGTAGCTAAATTAAATAAAAGTAAACTGTAATAAATTTAAATAAAGTCCATAAACTAATGTCGATTTTGTAAATAGCTACCGACTGTCACTAGCAAATTGCCATGGCGACACCAGCCATCTTGATTACCATTTTATTGAAAAATCGCTTTTTATTGAAAATCTGAGCCAGATAGGTATAGGAAACCCTAATATAGTTTGAAAGAGCATCTAAATCTGCTTCGATTTATTTTAAAAAATTCATAGTGTTGTATTTGAAATAACAAAGTTTTTATATAAAATAAATATTTAAAATAGACCAGCAATTTTTGATGCCCCTGTATACATTTAAGGAAGCAATAAAAAATTTTAGTAAAGTTTAATTCCTCTGGCCTCAAAGTTAGCACAAGAATTAATTCTGAAAAGCAATGTACAGGGTGTTGACAATTTTTTTATTATTGCATGCATATTTAAATATCTTTAAATATCTCAAAAACGAAAGGATTTAAACATATTAAACCCGTATAAAAAATGCCTTATTTTATGCCCAAGAATACAAAAATGCAATAACAATACCCAAATACCGGGTGTTCCATAAGAAAAAATATTACTTTGGTATGGATCTTAGTTATGACATACCCTGTACATTTGAAAATAATTTTAAATTATGCACATTGCCTCTCTACATATACCCATAAAAAAGTTTGTTTCTACATATTTCCGTTTTCGTATAATCCACCGGGGCGAATGAGGTGCACCACCCTGTATATTCAGTACTCAGGTCTACAGTTCCTTGAAGCTGTAAAAAATCAAACTTCTAAGGGTGGCTGCAACGACCTCCCGTAATCCTGCTGTTAAAATAAAACAACTGATTTTTATATATTAAAACCAGCTGTTATGTTTTAACAGCAGGATGACAGGACGTCGTTGCAGCCACCCTTAGTTAACTTAAAGAAAAAAAATCCGGCCGTTTTGAGATATTTTAGAATTATGTACATGTATGAAGTTCTATAGATTATGTGATCTTAATTTTTGAAGTGAAACTTCTTTACGCGCGATGGGATTGGTCGTGACACAAGGCCGCGAGAGGAAAAGTGGTAACGTTGACTTTTTGATCTTGGAGCGTTGTCACTCGAGCCCTATGTGAGCTAGGGTGCTGAAACTTGGAATGTAGATGGGGCTCGAAGACCAGATAAAAAAAGATATATCTAGGTGCTAGATAAAGTCATTTCAAAAGTGTTTTTTGCTCGGTTTTTTGTCATTTCTATTAAAAAAGAATGTCATAAAATAAAGAATTTAATAAAAAATAACTATTGAACTAATTATTCTTTAAATCTTACATGAACTACTTGTGTGTTATATACAGGGTGGTCCGAACTGTATTCCGGAAACTTCGCCGGCATATTCTACATATAAAAATAAGTAAAAAAGTTCGTATAAATGTATGTCCTAAAATGCTTAGTTTCGGAGATACGGGGTGTACAAGTTTCATTTTTATTTCGATTTTTTCTAAATAATTTCGGAAGTGACGTCAATATTTGGATAAAAATTGGTGTCTGGGAGTTTTGTGAGACGAGAAATTTGATTTTGATGTCAAAATTACTCCTATTTGAAGGGGGCGCCACCTACATGTGTTTTAACTGTTTTGAAGAGTAATAACTTTTCGACCGTATCTGTATAAAACCACTGACTAAAAAAATATACATTTCCGTGACTTTTTATGTAAAAAATATGTCTTGGTAAAAATCAGTACGAGCAATCGTTCTCAAGAAATTTAGAATGGAAATAGTCAATACATGTCATTATTGACAAAAAATAAGCACACGTTGAGTATAGTTATTTGACTGAAATAATAAATTTTTATTTTTTAAAATTAATCATAAGTTTTCCTGCAAAAAAATGATGATTAAACAGTTTCTTTTGAACTTTTGACACAAAAAGATTTCAAATTTATGATTTCAGTCTAATATCTATTTAGTCAACATGTTTAATTTATGTCAATGATGACAGGTATTGATAATTTCGATTCCAAATATATCGAGAACCATTACTCGTGGCCATTTTTACCAAGAGGTCTTTTTTATGTAAAAAAAGTCGTAAATGTATATTTTTTACTCAGTAGTTTTATACAGGTACCGACGAAAAGTTATTATTCTTCAAAACAGTTAAAACAAATGTAGGTGGCGCCACCTACAAATGGGAGTCATATTGACATCAAAATCAAATTTCTCATGTCAAAAAACACCCATCCACCAATTTTCTTCCAAATATCATTGAATAAGAAGACTAAGGAAGGAGCATAATGCTATCCATGTATTCATGCATGGTGGGCGGAAAAAGCGCCATAAAAGCACTCTAGGGTGGGGATCCTTGACAGTTCTGTTTGACGATTCATTTGACACATTTGAATTTGATTTGAAATTTTGTGGATTTGTCACTCTTTACGGAGCTTATTTTATTTTATGTTATTTATTATTTATTCTACTACTGATAGTTGTATAAAGGTAGTAAATCTAGATGGAAATTGTGGCAGAACTTAAATTAACAGTGACACTATCGCGATTTATCGAAAAAGACTCGGTTGTAAAAGAGTTGGTTGTGTAGCGTGCGGTAGATCTCGGCAAAAATTGAGTGAAATAATGGGATCTATTGATGATCTATTTTTATTAGAATTATATATTTTTATAACAATTTTAATAACTACCAACATTTATTCACAACGTAAAATAAAACAACAAATTATTGAGTCTACCCCACGTCTACCCTACATCATAGTTTTACATTTTTTAAATAAAATTAGAACGACACTGATAAACCGGAATTTAAGTCGGCCATATTTGAGGCCCATCGCGGTGTACCTAAGATTTTTGATATGCTCCTTCCTTAGTCTTCTTATTCAAAGCCAAATATTGATGTTACTTTAGAAATTATTTGGAAAAAATCGAAATAGAAATGAAACTTCTACACCCTGTATCTCCGAAACTAAGCATTTTAGGACATACATTTATACGAACTTTTTTACTTATTTTTATCTGCAGAATATGCCGGCGAAGTTTCCGGAATACAGTTCGGACCACCCTGTATGAATGAAAAATAAATTGTAAAAAAATGAAAGCGATCATGTTCAGTTTTACGTCAACTGTTAAAAACAATTAAAATACAAACTGCATCGATAAGGCATGTTTTAGGATTACATAAGCTATTACGCTACTCACGTTTAAACATTTTTTACGAAACGTCAATATGTATAATAATTGAATATTATTTTTAGGTAGCTTATATTAGAACGTTTGCATCGGAATATGGCATTGAATATTTATTTACCGTACAGTTATATTGCTTTGCAGGTTGAAAAATAATATCTAACTGAATATTTTACTGAAACATTTTAACAGATAATTTTTTTTTAAATATTGCATTTTTAGAAATAAAATTTCCACAAGTTGAGAACAATGAAGCATTTAATTCATTTATTATTACAGTTGGGGGATGGAACATTAGATGTCACAGCAGCAAAATAAAACACTAATTCACCACAATACTTTACTTTTAAACACTAGACGCGCTTTTCGCTAACCATGTTAGCATCACCACAGCAAAGGATTAAAATAAATCAAATTATAATTTTAATCATCTGCTGATGATGCTAACATAGTTAGCGAGACGCTCGTCCAGTGTTTAAAAGTAAAGTGTTTTGTGGTGATTTAATGCTTTATTTTGCTTCATTTATTAACTCAAAAAAGTATCTTAATTAACGAATTTTAAAAATACCAAGTTAAAAAAGTATACTTGGACACAAATAGTATTATGCAGAACAAAACTTGGACAAATAGTGATGCAAACGAATTATTAAGTAAATTTTATGAACATTATTCAGTATCACGGATATTCATGTTTCACAACAACAAAGGTTTTATTATCTTTTTTTTCAAATGGACTAGTGAATATTAATTAGTTCTCAAAAAATTACCACCTTAATAAGTCGTAAGTTAAAGGTTAAATAGAATGCGTTTAAACTGCTATACAGGGTGAGTCTTAAATAAGTCTTTCGGGGCTGGTAGATCTCGATAAAAGAAACATATTTTCTCTTTACCATTTTTCAGATAAGTCTAAAATAATCGAGTTATTTAAGTTTGAAAATATTTTAAAAAAAATTGTTTTTTTTTGAAAAAATTTTGAGAGCCACCGTATTTTTTCTGAATTTTCATCCCTTTTATTGCCGTAACCATAGAGTAAAACCGTAACTATGGTAACATCTGAGATAAGAAATTATACCGCGGGAAAAATTGCGGTGAACAGGCAGTTCTAAAAAGTTTTCGAAAAATATACAGCGAAATTTAAAAGAAAATGCACAATTTTCAACATCTTTTTTTAGCGAAAAAACCCTCATAGATGTGTTCCTGGTTCCTGGGGTCGAAATATACCACCCCTGAAAATATTTGCACTTATTTAAAACTCACCCTGTATTAACAAAACGAAATATGTCTTTGAATATGGTAGATAAATACAGTATTTATACTAAAAAACTTCCATTGTCTTTTTTTTAAAGAAAATAATCTGAAAGGAGACAAAGTTAGACGAGGAAACAGAAAATAACCTTCTTCGCTATTCAACCTTAACCCACTTCGGTTTATTTCACGAGTAGTGTAGAAGCCATTTTTAATATTTATGCCTTTTTTATTATCTTAATATCAAACCGAAATAATATTACACATTACATCAAAATACTATATTTGTAATTCTAATCCAATGTTTCGCTAAACATATTGACACTAACATCCATTCAGGGTCACCATTAGTTTTAATCACAGCTTATTCAGTGTCAGCAGGTTATCTATACTAGTTTTCGAGTTCCCGCGCTTCACCTGCTTTGCCTGTTCCCGTAGACATGCACCAGTCTCAAATAAGTTTTAGTCATAATATAATTTAGTCAAATAATGTCTAGAAAAGCTGAAGAAATTAGGTAGAGAAAATGAAGTCCTCCTACTCTGGGTCCCGGCACACCAGGGGATATAATATAAGGTTATAAAAAAGCAAACGATCTAGCTGGAAAACCAAACAAAGCGGTGATTGCAGATTCTGTGGGGAAAATGGGGAAACACCAGAATACCTCAACATTGAGACGACAACCATTTGTGCCATAAACTTTGGCACTAATATCGGAGATGGAGAACTAACCTCTGTAAACCCATTTCAGATACTAGCTTTTGTCAAGCCTTGAGACTGTATAATGAGTTATAACTCAAGGAAGGGGGAATTTTAATGCTACTTGACTATCGGTTAAGATGGCTGTTTCTTACGATCTCTTACTAGCTTCGATGTGACCTGAGTACTTCTAAAATAGATTGACTGTCACTTGCTTTTAGATATAATTATTTTTGATGCGTTATTGTTTTGCAATAAAACTAGCTAATAATAAGAAAAACCACTTAGTTGGGTTCCCTTTTTATTATTAGGGTAGGTACCTATTTTATTATTGTTGTTGTTTATTTCCAGTGATATGGATACTCTGACCCATCTTCTAAAAGCCTCGCTAGGAACAGGAATTCTGTCTATGCCTGCGGCATTCAAGGCTTCTGGTTTAGTGATGGGTATTTTTTCCACCATTCTTGTATCAATTATATGCACCCATTGCTCATATATATTGGTTGTTTGCGCTCACGAACTTTATAAGAGAAGCGGAAAAACCCAAATGAGCTTTGCGGATGTCGCCGAAGAAGCTTGCAAAAGAGGGCCCAAGTGGGCGAGACGTTTTGCCCAACCAGCGAGGTAAGTGAAACTTTAAATCACATTTTAAAAACATACTTAATTCTCTGTCAGTATAGGCTTGGTGCTTGTTGCGATGTTTTAAAATTCCGACAGCAGCGCTCGGTACGGCAGAAATCAGGACTTTACTTTATTTCACGCCGTCCCGGTGAAATATTCAAGTATTTTGTTTTTTACTAGTCCAGTTAATGAAACTATAAAACACCCTCTACACTATGCCCGAAATGTTTTACGCAATATTTCTGGAAATATTTCGTGGAAGCATTTCACGAAATACTTTCAGAAATAAAACTGAATGCTTTTCTTATGTTGCGGGGAATCTTGGCTTGTCTCGGCCGCAAAGTACGAAATAGATTGTCTATTATTTATTACAATTGCTATATAAAAAAAAATATATTTCCAAAATTTAAAATGGTAAAACTACAGGGCAACAGTGTTCTGGCGGTCTGCCTTTTATCGGCTTGTAATCCACGGTGTGTCCACAGTTTTCTCTTAAAAACAATAATAGAACATTGCTTTTAAAAAATATCCGTGGACCATGCTTTTGTTGACATCGGGTCAATCATCATTTTCCCAATCAGCTCGATATATTGATGATGTTGCCAGTATTACTCGTCAAGCAATACTACTGTTTATATTAAACATATACAATTTTATATACTAATAAATAATAAAAATATTGTAATATTCCTGCAGATTAAGTGAAAAGTTTTGTTCTTAAGAGTCTATTACGCTGTCCTTTCGGGTCGCTCTCAGGGGTCGGGTAAAGCGGGTGTGTGGCCGAAGGAAATATATATTATATTTCAGAAATCTCCCTAAGGCTTAGCCCGATCCTGTCGTGTTAAGCCACACCCAAAATTACAAACACACGTGCTTTGATTAAGGCTTGATTAAGGTTTACAGAGCTTCAGCATTTGCCATAAAATAGCGAGGAGTTTGTTACAAAACCATATAAATTATATATTACTCTAATCACAAAACTTCCATCTATTTCCGTATTGTAACGAAATTTAAATTCTGTCTTTATTTTCGAGAAAATTTAGTCCAAACATAAGGAATATTTTGTTGGTGTTAAAAAAAATCTTAAAAATATAGAAGTTGTCTAAAAATGTGCTACAATACGGATATAGTATAATCCTTTATCTTTCATTTCCTTCTTCATTTGTGTAAAAATACCTAGCCAGTTTTACATAAAACGTTAAATGCCGAACGCTTATTTTGTTACTTTTTCGGACTAGTAAATGGACTCTTAAATAATTACTATACATATGTATTACAAATGCGAGTTCAAATGTTACTCATGTGGAATGTATTCAACATAACGAGATGTAATTAAAGAAATAGAATTTTGTAGCAACAGATTCTTTAGAAACGTCTAGATTTATTTATTTTACTGAGATTTATGAAAAAAAAGTCCTTTGACTCGGGCTAAGATACGAAATTGAACGAAACAACAGGAGACAATTAAAGTCTCCAAAAAACCTCCCCCATGCCCTTTTCCGCAGTTTCACGCGTAGTTTAGAGGCGTTTTACGAAATGAAAATAAATCGAGACGAGACAAAGTACTTAGCCGAGGAAACACAAATCATCCAACTTAAAATAAATTTGCGCGCACGATTTCCAATATCTTTAACTTTTAAACGTTTATTAATAATATTTAATAATCAATATAATTAATTGCAACAATTCTTTTTTTATTTCAGACACACCGTTCTTATAGGAATTTTCGTAACGTACTTCGTCACCTGCTCCTGCTACAGCGTCATAGTAGCCAAGAACATCATCTACGTTCTAGAAAACTATCTAGAGAATACTCTAAGCGAGCGATATACCATAGCAATTCTCCTGGTGCCGCTGATTTTACTAGCGTACGTGCCGAACTTAAAATACTTGGCTCCAGTCTCCATGGTGGCCAATGTTTGCATGGGCCTAGGTCTGGGAATAACACTCTATTATTTAGTGATCGATATTCCGTCGATAACTGAGAGACCTCTATTTGGCGATATCACTACGTTGCCGATTTCTGTCAGTATCACCATCTTTGCTATTGAGGCTATCGGAGTGGTAAGTAAAAATCATACCTACATATATAAATAATAATTGAGATATTTTCACTCTTAACAGCTCAAAAAAACTTTCAAAACTGTTGTTATTTACTATAATTTTAATATTTGATATGAAGTGACAGAAAGAAGTTGCTTATACAATATATTAGTCATTTTTAATCCGTTTTCTTTTTTTGGTTGATGGATTTTTTTATTTGTTCCACTGTGTACCCCGATCCACTGTGTACCCCGATCCACTGTGTACCCCGATCCACTGTGTACCCCGGTCCACTGTGTACCCCGGTTCACTGTGTACCCCGGTTCACTGTGTACCCCGGTTCACTGTGTACCCCGGTCCACTGTGTACCCCGGTCCACTGTGTACCCCGGTCCATTGTGTACCCCGATCCACTGTGTACACCGATTCACTGTATACCCCGATCCATTGTGTACCCCTATCCCCTCTGTACCTCAATCCACTCTGTATGTTTGCATCCCAATCTTTTTGATGAAATTTTAGGAGTAATAATAATATGTTAAGTTCACGCAAAATTTCCATTTAAAAGTTGGTAAAGGTCTGTGCTCTAATACTAACTTTGCAGTGCGTCATAAACGTCGAACTCCTTTTATCAAGAGAAAATAACCTTATTAGTATGCAAATCACTAACTATTTAAAGCGTTATTAAACAGCAAAAAAATCGATATATCTTTACAAATTAAGATAATAGTCGGAAGCCAACTACGTAAACAAGTACTGTTATGTTAATGTTGCCATTTAAATAGGGCTAAAAATATAAAGTCGTTTAAATACATTTTTCTGTGAAAGAATTTTAAAATAGACTTTAAATGTATAACGAAATATACCATACAATCGAAAAAAACGGCGTCAGAGACGGGGAATGACAATTGATGATAATTTTGGCGATGTTAAGCCCTAGATGCCATTTATTTGGTCCGTGTCCGTACTCTGATTTTTGAATGACGTAGATCGCCATAGCTATACAGGGTGACAATTTGAAAACGAACAGTATTTAATATTACCTCTACCGATGATAGTATGAAAATTTGGCGAAATACGTCAATTTACAAGGGGGATAATTTTTGGGGCATTTGTTGTCGTGTTACTTTCAACCCTTTGACCCCCAGGGCACCCTCTCCTAAAATTTTAAATGGCAACCCCTATTTCTTTTACCATTTTTGTGTTTCTTATAGAACTCTACATAAACTGCATTATTTTTTGAGAACTTTATAAGGAACACAAAAATGGTAAAAGAAATAGGGGTTGCCATTTAAAATTTTAGGGGTAGGTGCCCTGGGGGTCAAACGGTTGAAAGTAACACGACAACAAATGCCTCAAAAATTGTCCCCCTTGTAAATTGACGTATTTCGCCAAATTTTCATACTATCATCGGTAGAGGTAATATTAAATACTGTACGTTTTCAAATTGTCACCCTGTATATGGTCATAGCGATTGACTCCTACCTAGACCTAAGACCTAGACATGCAAATACGGACCAAGACTGTCATATAGGAGTGAATCGCTATGGCCAACATATATCTGTTACCGACCGGGTATGTAAGTGGTTTCATTAAAAAAAAAAGCAAATTGGTGGGCATTTTTAGTACACGCCTTAAATATCCTTAACAATCGTTATTATAACTTTAATGGGTAAAATATATGGGTCATTTTTTAGGTGATGCCACTTGAAAATCACATGGAAACTCCTCAACATTTTACCGGAATCTGCGGTGTTCTGAATCAAGGAATGTCTGGCGTCACTCTAGTTTATATTCTGTTAGGATTCTTTGGATATCTGAAATACGGAGATGCCACTGCCGGATCCATTACTCACAATTTACCTCCAACAGAATAGTAAGTAATTTTTTTTCACTACTTATCTGGCAAACGGATCTGAAGCAACATAAGGAATACAAACACATATTTAACTTAAAAATACAAAAGCAAAATTGCTCGATATTTCCTATAAATTGAATATACTTTTATGTTCATTCCATCATACATATTAGGTATTTTAACGTAGTTCTCGTTGTTGCATGCGGTGGATATCTTCTTTAAGATATTATATGTCTGCCTGGAAATAGTATAAATATTGACTAATACTGAAATATTCAGTGACGGTGTTATTGTATTTTATTTTATCACAACCAAACATTTAACTTGAATTGTGCGTAATATAATTAGTAGAGATGAGCAAAAAATCGCAAATTGCGATTCAATCGCAGCGATTTTAAAATCGCAATCTTAACCTGCGATTAGCTCTCATAAGAAACTGCGATTGCGATGTCTCCTATTTGGGAGCACAGCAGCTGGAACTGTGATTTCTATCTGCGAGTTTGAATTTTGAGTTTGAGTAATTTTGAGTAAGTTTAGCGATTTGCGATATTGTTGCGAATGTAATTTTGTTATCTATTGAAGCATTTTATAGTAAACTGCGATTGCATTTTCTCTCTGATATTATTTATTTATAGAGAATATATTATTTTCTAGGGTCACGATCATAATATACCGGGTATTTCTCAAGACTACCCCTTTAACTTTTTTATTTTATCTAATAAAAAAACGAGATTTGGTATGTTAGTATATGACATAAATTAGGACTGATTGACGTATTCAATTGTTTTTAATCACTTCCTGTTTCACCGGAAACGACTACAACTTTTGATTTTTGAATGATACTCGGTATAACACTAATTTTAATCAAGGTGCCTTGGACAAATAGATTTGATCGTCTATTGTTTTTCGCGTCTTGTCCTGTCCTGGCCAGTTAAAAGATGCCCAAATCGTATTTTTAATCATATCTCGATTTTTTCAAATGGAACAAAGGTGATCCAATGGCATATTTAGAAAAAACATTTTTTACGAATAATTTGGTTTAGTAAATATTAAAATCGCAATCGCAGGTTACAGTCGCTGCGATTTAAAAATCACAATCGCAGTTTCAACTGCGATTGGAGAATCACGCAGTTTTGCTCATCTCTAATAATTAGTACACGCTTTCTAACGAACATTAGTACATTTAGCAAATCGCTAAAAAATGTAGATACACTTAATTATATCAAATGTTCTAGAAAATATAGAAATTTCGATATATCATCAAATCATCATAAAACACCCTACGCGCCTAGATATTTTATGAATGGAATTAGCCATGTTTTTATAGAACTCGATCCTTCCTGTTGTCCTATTAGTTTCAGTACCGTTTGACGAAGGGTACCTACTATAAAAAAATAATCCAAATAGATTTTGTAAAAAAAAAAGATTTAATAAAAACAGGTCTGTTATATAAATATATTTTTTTAAATAAAATCTTTGACAAAGAAATTTGATTAGATTTTTTTAAAACATTTTTTTTACAGAAAAAAAAACTCGCCATAAGAGTATATAGAGTGTAAAATTGATTTTGTGTGAATTTCTATGAAGATATTAGTAGAAAAAAAATAAAAGGAACATTCGAAAATTTCAATTTTTCCGGAGTGCGATTTCATTGTGAATTGTGATTTCATCAACAGCATATTAATTATGTTTTTCTTTTGCAGTGCCGCCCAAGCTGTGAACGTATTAATAGCAATTGCAGTGTTTTTCACGTTTGGTCTACAATTTTACGTATGCATAGACATCGCTTGGAGTGGACTTAAAGACAAATGTACCAAACATGAAGTTTTGAGCCAGTATGTAATGAGAACCATCATGGTCGTTGTATGCGTGGCTATAGCCATTGCAGTACCAACAATTATTCCCTTTGTCGGTCTAATCGGTGCCTTATGCTTTTCTATTCTCGGTCTTATGTTACCCGTCGCCATTGAAGTTATTACATTCTGGGATAAAGGTTTTGGAGCATACAATTGGAAAATCTTCAAAGATATCGTTGTGGTGATTACTGGAATCTTAGCTCTTATATTTGGTTCGAAATCTGCTCTAGAAGATATAGTTGCATTATACAAATAACTTATAAAGTTCCTATTAAGTTTTGTTTGGAATCGAATTTTTTTAGTTATAAATTTTGATAAAAATCCGTTGGTAAAATATATACTACCAGTACAAGAAACTTGGTAAATAATACATTACCAGAACTTAAAATTAAGAATTGAATGTATTTTCTTTCTTGAGATATGTTTATATACCTCGCCATTATTATTTGTGTTATTTTAATATTCCACATTTAATTTTACACATTTATACCACCAATGTACAAAATGTTTTACAATAGACCAACTATTTGTTAAGCTTTTCTTGCAATATATTTAGAAAGTTCTATTGCGCTCGAAGCTTTAACATAATAAAAAGAAGTTATCAGATTAATTTTACCTCGATAACGGCTGTGATGTTCTAGATTTTTTATTATTTCATTTCATACAAAAAAGTCATATTTACTATGCTCTCGTTATACCTATATCTATACCTGCATTTTTGAATTACTTGGTATATAAAAATCATGACAAAATGTTTCTTTTACATCTTATCAGATTATTGATAGGTAGTTTTTTTCTGATGGCTTCTAAAACTACATATTTTTGATAAAGATATGTATGTAATTTTTATAAATATACATTGTTCTATAGTTAATACTGTAATTTAATTGTTAAATATCTTTCATCCAATTTAGTCGTTTAGGTTACACAGGGTGTTTAAGACAACTTTTCGTCTTAAACTTTTTAATTTATATTCTAAAAGGCCTTGATAAAAAACTATCTTTATGCATATTTTCTGCAATATTTTTTTGGTTTTTAGGATTTATAATAATGTTTTATATGCATTTTTTTACCTCTTTAAAAGATTTTTTTATAAAAAGTTTTCAACCGAAGAATCAACAATTTCTAAAGAGTACTAATAGTTAAGTTAGGTAATCTTTTTGTAGCACATTTCATAATTTATTTTAATTATTAGTGTAGGACAGGATACAACGGCGGGCAGTATTAATATTGCTGGTTAATAATTAATATTCTTTTTAGTGTATTGTACTGTATTGTCTAATTTAGCAAAAATAGAAAGACAGACTACTAAAATATTCCTGTGATTTTATATTTATTCGAAATTTTTTAATATACTGAAACACACTAAGGGCATATTATTTATAATATCATACGATCGAAAAAAGAATGGCGTCAGAGATAACTTTGTAATGAAGATCGCTGTCATTTTGTAAGTAAACTTATATGGGAAATGTCATTGATTGTCATATCCCAAAAGGTGGACACCTTTTTTTTTTCGATCATACGGTATTAAGGCATTATTTAATATTAAATTATTCTTATTTATTATAATTAATTTTATACAAAAATTTAATTTTAATAAACTTGCATCTGTATACGTTTTATAATAAATTTTTTTGAAGGAAGAAACTGGAAAAATTTGTTTTATTTTGAAATTAATTTTATATTCAAAATGACATGGTCACATTTACCCAGTATTAATCCGTTGCTTTATACTGGGATAAAGAAAAGTGTTAGGCTAAGCGCAAATTGAACCGCGTCTATCGCGTGTGACATAACCTGGCACGACGCGAGTTTTTGTAAAGAACAGAAATAAATGGGACAGCGCGATGCGACGCGTGCCTCGCGTTCGTGTGCATTAATTTTGATTATTGAATACAGTAAAATTTACACTCGGTATAATCTGATTCTGATTCAGGACTAAAGTTTAGTAACAATAATTGTTTCGATGGCGAATCAGACATTTTTATGCAGCCGTTTTTATACGATCCGCGATCGAATTTGCGGACCACCAAGCAGCACGAGTGCCGCGTCCCGTCATGCCGGTTGCGCCATGTCATGTCACACGCGACTTAATTTGCGCCTAGCCTTAATCAGCTGGTTTATCTCTCTAATCATATCAAAAAGTATTGGATATATGAGATAGATTATTTCGATTTGTTGGAACAGCATAATCTAGAACTCATCTAGTACTGGAAATGAAGGTGAATATCAAAGAATTAAGACCATATTTATACAAATATCGTTTCTTAATATTTTGACTAATGTGCACTCTAGATTTAATATAAAGTAATATTAGAATTCTATTTTTCTAAACCTTTGTTCTGAAGCATTTACATCTAAAATAAAAAATCAACTTTATTAATCACACAGTACTGATGACTACAATAATGTTTAACAAATTATTAAATATCAATTAGTACAATAAATACATAGCTTATGGTTTACTAGGGACCAAACTGTCTACTGTTTCTACATAGCTTTTGCCAATTTTAATCAATGCGAGCCCAGATCCTACTCCGCATGCTGTACAAAGAGCAACGTTTTCAGGTACTACACTTCTGATAATTGCCCAGATTAATACTGAACCTAATGAGAACGTAGCAGCACCAAACGCACTAAAATTAAATATATTTATGTAGCATAATGGTAAATTGGTAAAATTAAATTAATATTACCTATATAACACTTTCTCCTTGGTGGACAACGAGCTTAAATGGGGTTTGTTATATAAATATAACCCAGAACCAACAAGTGTATTAAACAATAGTATGTTGGTGATATCCCTTTTTGGAAATATCCTAATAATAGAGATAGCTATTAAACGTGATTTTTAAAATATATTAATATTTCTACCTCAATACTAAAGATGGGTTCATAACATTTACTGATAAAGCTGTGTAACTGAGAATTCCTTGTGCCGGTGCATAATAAAAAAGCAAATTTTGTGATGTAATTGGTTTAAGTCCTAATTTGCTACAAATCGACGTGCTGGATTTCGAAGTGGACATGACTGTTACAATTTTTATGGAAAATATCACGTGAAAATTTTGGCTTTTCCTAAAATAACTAATGGAAATTCGCTCTTCACGAAAACTCAATCATAGACCAATCATAGACTCAAATGCTCAAATGCATCTCAAATCTCTGTCAAATCTCAAAAAATGACATTGATCTTATGTTGTTGAGACAGTTGGCGACAGTGTATTTATATATGATTTATATTTTCATAAATAAAATTATGAAAATTAATAGTTTTACAAATAAATTTAAAAGAACAATGTTTGAAGTAAGATAGCAGATGGTGGCAAAAATAGTTGGGCAAAATTTGGTCAATGTTATTGACAGTTGGCAGTGCCATTGGTGCCAAAATGGCGTATGTTCGTAATATTTCCAGATATATCTCTATATCTTCTAATGATATTTCTAGATTTTCCAGACATTTCTACAAAAAAACGTGGTCTGTGGTGGTAGGGGTGGTAGGGTTGTTTAAATGTCATATATATTTCTCAGAATTTGTCTCTAATAGTCCTAATAGTCATTGGTGTGGTCATTGGTCTCTAAATTGTCATGTCGAACAGGGTTGTACATATTTTATGGTACCTTTGTATGGTACATACTTTGGTACATATGGGTTGTACTTAAGAGTATGCACAACTGCACGTGAACTGCACAACATACAACCGTGATACAACAATATGCACAATTTATCATTTACGTATGACTTACGTCTAACCGTACCGTGCAACTCTCCAACTCTAACCCACAGTTCGCGCAAAATTTAAATCGTGGGTTATTTTCTTCTTTTCTAACTTTCGAGAGTAAGTTCTTAAGTAATAGTAGCATAATTTAACCTAAATTTCAAAAACGTACAAATTATAATAACATATATAACAGTTCTACAAAATCGATCGGGTATTTCGCGTCCAATCTATAAACAAAAAAGAGACCATAGAATAACTAACTGAAAGAGACTAAAGCCCCGTTCTCAGAACTGCGACTGTCACCAGCGACACGACAAGAGAACCAATCAGATTTGTACAAAATTCAAACAGCTGTCAATTTTAAATTTAGTACAGCTCCCATTGGTCGTTTGAAGTGTCAATCAGTGTCGCCCGCGACACGACGTTGTTCTGAGAACGGGGCTTAAAGCCTCGTTCTCAGAACGACGTCGTGTCGCTGGCGACACAGTTTGACGTTTCAAACAACCAATGAGAACTGTACTAAATTTAAAATTGACAGTTGTTTGAATTTTGTACAAATCTCATTGGTGCTTTTGAAGTGTCGCTGGCGACAGTCGCAGTCAAAATATTTCTGAGAACGGGGGAACAGCCCGTTCTCAGAACTGCGACTGTCGCCAGCGACACGACAAAAGAACCAATCAGATTTGTACAAAATTCAAACAGCTGTCAATTTTAAATTTAGTACAGCTCCCATTGGTCATTTGAAGTGTCAATCAGTGTCGCTGTCGACACGACGCAGTTCTGAGAACGGGGCTTAACCAACGCAATCAAAATACGCCTAACCAAAGGCCTAACCCAAGAACAGTCACATCCGCCACGACATCTGGAAAAAATACTTTTTTTTAATTAAATGAAAAACAAAAAATCCGGCGACGACAGTTTTTAGAAGAGCCAATTAGCTATCTTTTAGTAAAAAAAGCAACTTTCTAGAGCAAGTTGTTACTTCAGTAGAGACGACACAGAAAAACATTAGCATTTTATATATGTAGACTAGTTGAAGCCTGGCGCATCCGCCACGACATCAGGAAAAAAACTTATTATTTTTTTAATTAAATAAAAAACAAAAAATCCGGCGACGACAGTTTTTAGAAGAGCCAATTAGCTATCTTTTAGTAAAAAAAGCAACTTTCTAGAGCAAGTTGTTCCTTCAGTAGAGACGACACAGATAAACATTAGCATTTTATATAAATACTAATTAGCATTTTATATAAATACTAGTTGAAGCCTGGCATATCCGCCACATCAGGAAAAAAAAACTTTTTTTTAATTAAATGAAAAACAAAAAATCCGGCGACGACAGTTTTTAGAAGAGCCAATTAGCTATCTTTTAGTAAAAAAGCAACTTTCTAGAGCATGTCGTTACTTCAGTAGACGACACAGATAAACATTAGCATTTTATACAGGGTCCGGCAATAGTGCGTCGGGCATCTGTAGCTCCTAGAATAAAAAACTGAAGAATTTTGTTTAAGTGCAAATCTAAATTATGTTCTAGGATGTATTCCAGGAAAATATTTTAACTTCTATAGGGTGGCTCAAAAAAGTTTGAGTGGATCGGGATGATTTTTTTTAAATGGAACACCCTGTATATTATTGCATTTTTGGCTTCTTTTGATCACTTTACATAATCCTAAGATATGAGTAAATACATTTCGATAGTTTTAGAGATATTAATAAATAAATAAAAAATATATATTTTTCAGCCTCTCTTAAAAAATTTATTAAAAATACCAAGAACTGGCTTGAAATCAAAACGATATTAGATATTTACTTTAGATGGTCTGTACTTACTTTGCTATAAATATGGTAATCGAATATCATACAGAATGTTCAAAATTTTATTCCAAACTTTCTAAAATATAAAATAATTTTTCTTCGTTTTTTTAAATGGAACACCCTGTATATTATTTTTTCAGTAGATGGAGAATTAAAAAATGAACATTTATTGTATTTAGAGTATTTCAAAAATGTTTGACGGTTTCGCAGATATTCGCGGTTTTATATTTCATATGGCATTTGCCATAGTAAATTTTTATCAAAGCCACCCAATAATTTTTCTCTCGTATTTTACCGTTGAGAGAGCCATATGAAATAATACTGCGTGTATCTGCGAAATACCCTGTATATGTAGATGTAGATTAAGACATATAAAAAATATTATAAAATATATCTTAATAACAATCCAATACTCTCAAAACTCAACCTTCACCATATTGTCAAGATTTTATTTTGGCATTACAGGAAACAAGAAATTTTCTTAAAAATACATGAGCAGTCATACCCTGTATTTTTTTTAGACTATATGTAGAAAATATCCTTTTTATACATAGTGCTCGAAGCTTTCATCGAACAAATTTTGTATCGATGAGGCAACAAATTCTTGTTTACTCTTGTGTTGCTTTGGGGGTTGGAAATTGTTAAAAATCTACAAAAACATAATTAGTAGGGCAGAGAATTTTGTTAAATGTGATTTTTTTAATTGATTTCAAGCACTTTCAAGGGAAAATTAGTGAAATAAAAGTAAATATCTTGTAGAAGTTATTATTGTATATTTGTAGAAGATTCTTGTTATAGGGCTTGGAAATTGATAAAAAAAAACTACTAATACATAATTTGTACAGCACATAATCATGTTAAATGAGGTTTTTTATTCATTTCATAGCAAAATTGGTGAAATATTATTAATATTATATTATTGGTGAAAAATATATTATACATTACATTGACTAAGAAAATGTCTTATATAAGTTATAAATAGGGGTATTACTGCCTTGTTTTATAATTTATAGATGTAATAAGTCTCTATTTAACTAAATATTACATTATTTCGGAAAATATCGAACAACAAATTTATATTAATTGAAGATTCTGAAGGCTACCGAACCGCCACCATATTTTTGAATTTTATTTTAATTTATACAGGTTTAATAGGTCTGAAACTGCTTAATTAACTATATTTAATGATAATCAAAAATTCCTTAACTATTCTAAAGCTTTAAAAAAAATTTAAGGCAAAAATCTATTTTTTATGATATTAACAATTAGGGACATTGGGGTAATTAAAATGCGATATCTTTGTGAATTTTGCTTTATTCCTTTATTGTTTAGTGTTATTTTATTCGGAAAACACGTATAGCTACATTTTCCTGGTAGTAGTTTTGTCTACAATGTAGTGTTTTATTGCTAAATTTTCATTTAAACTTGAAATTTAGGTCCATAAAATTACATAATTTTTCACAGGTAAAACAGAAGAAAATCGCTCCCTCTAGCGTCAAATATCAGAAACTGAGCGCTAAAGTCGGTCGATTTTCGTCTAATAATTTCTTGATAATATGGCAACATAGTTAGTAGATTAAATTTACAAGAAAGAAAATTCAGAAAAGATCCAGTGGTTCTCAAAATTTGGGCAAAAATCATTTTTTTTTTGGAAATTTTAAAAGTAAAATAACTCCGTTATTTTGGACTTAGAGAAAATATGTTTCTTTTATTGAGATCTACCACCCCTCAAAATACTTGCACTTATTTCTGATTTCTGGGACACCCTGTATAATAAGAATTAACGTTCTCGTGCTAATAATTATACTATACTACTCATACTTACTGTTCATTTAAAATAATATGACAAATCAATTGTAGAAAAGCAGCAATTATAATTAGGAAAATATAAAATTACTTACATCCTCCATATTTTCGATTTAATGCATTTGTTTATTTCTATCTATGTACAATGATTGAAATAAAAAATATGTAAGTAGAGATGAAAATTATTTTATAGTAATAAATATGATCTTAATAAATCAATTTTATTCTTTTTAACATAATTACCTAATACATAATGTTATTCAAAATCAAAATTTCATTTTAATTAATATGGCATAATTGATGTCTTTATTGTTAGGTTACTATGTAAATTTTAACCCACACATATTTTTTCTTTTTTGAGTGATATGGACACTCTAGCTCACGTTATAAATACATGTTTAGGAACAGGAATAATTTCTATGCCTGCTGCCATAGAAGTTTCTGGCTTAAAAATAGGTGTTATTTCAACTGTTATTGTTTCGATAATTTGTACTCTGGCCTCATATATATTAAAAATCCATAGAAAATATACTAAAACACGAAGAAGCTTTGCCGAAATCATTGAAGAAGCTTATAGAAGAAGACCTAAGTGGTTGAGGCCCTTTGCCAAACCGATAAGGTAAGTTATCTATTATCCTTGTTTATATATTCTTATATTATGTTATGGGACAAATAATATATTCTGATTTTAAATAACGTAGTTAGAAGTTATATAAAAATATAATTACTTGTTTACAAAAAAAAACATTACATCAAATTATCACAGCTTATTTAATGCTAGCATTGCTGTCATCCATTCGCGAATTTCAAGTTCCAGAGCTTTACGCCCTGGGCTACTCAGAACGGTTCTGAAAGGAGCTGTGGGCGATAGCCTGGTGCCTCCATATGGCGCCGAACCAAATACGATTAAATTACCGGGTATTTGCGCCGAACAGTTCTGAACTTTATGACTCAATTGAATGGAGTGAGAGTATCGCGTTCTTGAACAGTTCAGAGCTGCACAACTGCGTGAATGGAGGACAGTAAATCAGAGCTTCAATGGGGCTCAGAACTCGACTTGTTACGTAAGGTACCTAACCGAATAGTAGGTACGCAGTTTTCAACGTAAATAGTGGCAGAGGCTGGGTATGAATGGGCTGTGACACCACATTTTTAAGAATTATGTAAACTATAACTCTACTTTCTCTTTAATTTTTTTTTATACTGAAATAATACACACCTTCTTTGGGTGATTTTTTTTTAGTTGAAATCAATACCGTACCTAGAAAAACAAAAGAGTGAAACCAAAGCAATCAAAACATGCTTACAGCGTATTTTGATTGCTAGAGCTATAGCTATACATTAACCTAACTTAAAAAAGAGGTCCTATCTCGACGACATGAAAAAACCTGTCGAACGCGCTTGTTTACGAATTTTAATTATTGCCGAGAGCAGTTCAAATGTTATTATAGGCTTGGTGCATTTCAGTTGATTTTAAAAATTCCGACCGCAACGCTCGATACGGCAGAAATCAGAAGTTTTCGCTCTGTATTTCACGCAGTTCCAGTGTTGATTGCATGTTCCAATGTTGATTGCATTGAAATAATATTAAAATCCGGGCTTTATCATATATTTAAGTATATTATTAGTTTTTTCTAGTGTAGTTATCGAAACCGTAAAATTCTCAGGTACGAAGTTTGTGTGATGTAACGCTGTTTCGGGTAGTAAAAACAAAGGGAAAAAGAACCCAAACTGGGCGATGCGTTATGTTGTGACAATTTCAAATGAGAATAAAATTGTCAACACGTAAAGGAGAACTAGAAAAGGAGTGATTTCTGGGTGCAATAACATTCATTAACTCTTCCAGGTATTCAACTCTACTGAAACAATATTTTATAGTTTTATATTTTGTCACACCGATTTGATCAAAAGCAAATATATGGATTCAAGCAGTTGAACGAAACAAGTGAGTAAACAAAGTGCCCATTACATAATCATTAAATACGCATATACTATGAGAGGATAAAATATAATTTGCAACATTAATGGTTTACTTTTTTCAACTAGTGCTTAATATCTTCTAAAATTATAATTATGTATTAAATAGCCCCAGTTATGTCCCCACTAGCAAAAGCGGTGCGTAAAACCCTTTTATGAACAGACAAATGGTAAAACTATGCTCGTTACCGTAGTTGAACTCATTTAAAAAGTTATATTATCTTGAATAATAAATTGTAATATTTAAAGTTAGACCTTCTAAAGATATCAAAATAATTATTTCTTATTTTTATTTTTATAATTTTCACTAATAATTATACATCCTAATATTTTTAGAATAATTATATAACAAATTTTTCGATATCTAATTATATCGTACTCGCTATCTAAACCCGTGTATTTGTATATACCGGTTGTTTACGATATTGTCCGATGGTGGCAGTACCGGCGGAGAATGCACCAAGCCTATATTATACAATATTTTATGAATTAATGAAAATGATACACTTCTGCAAGAAGATTTTTTCGTGTTTAGGTTTAGAAAAATGTCTAGAATGAAAAACAAAAACGCGTTTTTTAAGTAAAAAAAGTGAAAAAATAAAACTGAAAATTATACATTTCCGCAGAAAAATTTGGGTGACTTTCTATTTGCAAAGATTTCCAAATACTAAATAAACAAAAATATTTCTGACATAACTGAATTCAGTTAAACGAAAGTTGGTCCCCTTTTATTAACAAAACTAGCATCATTAATAATAAAACGTTTTAGTATTTTGCTTATAATGCTGATAAATAGCTTAAGGACATTCTCTACAAAATCTAATATTATTTTTCTTTTTTAGACACACCACACCAATAACATTCTTTTCCATTTACTTTATAATATGTTCTTGTTTTGATGTTATCATAGCACAAAACATTAAGAACATATTTATTCAGTACTTAAAATTTCCAATACGCGATGTTATACTTATAATACCATTCATAGTATTAGCTATGCTTCCAACGCTCAAACTGTTGCCCTTTATTTCTATAGTTGGTAATACTTGTATGTGTATGGGACTTGTAATTATTCTATATTACATACTCACTGATATCCAATGGACAAATAAAAGGTCATTCTATGGTGATTTTTCAAATTTACCAATGTCTATGACTATCACTATCATTGCTCTAGAAGCGGTAGGAGTGGTAAGTGTTAATGTACAGTGTGTCCGAAAGTTCATTACAAATAGGAAATATTAGTATATTTGAGTTAGCGAAAAAAAGAATCAATTCAGCATACCCAATAACTAAAAAAATCCCCTTTACACATGCAAAAGGTTGACAAAACACATATGACATATGTCAAAAACAGATATTTTGTTATCGAGTATGCTGAACAGATTGCAAGTGAACTTTTTTGGATAGCTCAATATTTATTTTCCCGTTTGATGCCAACTTCTTGGCACAACCTGTCTGTGTAGTAGATAATATACATATTATTTATTCTTAGTATCACAGGAATGTATAATAACAGATTTTTCGAATTTTCAATTAATATATAATCGTACAAATAACTTATTATTCCTTCCAGAATTTTGAATGTCATTTGTTTATAAAAAATATATTTTTTTATCTAATATTTAGATTGTTTATACATTCCTTATTAGTTGCAGTTAGTTGAAGTAAAAATGGTTCACACGAATTATAAATTATTAAAACCAAAATACTGTAAATATAAAACAAAATGAAACAATAACCTAAACTAACAAAATTAAAATTTAAAAAGTTCAAACTAAAAAAGACTCAACATATAAATATCAATTATTCTAAATCACCGACAGAGCAAAAAATTACACCGTTAATAGACCAAACTCACAGTACAAGTTACCCAGCACATGCACTGTGACCACAGTTGTGACTGTGAAATTTATGATACACGTGCTATAAACCTTAATACAAAAAATGTCGTTGTTGCACATAAAATATACCGTATGAAAAAAATGCGCTGCGGATTGACAATCGATGATATTGATACTTTTGACGAGGTCAATCTCTAGATGTCATTTGACTGATATAAAACTTTTTACAGGATGTTATCAATTTTTAAAAATAGATCTTTTGTAATTATCTTAATTTTTTTTTGAAACATGCTGTAGATTCACTGAACATTAGTGTTATGAGTTTTAACAAAATTTAATAAAAAAAATTAGATTAATTAAGTAATTTATTAATTTTATTTTTATTGTATAAATTGTGATTCATTTATCTCATCAAGGAGACCGAAATGGGCAAAATATCAAGAGAAAACTTTTAATTGGAATTAAATCGAAAAAATTGAAGACTTTTACCCCCTATAGCTACGAGACAAAATAAAATCGCACCCAAGTTAATATAAAAAATAAATCTTATTTTTACGTGAGGAATCTCCCCATGAGAGATGGCACATGATTTTTGAAACACCCTCTATACAACTTATATTCTGATTAGCTTACTGAATCCACGCAATAAACACGAAGTATCTAAATTAATATACTAGCTTCTACCTCCCACTAGTCAACTCGCATACCTAACGTTGCCGTTTGTTGTCCCTTAATTTCGCAGTTCTGCAAGCGCATAAACGATAATCGGTAGGGTATTTCGCGTGCAATCTAAAAAAAACTTACCTCAGAGACTAACCAACTCAATCAAAACGGCGTGTTTTATTATTGGGTATGCGAGTTGACTAGTGGGTCGTAGAAGCTTCTAATTAATATAGGATTAAGCACCAACAATATTTTACTTTTAGTTCATGCCTCTGCAGAACTACGTTGACAACTGTCACCAATTCACCGACATATGCGGAGCAATTCCAGGAATGTGTGGTGCTTCTTTATTTTATATTATACTGGGATTTTTCGGTTACATTAATCCTCGAAAAAAAGTCAACGAACCTCTAAACGATAATCTGCCAGGAGACATCTCGTAAGTAGCTAGGATATTCTATTAATTTTAATTGTATATTTTAAACATAATCATTTTTAAGTATAAGGTGTAATTAAAACCACTAATTTATTCCACTAATTTCGAGGTTCTGAGTGAAGTTTAACTATTTTTTTTTTTATTCATTACAGTATCGTACTAGCAATAAACACTTTAATAGCATTTGCGTGCTTCTGCACCTTCAGTCTTCAATTTTATATGTGCATGAACGTCGCCTGGATCAGACTTAAACACAAATGTCCTAAGCAAGAAACGTTATATCAGTATGGACTGAGAAGTATCATGACTATCATGTGTATAGTTATTGCAATTATACTACCAACAATCTTGCCATATATTAATTTAATTGGTGCTTTACTGATTCCGATTTTTGGTTTATTACTACCAGGTACAGTTGAACTTATCACCCAGGACAGCTTCAAAACTTTAAACTGGAAAAAACTGAAGGACATAATTTCTCTAATATTAGGCACTGCAGTCCTTATTTTTGGCTCAAAATCAGCTATTTTTGATATAATTGCATTATACTCTAACTGATAATATTACCAAATTTATTATCATACACTATAATACATTTATAAAAATACATTTATTTTTATATAGTGTTTGGTAATATGTTCTTCGTTGATTCATTTACAAGACCTACAATATCTTTTTTTCAATTTAAGTAGTAACGAATACTATCATTTAATTAGTTATACATTTAGTTACAACATATTCAAAATTTAGGTCTATCGGTTTATGCTAGCAGTAATAACGAGTATAAATAAAAAAAATGGTCAGTACAATGCTCGCCGTTTTTAGCGCACGTTCAGCTTTGGTTTTAGTTTTAGCGCTATTTTTACAGAAAATAAATTCTGAACTTTGATCAAATGACAAGAACATTATCATTGCCGATATATCCTGGTTATAATGTAGTTCTTTTTTCAAAATATTGCATTGTTTTAGCTTAAAAAAAACTTGAATTATGCGGCTTTTTTGCGAGAGCTACCGGCCCCGCAATAATTCAAGTTTTTTAAATAAAAGATGGCTATTTGAACGTCAATATTATAAGACAGTATTTGCGATAGTCTTTTGTTTAGTATAGAAAATGTCAGAACAGCTTGTTTACTACCACTAGTATTTGTGCGTTTTTTAAATTATTTATTATTAAATAGAGGAAAATGCGACCGAAAAAAGAAAGCTCAAAAGTTAAAAATCCAGTTTTTAGGCTTATCGGAAGCGCTAAAGACTCATGAGTATTTATATGCAAAAATCAACACGCTACAATAATTATTAACGAAATGACGGCAGGTTTAAAATTATTTATTTTGTTAAATCGGCGCGTCGCTGTCTCGCTTGCCTACTGGGCTGCCCGCGGCCACGCGCTAAGGTCGTTGTGCAATCCGGACGCTCAATTTGTAAACAACCAACAAAGATAGTTCTATAGAAAAAGCAATTGCTTCTCTTTATTCATCAGGCCCATTGACACTAAAGTCTATAAACCTGACTAAATGAAATTTTGACAAAAATGTTTAAATTTGTTGTATAATTTAAGATGCAAAAATTAGTTTAAACCGAATTTTATATTTAAACTAAATTTTCGAATTTTTGTATTGCATTTCTTGAAATTGTGTGTTGAAAATATGCCGTAGCATTTAAACAGTCGAAGCAAAGATTGAAGCTTGTAGCTTCCCTGATAAACTATTTTAAACGAGAACGTGACAATAAAGGTCCTTTATTACCCTTGACTGCAGTCAGAGAAGTAAGTTTGATTGATAAGCACATTACACCACTTTCAAAGTTATTTCTACGTGAGTTTTAATTAAATTCTGTGATTATTAGTTTGTGTATTAATAGGACGAATAGGACCCTCTTACTTGTTACTTCTGGCGTTGTAAGATGAACATCAATAAATAATTAACCCATAATAACGCTTAGAATAATCTTCATAATGGACTAGTTTTTGCCAATATGTGATAAGTAAAATAAGCTATAAAAGAAATAAATCAATTAATTACTAACATATTAGTTATTAAATTAAAAATAAAACGTAAAAATCGAATGATATAATAAATATATTGTTTGTCACTTTTAAATTAAGATTCATCTCATAAATCCATCACAATCTGGCAGCGCTGTCGCCACCGCTTGTCACTCAAAGTTGATCGCGTGCATCGGAAATTGTTTTGCGATTACCATAGATGTTGCATGGTTTATAAAGGGGTACATCCTAAAAATATTCTGTTGTATACACGGTGTGTCAAAAAAAATATGATAAAAGTTTTAAGTTTTTTAAATTGCACCCCCCATTTTTCTGTACAGATTTGGATTCAGCATAAAATTCTGCATTATGACATAATTTTTATCAAAGCCACCTAATAAAGATCTTAGTGTCATAGGCAAAGTGCAATACAAATGAAAAACATTAAAAGAGTGCTTTGAAATCATCAGAAAAATTATATGGGGAATGGTCAACGATCGTCATTTGCCAAATGGACGCCGTTTTTCTTTATCATACTGTATATTATTATTACAAGGAATGGAAATGACGTGTAATATTCAGTTAAAACAAACGAAATGAAATTAAATATTTTATTGGAACTGATTTAGGGACATGGAAATAGTTTTCATTAAATTAACAGCATGTGAACATTTAAAAAATATACAATAATACCTAGGCACTGTTCATGAGAAGTGTACACTCCTACTACTCCATTTTCCAACTCAGATTTTCTTTTTCCGGTAACTAATAGGTGTTATATGGTATAAAAAGGTCGTAGAAAAACATGAATTTCAGCGGGCCCTCAAATGGAGTATACTCTTTAAGTGAAAAACACTAGAATGTGTGCCACATAACAATTTTAGCCACAATCTATAATCACAGAAATTTATAGTTTGTGATCACTTCATACAGGGTCTATCAGAACTCTCTTAGAAATCTAAGTTAGTCTTAAATTGTTTGTTAAAAAGTGTAAAGTGGTAAATAAAAAAAGATACATTAGAGATACATAAAGACATAAATGTAAACAATACCAAATAAACTTTTAGTTCCGTCATCGAGGGCGTGATTATTAAATTCATTGTTGCCAACCATGGATATACCGGGTGCGTCTCAAAAGTGGCTCACCCCCTATAACTTTTTTATTTTTTCAGATAAGAAAAACGATATTAGGTGCGTAAGTATCTACATAAATAAAATGCTAATATTTACCTGTGTCGTCTCTACTGAAGTAACGACTTGCTCTAGAAAGTTGCTTTTTTTACTAAAAGATAGCTAATTGTCTCTTCTAAAAACTGTCTTCGCCGGATTTTTTGTTTTTCATTTAATTAAAAAAAATAAAAGGTATTTTTTTCCTGATGTCGTGGAGGATGCGCCAGGCTTCAACTAGTATGACATAAATTAGGATTGATTGACGTATTCAATTGTTTTTGGTCACTTCCTGTTTCACCGGAAATGACTATAACTTTTGATTTTTAAATGGTACTCTTGGTATTTTTTACTTTATTCGATAGAAAACGACTGTCTGAATAGAATGACGTATCAGATGTCAATTTTTGACATTTTCGCATATGGTTTATTTGAAATAATTGTAACATACGGTTCATAATGACAATTTGACTCAAAATACCAAGTGTGTGGTACCAAATTATTTGTAAAAAAATACTTTTCCAAATATGCTAATGAGCCACCCTCGTTCCATTTGAAAAAATTGAGATACGATTAAAAATACGATTTGGGCATCTTTTAACCGATCAGGACAAGACATGAAAAACATTAGACGAACAAATCTTGTGTTTGTTCGTCTAATATTTTTTAACACAGCCTCTATAATACACTCTAGATTGAAAATTAAAATACATTTTTTTAAGCGAAAATGTCAAAATTTGACATATGGTATGTCATTCTATTCAGAATGTCATTTTCTATCGAATAGAGTAAAAATATGCCAAGGGTGTCATTTAAAAATCAAAAGTTATAGTGATTTCCGGTGAAACAGGAACTGACCAAAAACAATTGAATACGTCAATCAATCCTAATTTATGTCATATACTTACATTCCAAGTATCTTTTTTTATCTGAAAAAAATAAAAAAGTTATAGGGGCGAGCCACTTTTGGGACCCACCCGGTATTCGGCGCCAGGTTGACTAACTGGAATTTAAATTTCCCGCTGGCGATTCAGGTGGTAGCTCTGTTGTAAAAAATGTCAAGTTGCCACATTTATTTATTTCTTAACATTTTGATCATATACGTATTATTTAAAATATACTCACGGTTCTCTATTTAAAACCGTGTGCAGTTTCTGTACCGTAAGAGAAAGACAACATAACCCAGCTCCATATTAAAACTGCATAACTCTATTTCACCCGGATATCGATTGAACTGCGATTGCGCCAAACTCCCATTGATTGTTGTTTTAGTTCTGTTTGGATTACTTTTTATTTGTGCGCGTAAAAGAGTGATTTTGTTTAGTTTATTGTTTCCAACTATTTTTTGATATTTTTCCAACTCCACTATAATGTGTTATAAATAATAACAATATAAATAAAATTAAAGGTTAGGTGAAATGTCAGTCAACCACTTCCCTTTAAAAACACCGACCAATGAAAACTTCTTCAGGTAAGGCATGCGCAGTTAAATGAATATCCGGGTGAAATAGACTTATGCAGAATTCCATATTTCTCTTTCACTGTTTGGGCTTCACTTTTTGGAGATTAGGCTGAGTATATTTTAAATAATACGTATATGATTTTCATTCGTTTTGACATTGAGTTTTTAGTTTAAGTGAATTGTGTTGTGATACTTAACAGCGCTTTCAGATGGAGCGGACCGTACGAGCGGATGTTTTTTCAATACAGCTCATCGGAAACGCTGAAAAGCTTTTTATTACCAATTTTTTTACTAGTAGACCTTGCAGTCGAAAACTGTTCTTTTTAGAACTACTTTTAGTGCGAAGTGTAGAAGATGCCGAAGCAGCTTAACAGCCGTTGTAAAAAACTCATTCTAACCTTATTAGAATATTTTGAACGGGAAAGCAGTATAAAGGGCATTTTATGTCCCTTGATGTAAATAATATAACTGTTTGTATAGTTACAATTAATTCATTTTTGTTCCTTAAAATACTTTGATTAAAAGAAAATATGTAAAAGTCGGCAATGCTGTACCGGTCAAGCTTGACTAAAAGTTTATCCGGATATGATCTATATATCGTTAGTTATATGCAACAAGTATCAGTATCTTCTGGCATATTGTTGTTTCCAAAGAATTCAATATCGTTTAACAATTAAGACACTAATTTAGAGATAATCTTACTTGATAGAACCCTGTAATTGAGAGAGAGATTTACATAACACTAACAAAAAAATATACACATAGACGGAACATAGGAATTTTGGTTTTGCTATAAACATTGTTTTGTACTATATTACACATTTTTTTAGAAAAAAAATCACTAAAAACGATTCGTTTTTAAGTAAGACGGAACATATCACCTTAAGTAACTTTTTACAGGGTGACACATTAGTTTGGCATCTAAAACATCTGAAAATCACAGAGGCGAAAAAAGTAAAACAATATAATGATATGTAACTAAAATGAGTATAGCAAATGTAACTTCAAAGCTCCTTTCAATCACCCTGTATATATTAACAGATATATATTTTTGTAGTTTCGATGAATACATTGTCTATACAATTTTTGGTTTTTCTTGATTTTCACAGGCACAATTAATGTTCTAAGATACACGCTGGGATTATTTCGTTTATATCACATAAGTATTTCTAATTCTTTTAAGGGTCGCTCCAAAACAGCGTACAGAGAGGGAAAACAAAGTTAAAAATATAACACCCGACTTCTGTGACTAGGCCCTAGGTATTCAGCTGTTATTGTTAAACCACTCTGTACGTAATTTTGATATAATTAGTTACAACTGCTCATTTTATATTTTTAAATTTCGTATACATTGCTAACTTTCTAATCTCAAGAGGCCCTGATTCTAACTCATTTCGATCATATATAAATTGATGATATACATCAATATTGCAACACAGATCTTCTGGAAGATTCTATAAAAGGAATCTGAGAGTAAAACCTGACAGTTATGTTTCACATTGACAGTTGCCTGCCATTACTATCAAACTATCTAGATTTTTGACAGTTTGTAAAAGGAGCGCCTAAATTAAGCAAGCTCCAAGGTTGCCATTTAGGAAAAAAATGAAAGAAAACAACCAAAGAGGTTTAAATCTTTTTGTTTGTTTTCTTTCGTGTTTCTCTGTTAAGTTTTAGGGGATGTACGTCAAATATAGCAACATCGAGAGCCGTGTTATTACTGGCGCGAGACGATCGTCCAATATTTGTATGAATGGCAACGTTGGAGCTTGCTTAATTTAGGCGCTCCTGTTTGTAAAGCCTAATGAAAAAATATTTGGAATATGAAATGTCACTTCAATCCGCAACGATTTTTTAGATTAATGATTATTAATTGTACAGTGTGTTCCATTTTCGCTGTCATTGTTGGTTATCTCAGTTGTTCTTGACGATAAAGAATTGCGGTTTGAGCGTTTTTCGTGAATCTCAACGAAACCGCAAAAGTATTTTTATACTCCATTTTGTTTATAAGATATAGAAAATTGAAAATATTACATTTTTAGAACCCCTTCTACTTACTGAAAAGTTTGAAAACTAATTCTTAAATATTTCAGTTATTGGTGTTTGAAGGTAACCTAAATACAATGGGAGTTTTAAAATGCACTGTTTTCAAATTTGCCCTGTATTACATAAAAAAGCAGAGTATGACAACTTGAATTACAGGAACAAGTTTATAATATTTTAAATATAAACGGAATATAAAGCTTCGTTAAACAAATTCTAAGTAAAGTTTAAAATTCTTAATGATGGCCAAAAAAATTGACATCTTGACACAAACTAAAAGTTGTATCATATCCTTCAGACATTCTTAGACCGATAATTGTCATAACACTTACAAAAAAACTTCTGTCGAAATGAGAATTGATAAAATTCCAATATTTTTTTTAATCATTTTCTTCAATAATCCTACATTCGAAAGTGTTTTTATATATAAAAAAAACAATATTTAAGATATAAACTTCATTTAGCTTAAGAAACAATTTATATCTAATTTTTTTTGTGTTTTAAGACTCAATTCTATTTAGCAGCTAAATAATATTTTTTGATAAATAAACGTTTGAACAAAGCAAGTTTTAAAAATTAAAAATATAAATATGAGCAATTATTACACACATTTTATTGCACTTTTTGGCAATAAAACTTTCATAGCTTAAATATTTAACTAAAAATACTTGATTCAAAGCCATTATGAAAATCTTTGAAGTAGAATACCGATATACGCCTAAATTTATTTTTAGTGAAAAAGTCAAAAATAAAACACAAAATCGATTTTTTACAATCTTTAAAACGTGGAAAACTTACGATCCTCAAAAATTTTAACAAGAGCTTTATCTTTCAATAAAATATAAACTTAAATAATCATTACCTATATGGGATAAGGAATAAATTAATACCTTATGTTACAAAAAATAATTTTACAAATATTGCTGTTGAATAATGCATTTAAAACAGTATTATACAGAGTTACCTTTTAAAAAACAATTTACTACTAAATAAAAAAACACTACAATGCAGAACAATTGACTAACATTTGAAAATTGACTATGTTTAGACCAGTTAGTCAACATAATAATATAAAGATAGACTTCACAATAATTTTGAAAGGGAACCCTGTACAAAAACAAAACTACCAAGAAACAATAGTGAAGTGAAACATATAATTACAAACATTTGTGCAAAATACAAATACAAACATGATTAAGTATAACTTATTTACAACGGAAAAAATCACAGATTAGGATAGAGTTAATAAACGTCTTTTTGGAGAGCTATGATGAAAAGATTTATACAAACTCTGGTCTTCATTTTCTCAGCCATTTTAAGGATACATCGACTCCAAACTGAAGCATATGTAATTATATATTCTCAAACCATTTATAACAACGATATTTAAGTTATTACTTTTAAAGCTTTATAACTGGTACCACGCTTATTTTACAAAATATGGTAGTAAGATATTAAATATTTCGGTAGTATTAGTAAACTCATTTCAATTTAAAAACAATTACAAATTGTTATAAATAACAACTTTACGATCAAAGAAGAAAAATAACACCTGTTATGTTGCTAGTATTTTTTAAGTAGATAATGTTGCTGATTAATGACTTAATTTGAAATGAATTAACTAACTGTGTGTAAGATTTAAAATATATATTTAAACTACCTTATCAGCCCACTATTGTTAAAAGGCAGCATTTATTGTTCTAAAAATCTCCTTGGTGTACATTACAAAGAGAGTGTTGTCCATTTATAAACTTGGGAAGTTACAAAAATTTAATACTATTATTCGTATTTACACCCCATGTTCTTTATGGCATACTCACTATTGTTTATTTCCTTTAAATGTTATTTGAGTCCCCCCTATTTTGATATGTTAGGGTCTATTACTAAGCAGCTGCTCACACTTTTTCAGCTTTTTCTGTCTGAACAGGCTCTAAAGGCGTATGTGGTTTCTCTTCAAGTAACTCTCCTTCGTGCGATCTGTAAGTAAAATCAAATACACATTCAATTTTAGTCATCGGATAACTGTGTTCTGTGTTAATAATGATAACGATGGCGACGGTTTTTAAAATCAGTAACTGAATTATGTATCGGGTGGCCAACTAAGAATGGACGCCGGCTGTATCTCAGAAATTATTTATTGTATAACTTTGGGAAAAAATGTAATAAGTAAAACGGCCCAGAGAAAAACCGCCGAAAATTATTTCGAAAAACTGTTGTAAAAATAAGTTCGAAAAATTTCGATGTTAAAAGCAATATGGCGGCACAAAATTCCTGAAAATTTAAATAAAATTATTGATTGTCCGACTCTTGGATATTTTAATCTGAAAACTACCTACATAAAATTAACCAAGAAATTCGAAAAAAAAAAATATATATGGATGGACGATAATGTTTAAAACACATTTAAAAATTTATGACGTCATTTTTCTCAAAAAACGTCCGAAATTCGGATGCATGAAAACTAAACTTAAACATTTTAACATAACCAATTTACCCCTTTTTGTTTCCTAGCGTACTACTATAATTTTTACACTTTATAATCATAGGCGGTGACCCTGCGCTGATATTGTGAAGATTCTGTCAAAGTTTACAGAATAAAATATAAGTTCGGTCACTTAGCATCGGCACTTTGAAAATCGCGTATCAAAAGCCAGAAGCCGCCTCGTCCGATACGCCGGATTTCGATGAAAACAGGAGTGGAAGCCGGGGTAAATAGAAGCCGAATTTTTACCGATCGCAATGTGCGACAAGGTGCAGGGGCACGTGGGGTATTTCAAAAATACCTAATGGTATTCAAAATCTACAAAAGAAAAAATATACTATCAGTTTATTGGTGTATTACATATAAATATTTAGACATGGCAAGATAAAAAAAGATATAGCAAAAATAAAATAAATTTTAAAAACAAACACAAAAAATAATGCTACACAATATCAACAGTAAATAATGTAAAAGTATATTACGTAACGAGTGTTTTAGAAAAAATAATATTACGCACGAGTGCAGTATTCCATGAGTGCGTAATATGGTTTTCCAACACGAATTACGTACACTATAAAATTCAAAGCTGATACTATTAAATGTCAACAAATTTTGATGTTTAAATGGGATCCTCGGTATTTTTTTACGTTATTCGATAGAAAATGATACTCTGAGTAGAAAGACATATCATATGTCAGCTTTTAACAGTTTCACATATGATTTATTTGAAAGTGTAACACGCGGTTTATAACGACAATTTGACTCGAAATACCAAGTGTGTGGCATGAAATTATTCGTAAAAAAATACTTTTGAGCCACCCTCCAAATATACTAATGAGCCACCCTCTTTCCATTTGAAAAAAATTAAGATATGGTTAAAATTACCATTTGGGCATCTTTTAACCGGCCAAGACAAGACATGGAAAACATTAGACGATCAAATCTATTTTTCCCAGGACTCCTCGATTAAAGTTTTGTTTTTAAAAGAGCTATACTCAATATTGAAATTTTAAAAGATTTTTTTAAGCTAGAATGCCAAAAGTTGACATATGATATGTCATTCTATTCAGAGTGTCATTTTTTATCGAATAAAGTAGAAAAATGCCGAGGTTGCCGTTTAAAAATCAAAAGTTGTAGTCATTTTCGGTGAAATCGGAAGTGACCGAAAAAAATTTAAAACGTTAATCAATCCTAATTTAGGTCATATACTAACACACCAAATCTCGTTTTTTAATCTGAAAAAATAAAAAGTTATAGGGATAAGCCACTTTTGAGACACACCCAGTATATGATTTTTCGTGTAAAAAATAAAGTGTTCTTGAATAATTCTAAATAGATATTTTAAATAATTTTTTTCCAGTGGCGAAAAACTCAATATTATTTTTAAGAAATAATAAAAATAATTATGCTTTTTTATAATAAACTAATAAATAATTAACTAAGGCTAATGTGATCAGTAACACTTTGCAATGAAAAATTAAATAACCACTTGAAAATTAATTCCATATGCATGCGAGACCACTCTGTAATAACGCCAAAATCAGAGTAATACGCCGAACGTGATCCGCCGTGTATGCTGGGTCCAAAGTCCACACACCAGTAATACACTGGGAAACACGTGCGTGAAGCGGCTTTTGATACCTGCCGCCGGCACAAGTGACGGAACTTATATTTTATTCAGTAAACTTTGATTCTGTGTTCTATATAACTGTGCAAAAAGAAATATAACCTACTATTGATTACAATAACAATATTTAAAATACTTCTTTACCTGCATATTTTTAAGAAAAATCCTGTTTTCTGGTTGAACTTGAAAATAATTTCCAGCTATTTCTAAGTTATACAATAAGTAGTTTCTGAAATCGGCTGTATCTCAGCCGTCGCTGTATCTGCGTCCATTCTTAGTTGGCCAGCCGGTACTTATTATATTAATTACTAGAGATGAGTAGGTCCGGATGGATACGAATCCACAGACCTCCCAACCACAGATTAGGTATCCTATAAGCACGGCATATAAATCACACGGCAGGCCGACTCGCTTTGGCGGGAACGCTACGCGCATATCCTCGCGCACGCCGCCATTTGCGTTTCCATCAACAGAAACTAGCCAGTGTCGTAGTTTTTTCAGCGACAACACACAGTTACGGCAGATTCGGGTCAGTAGCGTGCGACTTAATTTTTTTTTATTTTTTTTTGAGTGATATATTTTGTTTTTGTTGTTTTATTTTTGTTTATTATGTGATATATTTGGGTTTTCTAGTTTTATTTTCGTTTCTTATGTATTATAATTGCTAAAAGGTGCCCGGTGGCGTAGAGGTACAGGCTCTCGTCTACCAATCTCAAGGTAGTGGGTTCGAATCCCACATCCGGCATTTCATCAGCCGACAATTTTTATTAAAATAAAAATAGTTTGGGTACCTAGGTCGACTCAGCCTTAAATGAGTACTTGGGATTCACAATCCTGAGGTAACGCGAAATTTCGAGAAACAATAGGCGGTTGAAGCGTAGTGCTAGCCACATTACCTTCCTTTGTATACCGAACGGCTCTAGTATGGGAAGCTGTACCTTGCTACTCCCAAGGCGTCAAACGCTATATACGGGAGCTAGTATTATTATAATGTAATATAATTTGTTTTAGTAGTTTTATTTTTGTTGTTCAAGAAAAGTTTCTTTCTGTTTCCTAGAGATCCTATTAGGTTTGTATATATGTGATTAATTATTTTAACATATTTTAGTTGTGAAAAAAAAACAGTAGTATACATATTAGGACATTCAGCTAAATAGGAAGATCTAATTAAAAATTTTAACAAACTTTAATATTAGTAAGATTTAATGTTAAATATTTAGTAAAATTTAATGTTGTATCTAGACATTAAAAACTAAATTTAAAAATCATTATACTATTAATTTAATTATAATTATAAAAGTAAATAAAATGAGTATATCTAAAATAAGTTAACAATACATTTTGAATATATAAATAAGGCCCACAAAAGGTACAAGTTGCGTTCTGTTCATTTTGAATTTAAAATGTTTACCAATTCACTTTGTAACCGTATAAAATACAATGCGGTACCTACTTCGTTGCGGTCCTGCCATGAAAAAAATAGAAGTTTCCAAAAATATTGTGGATTTATTAATTTGTGAAATTTGAATATTAATAAAATTTGCTACGCCCATTGATGGGCATAATTTGTACGTAGCCTCTTTATATTGTTCAATAAATATTTTATTGGTATTTCTTTAATTCTTGTTTGTAACTCCTGGCATGTTTTTGTTAGTTGCATGTTTTTTAATTTTAATTGTCTATTCTCTACAGTAAAATATTTAATTGATTTTTTCATTTTTACTTGTCGAGAAGTATGCGCGGTTGAGGATTCGTTTGTTTGGACAAAAGTATTGTGTAAATAAAATTCAGTTTCAGTCAATTACAGTATTTTTTTAATACGCCCTGTCGTATTTTCTGAGAAATTTTTTGATACGTTTTAATCCGGCCCTGACTAGGAAACGATAATGGCTCCGTCAAGGTCAAATTTTATAGAAATTTTAAACAAAGGAATCTGAGCAGAGTTGGCGTGCCGATTGTTTTATGTGTCGTGCTATAAGTATACAGATAAAAATCTTGTCCCTAATTCGTGGTACGAAAATTGTTTTTTATGACAATGAGCAAACCAGTAAATTTTCTTATGCGCAAAAATAAACTCCCATTTAAACAGCGTAATAACTGGGCCAGTCAGGCACTGTGCACAATTTTAGAGGCCATAAGTGGGCGTGCTTGTGCGCAAACTAGTAACCTAACTAGTGCGCGACTGCGAAAATTGGAACCACGAAAAATAATGCTTTTGACGATAAGTTTATAATCTGTGTCTCAACGGTGTCCTGTACTGATGTAGATCCTACTGAATACCGACCCTCTATCTGCGGAACTGCATTGCTGACAGCCAACCGGCTATCTCCCTCTACTGCCATAAATGTGAACCTTAAGGTATTTCTACCAAATAACAACATAGCTACATCATAGAACAGCTATGGACATAGAACAACTAAGATCAGGGGATAAGGATTTGGCAAAATGCAAACATCAGATTTCCCTAACGGACTACAAAACTTTTGAACGCTTCGTTAGTTTCATACAAAACAAAATTTAGTTAAATTAGAATAAAGGTGAGACTGATATTTGCCACAACTGGGACCTGAATGTAGGTCCAGGGAGCTTGATGAATCTCTGGACCCGACTCTTAAAATACCGGATCTACCCATCTCTATTATTTACCTAAAAAGGTCTTTACTCTCTTGCTTCTTTAGATACAAGACTACTCAAATAATTACCTGTACCTGTGTTAGATAGTCTAGCGTTTTCTTCTAGAGCATCAGCAATATTTTGGTTTTGTTTAACTGGAACTAATGTGTACCTTTGTATTGTATAATTATTACCGAATAAACTTTTATTTATTAAAAACAAACATTTTACTTACAAAGAAGGCTGTGATTTATCACCTAGATCTTGATCATCTGCTGGCTTTTCTTGTTGAACGTCATTATGATCTCCAGACGCTGCACTTGTAACTCCTACGTTTTTCTTGGAGTCTAATAGTTGATCATCAGCGATATGTTCTACCTATAAAATTAAATAAAATTCAGTAACAACCAGTTATTTTTATTGATTTTGCTAATAAATAAATAGACTTGGTGGATTTCAATCAATTTTTAACGCAGTTCCGGTTGCATAACACTCGATAATGTGTTGGTAAACATATTTTTGGATGTGATATATGAGAGCATCAAAGATTTTGTGCTATTGAGTATTACTTATCAAAGTTGGTGACAGCAGTTTTATATAATACATATATTATCTACATAAATTAAGTCAATTACATTATACATGACTTGTATAGGTACTTTTACTCATATTATATGCACATAAAATACTTAATAATTCAAACTAAATAATTAGGTATTTCATGTAGTTTTTAACGACCTCACTCGATTATTTTCATTGCTGTTATATTATACTAGTTGCAGTAGCCAGCGTGTTATTACTAATCTAAAATGTTTTATTAGCTTGAGTAATAATACACGTTAGACCTAAAGATATCAAAAGATTTAACATTTTTTATTTTTTTAGAATTTTCACAAATTGCACTTATTAATGCTTTTCAAATAATATTATAACAAATTTTTCGTGTACTCGCTATTTAAAGCCGTGAATTTTGTTAGTCGGCTGTTTACGGTATTCTTTGATGGTGGCAGTACCGGCGGAGAATGCGCCAAGCCCATACATCAATGACGGTAATTTTCAACATACATTGTTCTGATTGTCCTTCAATGCAACTTCTTTCAAGCTCTCGTTAAAGGCTGCAAAGGATGGTGTTTCTACAAAAGTTGCTGAACTGAAATCGGCCCAAGCGGAAGACGTCGTATTTTCATTGGTGCTACTTGCTAAGGCGCTCCAGGGATCTGGCTTTGGAGATGTCCAAGCTAAACAAAAAGTTTATTATACAGCGACGACCAAAAAGTTCGCAATTCCCAACAAATATTTTTTTAAGTATGGAGTTTTAAGTATCAAATAAACTTTACAGTGAAGTCTTAAGCCGACGGTACACCTGAAGAATGTTTCGTCTAGTTAATATTGACCTTCTAGTTCGCCCAACATATTTCTGGTTACAATCAATATGTTGGGCAAACTAGAAGATCAATATTAACTAGATTTAGAGAACATATGGCTCAGATAAGATATGGTAGGTCGAATAAATCTTGCGTTGCTCAAGATATTGTTGATAAAGATCATTGTATATATATTAATACTTTAAAATTGACTAAATGAGATTTTTTTGAAAATCAATTTTGTTTTTTTCTGTCGTTACTTTTTAGAAAATCAAAAAACTAATTGCACATTCTTATAGCCAATTTATTAAAACTATCTAATAGTATTTTTAGATTTTGAAATTAGCTGATAATTTGTGAGATACAGAGGCCAACTATTTTTTTTAAATACGGACCTGCATTTTTTATTTCATCTTTTGAAAGAACTCGGTCTCCTGAGTACAATGATATGGCACACTTGATAACTTTTGTTTTGTTTTGAGTACTTTAACAATAACAAAACTATTTAATGATTATTTTAAATAATTTCAAATCCGACTCTGCTTTTTTAATTATTTAATTTGATTATATTCAGGGCAACAATATTGATCAGCGCTAATTAACATTGAATAAGGAAAATAAGTTAGCAATTTAAAAATATTATTTTTAATTTTTGTTATTGTAAAGTCTCAGTGTACGATATAATAATATGCATAATATTGTTACGTTTTTCGTACTACAATATTACAACAATATTAATCATAGTTATTATAAATAAATCAACTTCTACAAACTAGTTTCTAATGCTCTCCATGTTCAAAAGGATTATTACCCTCTCTAATGTAGAAATTTATTTTTCGTTCAATCTTATTTATAGCTCTTTGAACATATCTTCTTATACTTAATAATGCATTTTGTACTCTTTATTGTAAATGTTGAAATGTATTGATTTCACTTTTACAAATTACGTCAAGCCCATAGACAAACTAACAAAAGCAAGACTTTTCAAAGGATTGAGGAAGTCGAATTATTGTTTTTGCGCTGGCCAGTTGAGTCAGAAATCATCGCGCAGTCGCACTCGTCAAACCTAACCTAAATAAAACGAAAAACGTTTTTGCCTTGAACGAACTGTTGAATTCCTGATTTTGCATTTTGTTTGGTTATTACTATTATTTTATTAGCGTACAAAACGAAAACAAATAATTTAATACATTTTACATTTATGAAGAACATAATAATTACTGTGATTTACATATTATTGTGATTACATCGCTAACGTAGACAAAACGAAGGTCCTACAAATTGACTGTAAGTTATAAGAATCTTTATCTTTTTAATCTTTTTATGATTTGAATTTTCGTGCTTTATATTTTATAATAGACTCGAAATGTTAATATTTTTGCAAATTCTTGTGAAAATGTGAAGTTTATGTTTTTGTTTTATATTTGAAAAAGTTTTATATTTTTAAGATGTTTCTTGTTGTTCCTATTATTAATATTATAATATACATAATTATTTTTTTGTACCTTTTGAAGAATAATGCTTTTATTTCGTTTACCATAACTGTTTTTTTTATCATCTTTTTTGTTATTTTAATAAGAGAAATACGTTTTCGTTTATTTAACTTTTGTTTTTATATCTGTTATGTCCAGAAATTATTGTTTATTTTACCGATGGAAATAAATTTATTTGATTTTAATAAACGCTTTTTAATTAAACATCCTTGTCTAAAAGGCTACTACAAAATACACAATCCATAAGTAAACCGTCCTCGTCTAAAAGGCCAGTTGACGCAAGCGCGGTAATAAACTCTTATCAAACTTGTTACCGTTTTGCAGTACAGCGTTGACGCGTCTTGCTTTTGTTAGTTTGTCTATGGTCAAGCCATACTCTGAGAGTGTGCAATCAATTTTATAATTTTTTAAAAAGTAAGAACACGAAAAAATAAAATTTATTTTCAAAAAAATCCGGTTTTCCCAAAAAAATCAGCAATCCTTGAAATGTTTAAAACTTTTTTGATGGCATCTTGGTAAACACCCTAAAGGCGCAACTTTGCCCCAATTTAACCATATTTGTATCTATTATGGTTAAAGAGATACCAATGCTCGTACCCCGAATTTGAAGCACCCTGTATAAACGATCAATTTGTAGATATTAGTTTTGTTTTAATCATCTGCTAACATGGTTGCGAAACGCGCGTCCACTGCAAAAGTAAAGTGTTTTGGTGAATTAGTGTTTTATTTTGCTGTTGTAACATCAAAGGTTCCAATCCGCAACTGTAACTTTACTTACGGTCAACGTCCATATTGTCGTCACCTGAAGGACTCCCTTCGTCGCTGTCGCTGCTATATACTGTGTCATTCTTATCTCCTTGTTTTTCTATAACAGTCTGAAAGGTGTGATCTTTTTCTTCGAAAGTTTGATCGTCCCCGTCAAATAGAGTATTTATATTCTGCGCACAAACTTGCTTGAAAATTTCATCTCTTCGAACGATATCATTTTCCGACAGATCGAAGTTTACATCTGACGGGTTATCTATGGTTCTATAAAAGAAGATTTAAAAAATAATTTTATTGTATTTGCTGCCTTATCGATGGTAACTAAAATATACAAACACATTTACGTTTAAAAATTGGGTTCTTAAATAAAAGGAAAAATGTAATCTATTCTATTGTAAATTCATGTCATTTTTTATGTAAATATGAATATGGATAACAGTATATATATTTTTCTTACTAAGCTTAACACCTAAGAAACATAGGAAAACTAGCAAATTCGAGAAACAATAAAAAAATGGGACTTAAAATACTATTTCCTTTCCTATATTGTAATTTTATGCTTTGAGAAAACACTTTAAATAAATTACATAACGTTACTATCACTGTGAGATATTGTCAGCTATTAGTTAGTGACAAGTTCAAACTAAGATATACGTGCTCTCAGGGTCGGACTGGCCATATAGTCAGGGAGGCGATTGCCAGCCAACATTGCCTAGCCAACCCAACCCCTGTCTTAGGACCTACATGTAAAATAGTTCCTTATTTATTTTTAGATAGAAATGTTTAATGTTAAGAAATTAATTATATAGAAAAATGGGAGGGTAATATTCTAAAGTTATACCAAAAACTTTTTTTGGATTAACAATATTTTCATTTGTATTGCATTACGGATAGTTTCCTGATTTCAGACACTAACAACAAATCAAAAGGGAAAAATTGTCCAAGACATCAGGCGAAAAATACACAAAAAGAATCCATCCGGGTCCCTTTGGCCCAGACCGATCCTACGTGCTCTTATTGTTTGTTCAGCGATCGTTCAACGTCACGTCATATTTTGTTGAACCCTCTCTTTCACTTGACAACCAGATGAAAGAGATTAGTGACGTATTTCGGTATTTTTCGTATTTGCGGTATTTTGTAAATTACTGTACATTGTTTTTAGTACTCGTAATTCTCGTCTTCATTTGATTTAGGGTTATAATTTTGTTGGCGGACATCGATCAATGTCAAAATTAAAATTTAATTGCGCTGTGAAACAACTTTTAATTCTGATTTTCGGATTTTTAATTTAAAATTCATTTTTTTACTAAAATACGTTGCCGATTTAGCATTAGATTAGTATTTAATGAACAAGTTCTCATCGTAAAGTTTATTACTTTGCGTGAAAAGAGACACCAGTAAAACACTTTGGCCCGTGGATGCCGTATAGGGTCGGTATTTACATGTGTGGAAGCAAATCGCATAGGGATCTATTAAGTCGGAGCGAGAGAAACGTGACGGAGTGCTGTTGCGGCGTTGCCGGTACGCCTTTCCCTATCAAGTAAAGTAAAATCACGATCGCAAACCGCTTATTTTTAAAAGACTTTTTTTTCGAAAAGATAACTAGATAAAATCATTAGATATGTTTCTGAGCATCTGAAATGGAATTATAAGGATACCGTTACAGTGTCCATTTTTTTTATAACGAGAAAACGTCAGTAATCGCGATAATTTAAAAACTCAACCCTTTAACACATAACACGCCATAAATTAAGAACCGCTTTAGATATTGAAACTTTTTTTTATTTTAAAGATCGGATCTCTGTTTAAATAAGAAAAAATCGATAAGGTTGTTTTTTTTCCATTCAGAAATTTTAAACAAACCACCCATTTACTTGCATAGCAATTTATTGCATAGTATTTATTAGTGTATAGCAATTTTGCACAATCGTGTAACTTTTTGACTTATAAAGATTTTCATATACTGTCTGCGAAGAAAATATAGGAGAAATATAAAGAAAGCTTTTGAAAAAACTATAATCAATTATTTCTAATGGATTTCGAGTGAATTCAGAGTTCTAATAGCGCGACCACTGTCGAACACCAACTTAATACCACTTATTTTTACCAAAAGTGCAAATGTTTCTAACTTGCACTTAAAAATTTTCAAGCTATAGGGCAAATTACAACGACTTGTTAATAAATAGACAAATAAAGTATCACGTGACGTAATTAAATCGTGAAGCTGAACGCATGATGTACACCTTTCCCTAGAACTTTAAGTACTGACAGAGGTACTGATTGAGTCGACAAGTCGACTGCCATGGTCGACTGCGACAAATCTGCTCATCCCCTTCCACGTCTCTTAGCAATGTGCACAGTTTCTCGGTTTACTTCATGCGTTTGGCAACGTGTTTACTGTTCTCTCTTAAAGTATTTTCTAAAAAGTAATTTTTGTAAAGACTTAAATCATGATCTACAAGTTAAGTCAGTAAAAGGACTTAAATCAATATATAATTACCTTCAAGCCAAGACAACCAGAATTCAATTTAAGTACCTTTTTTAAATGTTAATATTAATTTTCTTGTATTACCAATTAGCGGATTTCTTACTAAGTATCATAATATTAATTTATTGTAGGTACTGATGAGACTAAAACCACATAAAATAAAACGGTTAATTTTCAGAACAACTACAAACACAAAACTATGTTTTTTTTATAAAATTTAACCGATTTTGTATTACTTTATATGTATCCATTATAATTATAAGATATCATCGAATACATGTCTATTAAAATGGGAGAGATATATTTCTTTCGTTCGTCTTTGGGGCTACATAACGGAGTCGGGTATTCACTTGAAAGACAACAGACTCACTACTCACGCGTAATACGACAAATAGTCATAACCGGTTCCGAAAAACTAACGTTTTACTTGCTACTGGTATTGAGCATTTTTTTTCTGCTGCTTGGCTGCCGCCGAACTCAATTAAAACGAAATAACTAATAATAAAACTCACTTAAAAAGAAATACTGCTGTTAAACACTCACTTAAAACGGTTAACTCGCTTTAAACGAAATATCTAATAAATAAGAAATACTGCTGTTAAACATTTATCAAAAAGATATATAAAAATCTGACTTAAGCTTGATGCAGCTTAAGTCAAATGAATTTAATGACTTAAGTCTTTTCTAAAAAGACAAAGTCAAAGACTTAAATCCAATGAGGTTATAAGGGGGGGAGGCGACATAAGCTATCGAGAAATGTACCCAGTTACGCCATATTGGTGCTGGCAATTTTGACAGTTCATTTTTTGAGGTTAAGTGCGTTGCTGCGAGTGTTTTTTTAATTTTCCAAGACTATTTTGGTGTTTTTATTTGAATATTTAGACTTTCCGAACATGTCTTCGTGTGCTGTATGTAGTTGTTGCAGTCGACAACGTGTAGAGAAGAAATCCACTGAAATTGCATTTCACAGGTAAGTGTAAACATAATACAGGACCTGATTAAATTATTTTGGTATTTTCCATTTAACTAGTTATGCGTTTATTAATTAAATATTAAGTGTTTCTATATTGACAAAGTATACTATATAATTGTTTAGTTATTTAATACTTTGTTAGAGGCAGTTAAGTAATTAAAACATGTCTCGACTTCTATTCTTGTAAAAAAAATTCTTAACAATATCTGTTATTTTTAACTAATATACTTTTTTTGACAGGAAATGCTATTTTGCTAGACCAAATTTAAAAGTTTTGTTTTAAAAACGGTTTATTTTTCTATTTTTACACTAAGATTTTGTAGTTAAAATTTATTTACATTCTTTTTTAGCATCTGCTAGCATATACTATATAAACTTTGTGCTTTCATTTTTAGATAAATATTATAAAATCAACAAAGTAAATTTACTTTTTGCAGATAAAGTCTTAACGACTTATATTTATTATTTTAATAAAATTTTATATCAGAACATTTTAAATTTAGTACGTAGTATATAAATTTTGCTCTCTTTAATAAAATTTTTATCAAATAAATATTATATTAAATCTGATTTTTAGGTTCCCAAAAATCCCATCCGTCGAGAAGCTTGGGTGAAGTTTGTGAACAGAAGAAACTGGCAAGCTACATCAGGTAGTGTTCTATGCTCGAAACATTTTTCTGACAGCTGTTTTGACAGAACATCTCAATAAAATATCTCAAATAAATAATAATTTCCTAAGATTCCTAAATTTTAATGATTATCAAAATGTTAATTATGGTAAATCAGTAATCATGTTTAATTATTTTCCGTTTTTTTTTCTAATTTTTTTTAAAAATGTTAAGGTTATTATTGTTAGATACATCAATAAAAACAAGGCAATTAGTTTTAAGACATACTACCAACAAAACAGTGTTATTTAGTGAGCAATAAAATTTAATTTATTTAATGTGTATTATTTTTTTGTGTTTCCTCCTTAAATATACATAGTATATAATCATTAAAATTAATCTTGTAATTTATATTTTTGAAAAAATTGTAGGTTTTGTAGTTATTTTGATTAATTAATTTTTTATCTAAAAAAGTTGAGGTCATTATATTGTGTAAAATAAAATTTTTCAAAGAAGTATCTGTAATCCGGCCCTGCTAATGCCGCGATATTGGTGCTGGCTTAGGCCACGCCTAGTGTTACCATTTTTCGCAAGCACTTTAAATGCTCATAGCGTCTCCCTGTATATAACCTCATTGCTTAAATCATTTGAACTTTATGTTGAGTTTGACTTAGACATAAATAATTTTGATTTTAGAAATGACTTGAGACTTAAAACTGACTTGTTGCAGCTCTGGGCCTAAGATACTTAATTAATAATATAGGAACATACTTACCTACAGAATTTTCTATGTATTTCTATAATATGAACTGATCTCAGATACACCCTAAAACGCATATTTAAAGATGACGTAACGTTGAACGATCGCTGAACAGACAGTATATGTTTTATGTGACACTGAACATACGGCTTTTAGTTCTTTAGCGGTGAAAAAAAATCAGATAATTCAATCTGTGAGGAATATGAACGACAAAAAGATATATTTGTAAATACTATTCACATAAAAATGTTGTACTTACTGTAGAGTGTTTTCACCGTCATTAAACGCATCATCGTTTAAACCGCTGTATACATCAATATACTGACTTCTTAAATGCTGCATTTGATACTGTGTATAACTCTAAAATAAACGAATAATAGTAAAATAAATAAAAAAATATCATACTACTTTGATTATAAAGAACATAGTATTAAAATTTAATAGATATGTGTATAACATTGCAAATGAGAAGAAAAAAATCGGACAAGTACGATTCGGATTCGCCTACCGGGGGTACCTTATAAAGTCTGTATTTTTATTTTTAGTATAGATTTCAGATTTTTCCCTACAGTTGTAGTATAAGACGGTGTTACTTGCCAAATTACATTGTTCTAGGCCAACGGAAAATAACCTATAAATTTTGATTCCCTTGATAGTGTCGAAATATACGTTGTTTTAAGGCATAAGCGGTCGTATCTTTTTTTTACGTTAACCTCGAAGTTCGATTTTTTCACAGCTTCAAGGGACCGTAGACCTGAGTAATCTGAGTATATGGTTTTAATCTCAACTCGATGTATCCAGAGATCTCGTTCTCGAGATCCCAAGACCCCAAGATATAAGACAGGGAAGAACTTTTGAGGTACGGAATCCTAAAAATTAAGTAAAAACTAAATAAACTAACTTGTTGCTGCATTGCACTGCACTGTGGAAGTTCATCATCATTAAATTCGTCGCTGTCTTCCATAGCAACATTTGGATTAACACCAGCCTAAGAAAGAAAGTGTCAAAATAATTAGTATATAATATTATACAATGAATGTGATATAAGAAACAATAATATTTATAAAGAATTCTTAAATACCAATAACTTTTGTTGTTCCAAATTAACTTGTGATAAAGTTGTCTCTTTAAAAGTTTCTAAATCCTGCGCAGTGTCTGGTTTCAAGTCTTTCAAGTATTGACCTATGGACGTCGATGAACATAACTCTATAATATTATTCATGATACTGATTAAATGTCCCATGTACCCTTGTCTAATGCCTTTTCCTTCAGCTCTGAAATATACGTTGTGTGATGTATTACATCATCTAATTCATTTGATAATGCCTAATACTTACTGTTGCTCATCATTGTTTTTCCAAGCTTTTAATATCCTTTCTATTAGATTACAATCCTTTAGCAACTAAAAATAATGAAGTTAAAAAATATTATAATTCGAGGTCTAACAATATTTCTTTTATTATGAATAATAATTAATCTTCATATAATTTTATGGCACCCGTATTTTTTTCATTTTCTCCAATTTTATCTAAATTCTCCAAAAACAATTATCCAAAATCTGAAAATTTAAATTCGGAAAACTAGCGATTCTGACGCCTCGCGTAAACAAGTATCACACATTGGCCACAGAGGGCATTAAATTGAATAGATTTCTGTTGCCAGTCTACACATGACAGATTAATATATAATATCATAATAATATAAAAATATCATATAAATAATATCAAGCGAGATCAATGACTAAAGAATACAAGGACATGTAACGCTCATATACTGTCCTTCATTCACGCAGTTTTGCAGCTCTGAACTGTTCAAGAACGCGATACTCTCACTCCATTCAATTGAGTCATAAAGTTCAGAAATGTTCCGCGCCACATGGAGCGTGGTCTATCGCGCACAGCTCCTTTCAGAACCGTTTTCGAGTAGCCCAGAGCGTAAAGCTCTGGAACTTGAAATTCGCGAATGGAGGACAGCAAGGACTTCCGTTCGGTCTGTCGTCGAGGCAGCATCGTATGTTGTCTGATGGCTGATTGTTCGGGAGTCCAAGTTGTTATTCTGAAGATACAATTGTAATCGTTTTATAAAAGTCTATTATTTTTTGGTGCAAAAGTGTTAAATTGAGTTCGTGTCTCATTCAGATACATATTTTTGTGAAATACATTTAAAGAAAATCTTTTTCACGTTGTCACGGGGGTAACCAGGCCCTATGTAGCCGGATGCTACCAGCGTGGGAGAAGAGAAGGTCAGATTGATAATATTTTTAAAGACAACCTTTTTTCACGTTGTCACGGGGGTAACCAGGCCCTATGTAGCCGGACGCTACCAGCGTGGGAGAAGCTTTCGGATTGATATAAGAATGTTTTTGTTAAATTGAAAAACTATACAAATATTCAAGAGAAACGACTTTGAGTCGGACGCTTTTACGAGCTTCTCTTGTTTTAGATTGAAGAAGAAAAAAAGGATAGATATTCTATCACCCGGCCGGATAGTCCTGGAGCTGTGGCCGTAAAACTAAATTGAAATTGAAATTGAGGACAGCAATATACGGGCTGCAGCAGAATTTACGTTAGACGCCATTTTTTGGAGCCTACGAATGAGTCACCACCTCGTCAACAACGACAATTTTAGCGATATTTAATAATTTGTTGTGTGTAGTGAACTTTGTGTAAACTTTATTACAATGGTGATGTGTTCAGCTTTCAAGTGTAAAAGCCGCAACGATAAAAAAGAGCCAGGAGCTGCTATTCATAAGTAAATAAACAAACCACTCCACGTCTTTAGCGTTTTCTTATTGAATTTGGTAATTATTTTTCTGATACTATATGTACTTGATATGTGCTATACGTCGATACTAGTTTTGTACCTTTTGTTAACATTAATACGTTTTTTTTCGTAATTAATTAGTATGATGCCACCGCCTACACCATAGGCGTAGTCAAAACATTTATCATAAATATAAATATCCCTTCAAGTAGCTAAGTTAACAAAAATATATGGCCACGTCACTGAATGGTAACAATTTGGGCTTGGGTGTTATATGTCCTTGTATTCTTTAGTCATTGAGCGAGAATAATATTTAACCTCAATTCTCATTTCGGCGATCACCACGCGATTTTGATTTCCATGATTTTGATTTCTTGAAGTGATTTTATTTTTCTCTTGTGATTTAACAAATAATTTAATATCTGAAGTAAAACTACGTAAAACTAGGATAACGCAGAATTAGGAACGCGATCAGAATATTATTCTTTAGTGTCGCTCTTTGTTACTTCTCCTGTAACCTTACTTTAAGGTGACATCATAATTTTTAGGCGTTTGTTTAAATATGGCATTTGATTTGCTGTTTATGCTTTAATTATACCATTGATGAACGGGTTCTTTCATTTTAAATATATCTTCTCATTATTTTGAATTAAAATTTATTAAAAAAATCAATAAGTTTAACTACAGTTAAACACTGGACTATGTAAAATTGCTCATAATAACAAAATACATTTAAATTATTATTATCTTTTCATAATCAATAAAAATATAAACTTAATCAAAGAGTTTTATGAAAGAAATAGAATTTTGTCTCTCATCATAAAAACCATGCCTGGGGTCAAAACTTTTTGATCATATTATATATATATATATATATATATATATATATATATATATATATATATATATATATATATAAATGTAACAATACAACATAGAATATATAAAATATGAATAATATGGACACATATAATTAAATTGTATTTTATCATTATAAAAAATTAGTAATTTAATAAAAATTCATGTACATAATATGGTTTACCTAAGGGTTTGCCTAAACTGATCTCAGACTGTATCCACAGAATACAACAAACAATTCCCCAAAGCAGAAGTATTGTAGAAATACAGAACGATCAACAATGATTGAAATAGTTGGTTATAATGGTTGTTGCTCGTTTCTTGGCAATTAATTTAAAAAAATCGAATTTTTAACGGCTGTTCTATATACTTCATTATAAATCATCAACCTTATTAACAATTAAACTCGAAAATTATGACATACACAACAAGAAATAATAAAATATATTAGTATAACAAATCTTTGGTGTAATCTGTACTTACGTGTTTGCAAAAGTTTGAAGGTATGGTTTCATTAGATTCAATAGTTGTTGAAACCTTTAATGCACTTATAATAGATATCTCCACCTGAGTGTGTAAAAAGTTGTTCCATGGGTATTGAAAAAACAAATCCAATAATAATGGAAATGTCGAAAGTGATATAAACTCATCGTACAATTTTGTATAATTTGAAGGGATAATCGTTGAAATAAGTTTTACAACTTGTAGTCTTGTGTTGCCCAAAGGGGGATCCAACTGTCCCGCAGTTGTTAGTATGGAAGATTGCTATAATGAATTAAAATTGTAATATTTAATAGCACAGTTCTAGTACTATCACCTACTTTAGGAGGATTTAGTAGCAATTCGTGAAAATCTTTTAATCTTGTACAAATCGTTTCAGTTGTGTTGAAAACTATTCTCTGTTTTTGTTCCATATCCATGAGATCCTCGTTAATATTTGGGTTATAAGTTCCGACAGCGCTATATTTGGCAATGCTATAAAGTTATAAATTGATAATTACAAAATATTTTTCTCGTTATTTAAACAACTTTTTTATAATTTTGGTAGTTTAGTTAAGTTAACAAAATATTATTTTTACAAACAACCTTTGTAGAATCTTCTTTAGATAGCCAAAAGCTATTAATATTCTTTCAGTAAGTCTATACCCTCCACTAGTTATTCTTAAGCTGGATTACTAAACTCGGCACTTGAAGTTCAGTTGAGGTGCAGCTGAGGTTCAAAATATTCAACACTATTAAATGAACGCGAGCATTTATAAAGTCGGGTTGTCGAACAGTAGGCAGTTCGTTTTATGCTCAATGGAGTTCAGAGATGGTCAATGTTTAAGAGCTCGAACTCACTGACGACCAGGTAGCAACAACCTGGCCGTCGCGTCGGCTGGCCGGATGTATTGCGTACATAGCTGCGGCCAGATGAACGACCAATTTCGGCAGGGCTGTCAGATCTAACGATTTTTTACGTTATACCAATTAGAAAATTTTGTTTTCAGAAATGTTAATATATCCGAGTTAACTAAAAAGCGAAGTTCCTATTCATGAACTTATTAAATGTTCTTATATTAAATAAAGTAATGTATTTCTTCAAAGTCATACCGAGCGAAAATCACAAAAGAACTACGATATGCGGAGACAAAACTGAATAGAATATTTTTGAAGCAATTTGGCCCGTCTGGCCGTCACATAGTGTTGCATCAGATATAAAAATAATAAATAAACACATTATATCAATAGACAAAAATAGTATTGTTCCTAAGAATTGAAAACAAATGATTTATTTATGACTTATTTATATAGCAAAATAAAAACACTAAATCACCACAATACACCAAAACACTTTTACTTTTACACTGGACGCGTGTTTCGCTAACCATGTTATTATTTATTTATATTTATAGTTATATATATTTTTATTTATTATATTATTTATTATTTAATTACAGGCAATTAGATGCATATGAAAGCATCAGAATTAATAAATGTAAAGATAGTATGAACAGAGTCAACGGTCCAATTCCTTCAAGTTCTTTGTCCCTACTACTCTAGTGGCGGAAATCTAACTGTTACGCTCAGTGGGCTCTGACTCGGTTGGCTAGATTTTGCCACGCCCACTCGGTGCCCACTGGGCGAGTATATAAACGCTCAACTTGTAGATTGTACTTTAGTCTATAATCATCTGCTGATGATGCTAACATGGTTAGCGAAACACGCGTCCAGTGTAAAAGTAAAAGTGTTTTGGTGTATTGTGGTGATTTAGTGTTTTTATTTTGCTGTGTAACACCAAAGGTTCCAAGCCTCAACTGTAATCTTATTTATATACATAAATATTTAATTTTTTAACTCTATTTCTTGGTATTTGTGTTAGTACAGGGTATCGAATTAGTTCTAGTAAAAATATAGTCTAAAGGGCCCTGTTTGAAAAACATTAAATTAAATATAATATATAAAATACAGTTCCCCCTTGTACATCAGTACAATACAACTAAAAAAACTAATTTAATCCAAAAAATAACAAGTGGTTGTAGAAAAACTTTAAATATGATTTTTTTATTTTTTAACATCGAAACTCGAAGGTATAATAACAAGTATCATACCAACCATAAATAGAGTATGTCATATAAAAATGTTTTGAATTTTTACTAGAATCGACCATTCATAAAAAAGGGACTAGATTTAAGTTTCCCTTTGATCCAGTCTGTATATTATTTCTTTGGATTTTCTACACGTGTGCAAAAACTACACTAAAACACTATCTTAATATAAGATATTGTGAAAATAAAAAAAAAATAAAATATTTTGCGTTGAATTTGAGGGATTTCATCTGAAAAATTATTAATTTGGAAGAAAACCGGCAACAAGCGGCAGAAAATAATATTTTAGTGCAGTCTACTGGGCGCAACGGCCAGGACGTTAGTGTGCGCTGTATAATTTGATTTAATGGTTTTAGAACCTGGCCGTCAGTGTGTTCGAGCTCTAAGTCGGCAGTTCGCGACCGTTCACGACGTTCGGCAGTTGGAAAGGCAGCCAATAAGCAAGCGCCTGTCGACCACGTGAAGTACAGAAAAGAGAGGCGGCGCCGATGCATTGGAAAATTACTCTTATTATTGTTATATTATTTTCTGTGTATATATATTTATATTTTGTGCATGCTTGGATTAATATATTTGAACTTTGAAAAATATCAGAAGTATTTTTCAATCGAAAGAAAAACGTTCGAAATATTGACTATTCCAAACCATGACCATGCAAATATGGATTCAGGCAGTTCGACGCAACCAGTGAGTAAACAAAGTGGCCATTATATAATCAAAAAATTAAATAGACATATACTATGATTAATATTAATAATATAATTCTTTTTAATTAACTAGTGCTTAAAATTATTATGGATGTTCTCTAAAATTATAATTATGTATCTTGCAGTCTGGATAGCCCTAGTTATGTCCCAACTAGCAAAATCGGTGCATAAAACTATGATTGCTACCATAGTTGAAGCAGCCGGCGTGTTATTACTAATCCAAAAAGTTATATTAACTTGAGTAATAAATTATAATACACCTTAGACCTTCTGAAGATATCAAAAGATTTATATTTTTATATTTTTTTGGAAATTTCTCAAATTGCACTAATACTTTTCAAATAATATTATAACAAATTTTATGTATTCGCTATTTAAACCCGTGCATTTGTTTAGTCGGCTGTTTACGGTATTTTCAGATGGTGGAAGCACTGGCGGAGAATGCACCAAGCCAATACACAATACACAATGTTTTCAAGGAGTGTAACATCCGCATTAAACGAGGAACTCCTATGTTATAATTTTTCATCTCCTTTTACTTGAATGAAATTTGATTGTAAAATATGTTCATAAAAACAACAAATTTAACAAGTTTACTTAAAAAGCTTCAAAGACTTATGAGGGATACAAATATGAGAAATACAAAAAATATTAAATTTACCTTGTTTGGTTAACATCCAATATAGCGAGGAGCACTTGTATGCCGCCAATTATAGAACTCTCACACTTTTCCCCACTAAATATTTGGCTTAGTAACAAACCCACCGTGTCAGGCCTAAAAATATTTAAACATAAAAAACATATAGCATAATAGATAATTTTTTTAAATAACACTCACGACTCCAATGTATTAAGTAGAGGATCGGGATCTACACGTTCAGTACTATTGAATCTCTGATTATCACGGGCGATCCTGATAAAATCACAAAAAAGTTGAGCAACATTATCATGTCTTTCTTTTTCTATTTTCGGATTCAGTAACGATACCAGCTGCTGAATTATTCTTTGACTATCTAACCACTAAAATAGCACAAAATATTTAAAAGTATCCTGTCCAAAAAATATACAGGGTGGCGCACCTCATTCGCCTCGGTTGATTATACGAAAACGGAAAGATGTAGAAACAAAATATTTTATGGGTATATGTAGGGAGGTAATGTGCACAATTTACAATTATTTTGAAATGTACAGGGTGTTTCAGAACTAAGATCCATACCAAAGTTATATTTTTTCTTATGGAACACCCGGTATATTATTTCATTTTTGGATTCTTGGGCCCAAAAAAGGCATTTATTATAAGTGTTAAATATGTTTAAAATCTTTGGTTTTTGAGATATTAAAAGATATTTAAATTTGCATGCTACAATAAAATAGATTATTAACACCCTGTACATTACTTTTCAGAATTAATTCTTGTGCTGACTTTTATGCCAGAGAAATAAACTTTATACTGAAAAATGTTATTCCTTCCTAAAATGTATACAAGGGTATCAAAAATTGCTGGTCTATTTTAAATATTTATTTTACATAAAAACTTCGTTATTTCAAATGCAACACTATGTATTTTTTAAATAAGTCGAAGCAGATTTAAATGCTCTTTCAAACTATATTAGGGTTTCCTATACCTATCTGGCTCAGATCTTGAATAAAAAACGATTTTTTAATAAAATTGTAATCAAGATGGCTAGTGTTGTCATGGCAAGTTTCTAGTGACAGTTAGTAGCTATTTTCAAAATCGAAATTAGTTTACGGACTTAGTTAAATTTATACCAGTTTACTTTTATTTAATTTACCTACAATAGTTTAATAAATAATATTTATTAAATATGTGTTTATTATTCTATCAAGAAAAACGAAGAAGTAGTTCTTTGAATTATTTTAGGATGACTTGAATGTATGGATTTTCTATAAAAGCGCCAATTACGGCAAATTCATTTTCTTCACTTTCAACAACAGGTTTCTGCCTAATAGGTTTTTCATAAACCACACTACCAGCTCTTCGAAATAGGACAAGAAGTTTTTCAAAGAAACGCTTATCAGCATAAGCCCTTGAGGCCAAGAAGCAATTTTCCTCACAAAATAATATCACTAGTAACATATGTATTCGTTCCGCCATCAGATACTGCTTTATTTTTATTGATAAAATAATGAATACTTACTTATTAAACTATAGTAGGTAAATTTAAGTAAACTGTTATAAATTATAAATAAATAGTCCATAAACTAATGACTTTGAAAATAGTTACTAACTGTCACTGGAAAATTGTCATGGCGACACCAGCCATCTTGATTACAATTTTATTTAAAAATCGCTTTTTATTCAAAATCTGAGCTAGATAGGTATAGGACACCCTAATATAGTTTAAAAGGGCATTTGAATCTACATCAATTTATTTAAAAAAATACGGGGTGTTGCATTTGAAATAACAAAGTTTTTATATAAAATATATCCCTAAAATAGATCAGCAACTTTTGATAGCCCTGTATAAATTTAACGAACCAATACCATTTTTCAGTAAAGTTTATTTTCTACCTTTAAAGTCAGCATAAGAATTAATTCTGAAAAGTAATGTACAGGATGTTAACAGTCTATTCTATTGTAGAATGCATATTTAAATATCTCGAAAACTAAAGATTTTAAACATATTTAATACTTATAATAAATGGCTTTTTTTGGGCGCAAGAATCCAAAAATGAAATAAAATACCGGGTGTTCCATAAGAAAAAATATAACTTTGGTATGGATCTTAGTTCTGAAACACCCTGTACATTTCAAAATAATTTGAAATTGTGCACATTATCTCCTTACACATACCCATAAAATAGTTTGTTTCTACATCTTTCCGTTTTCGTATAATCAACCGAGGCGAATGAGGTGCGCCACCCTGTATAAACCTAATTTACATTAATTTATAAGTATTCCGTAATTCCGTATACGAGTCAACAAGTCAATTTCGTCTGAATAAACGAAAGATGATTACTTCTATAAAATAAGTTTACTGCAAGGACCTTAATTGTTTTTTAAAAATTGGTATAAATTCAGTTACAACCACCGACACGTAATTAGTAAAGATCAAATACAACGATGAAAGGACTTGCACTTTGTAATTGTACATACTATGCTTGTATATATATTTTTAAAGTAGATCAACCTAAGACGTTTATGGACTAAGACTACTAGATGGCAGGACAGGTTTCCCTACAGAAAAATATTATTTGTTACTCTGAATTTTGAAGCTACCAATAAAAACAGAGAAAATCAAAATCGATAATTTTCGGACTGTGCCAATTGGTTACTAATCGACCAGATACTTTTTGTCTATTAGATATGCTATAAAAGCTGGCAATTATACAATTCGACCATTGTAAATACCCGACAAATTCTTCAAGACCGACAAGGCCGATGCTTCTCAATGATAAGAAATAAAAATGTTTGTTTTGATAATTTTCGAGGTATTTTTTCTTTCTGAATGCACATTTTAAAGTATTTTATATTCTTTGTCCCCTTGGCCTATTATCCTGGTCGCACGTATGGAAGTTCTGTTTCTTCTAGTTTTAGAAAATGTTCTTATTTCTTTTTTCTTTGTAGTTGTAGTGTAAAATTAGATTAATTTATTAAGTTTAATTATAGTGTTTAGTGTAGCATGTTAGTGTAGTCTACCAAAAATAGTTTAGTAGTGTTTTTATAGTTTATTTTGTAGTTAAGTAGTAGGCGAAGGGATAATTTTGTTATTTTTTCTTTTTGTTTGATAAATTAGTAAGTTTGATAATGTGTTCAGTGTAGAATCCAAGAATAAGTAGTTGTGTAGTGTTTTTAAGAGATTATATTCGTTTATTTTGTAGTTGAGTGAAGGGGTATTTGGGTATTTCTTCTTTTTGTTTTTCTTGTAATAATTGTAGTAGTTCTATTAAGTATTGTGATAGATACACTATATATTCCTTCAACTTCGTTGAAAAGTGCGTCATCATATAATCTTGGTTTTCTGGTAGCAGAATATACGAAAAAAAATTTGATCAAATTTTTTTTCATGTGTCATACTGAAAGTCATGTTGGAACCACCCTATTGATGCGCGACTATCTAAATTTAACTTTTCTAACATGTCTTGAAAACCGTTCTCCAAAAAACGTAAATAACGTTCACCGGTCAACGTATCCTGGAAAATGTATGGCCAAGAAAAGTTGAACCAATAATCCTACACGCTTTTCTTCATTTAAAAAATTTGTTTAAGCAAGTTGCAATTTTTTGAACATTTAATGAAGAATGTAAAAAGTTTTATGTTTTCAAAAAAAAAAATATAGTAAAATTCGTAAAACACTCAATTTAGAATAAAATAATCTAAGAATGAAATGATTCTTTTATAAACCTGCATTAAATCAAATTAAAGTAGGTATGTAACTTTTTCTAAATATTAATTAACAGTAATTAGCATTATCATAAATTATAAAAAATGTACCAAGATATCGAAATAATAATTTCTTTGTTAATACGGTTAAGAATTTTTTAAATAACAGGCAAAAATAATCCACAATCTACAATAAAATAAAAGTTTCGTTTAAATTTCTTAATGATCACTATTAAAGATGTAGAAACCCGGGCTATATTATTACATTACTCTGACGAAAATAACGAAAATAATCGATATTTTTGACTCCGCCCCGAAAGATTCACGATTTGTCCTCCAGCTGGCAGCACATTTTGTCGAGCCGGTTGAGCAACTTAAAGAATATATAAACAAGGATACTATCGATACCAAATAAACTTTCAGTTACGTCATCGAGGGCACGATTATTAAATGCCATTGTTGCCATCTATGAACATATTCTACCTCGGGCTGACTAAATGGAATTTAAACTTCCCGCTGGCGATTCAGGTCGTAGCTCTGCTGTAAAAATATCAAGTTGTCATAATTATTTACTGATATTTTTATTAGTTTTAACAGTTTAGTTTTGTATTACGAGTTTCTTGTTTAAGCGAATTGGGTTGTGATATTTTACACTTAAAATTGTGTATTAGCAGACCATGCAGTCGAAAATTGATAGATTTTAGAATAGCTTGTAGTGCTAAGTCAAGATGTCGAAACAGCTTAACAGCCGTTGCAAAAGGCTAATTGCATTCTTGGTAGAATATTTCGAACGGGAACACGATAATAATGGCCCTTTATGTCCCTTAAGTGCTGTCAGGGAGGTGTGTTTCGTTGATGTAAATAATAACTGTTTATATGTTAATAATTAATTCGTTTTTGTTTCCTAAAATATTTTGATTAAAATATAATATCAAAAAGTTGGCAACGCTGTACCGGTCGAGCTTAATCACGTGACTAAAAGTTTATTTGGTATGATCTGCACTGTTTAGAACCTAGACAGTTTTCTAAGTTAACTAAAGATGACAGTTAATTTTGACATTTGATATATGTTGACAAGCGCCTACTACGATTCTGTATATAAAATATAAAAGACAACCCTTATATAATGCAAATGATGCTTAAAGTTACTCACATTTAAAATGTTCTGTCGTTTCTCAACTCCTTCTACTTGCGTCATTAATTTGAGCATGAGATCCATTATAGCAGAGGTTCCTAGGTGCTTAATCAAAAGTGGCAAAAATGTGTCCCTAGCTTTTAAAAAATCTAGGACCTGTAAGCAAGTGAACTGATTGGACAACCAGTTCTAGGGTACAAGGAAAAAATAGGTTTTGTGTAAGGTTGGGAGAAGTGTAATTACCGTATTAACGGTTTTAAAAAAATTGAAATTTAAAAAAGTTATATTAAAAGAAATAAAGAATTGAAAAGTTTAATTTTTAGAAATATTATAAAATAGAAATAATTTTGACGAATGTAAATGTTGTTACATGAATTTTTAAAAAATAACATAATTTAAGAAGGGATATTAAGGAACGGTAAGAAGGACAGAAAGGAGGGAAGGAAGAAAAAATCGAGTTATATTTTATACACTACTAATCAATTTTTTACACACAATATGGAAAGCTTATGAAAAGGAATGAATAAGCGAGAAGACAACACAAACATTTATGAGAGAAAACGCTACATAAATAAAACAGTAACACATATATACCGATTTGGTCATTTTAGAAGTGTGGTCTGGATTTTAACGTGTATGACAGAGAATAATATAAAAGACCGGTTGACAAAATCAAAAGCGGCATACAGTGTTGCCGGTTTTTTACGTTTGTAGGAAAATTTGTGCAGAAAAAAATTAACTATTTTAAAATGTATACATCATGTACACTACTGAAATGAAGATAATATATCTAAGCTAAATATAATTTATTACTGTAGTAAAATGAATGCAACATTTTCCATAAACGCCTACTTGTGCGGTTTGAACTTTTGATGCAAAATCCGGCAATACCGCATAGAAGAAATGTATCAACCCAACTTTTATCTCTTTAATACATTTGATTTTCCATTAAATTGTCTACACTCCTAAAATGACCAAATCGGTATAATATAATGCTCAATATGCTACAATTAATATTAATATGTCATTGACTACTTCAAATATATTATAAAATTGAAAAAAAAAGAAAAAAAATTATTGTGAGTATTGTCGAGAAGATATATATGTATAGTAAACGCCACGAATGTTTGGGAGTGATTCATCGGTCGCTACCATGTGAACTAATCTGTTCAAGGTCACATAAAACTGAATTCCAGTGCTGTGGTGTTTCAAGTCATATAATAATCAATATATAATCTGTTGTAATTTGTTGTTTTAACTGTCAAAGTCTTGTCAAAACATATATTTGGTTATATGTAAATATAAACTGGAATGCACCATTGGTCGCACTGCAAGCACACCAATGGACTGACGCACAAAAACGAATGAATCAAAGAAACGCGATATAGTATCGTCTTTGTCAATCATGCTAACATTTTAGAATAAGTAGGAGGAACGCAGGCATATGATTAGACCGGCCCTTTAAAAACCTACGTCTGCGGTAAAAATGTACGTCTTTAATGTAAAAATGATAGCGCGCGTGTCGATTCTAACTTCATCAAGCGATGAATCACTCCCAAACATTCGTGGCGTTTACTATAGTTGTTATTTATCGTTTTGATGTCAATAGTTGATCAATTTATTCTGGGTCTAAACACCCGAAAGGATATTAACAATAATTATTAATATTAATTTTAAAGTCAATTGATAAATCATATTATATAAAAATTCACCTTTCCACATTTACTGATATATGATGTAAACAAGTTGCCGCCTTTCATACTACGCGGAGGCTCCAAAAAAACGAAAGTTAGTATTGAAATAAAAGTTTGTGAGCATATGTAGGTTAATTTAGAATATTTATATTAGATTTAATAGAGACTTCCATAGGGCGTTACCAAAAAATTTACGCATCAAAGTTGTGTGTTTTGTAACGGAACATTCTATATTAATTGATTTTCGGATTCTAAAATGTAAAGTTTCGCCATATTTAACATTTTCTAAAAATGAAGAACAAATTTTAAATTTCAATAGAAACTACCTAAATAGGAATTTACCCGGTATAGCCTAATATGTAGTTAAAATTACTATTGTACCAGGTGGCCAACTAAGAATGGACGCTGGCTGTATCTTAGAACTTTGGGAAAAGAACTGTATTAAGTAAATCGACGAAGAGAAATCGCTGGAAATTATTTTCAAGTTTCAAAAGGGTCCGCTAGGGGACGCATCTGTGATGGTTAATCAGAAAACAGGATTTTTCTCTCGTGAAATATGTTAAAAACCTTACATTTTAGGCATATGCTTCTTTAATGAAACTCCCATTTTTTTCTAGAATTCGAAAATTAATTAATATCCTTCATTAATATATTCTATTACTAAAAAAACTATTTTGATGCGTTTTTTGACACTCTGTAGAACTCTATATATTTTTATAAAATGCTCTCAATTAACCTATATCCTTCCTATATACATATATGCCCCCAAAATTTGATTTCGATATAAACTACTGTACTCATAGACTTAAAATAAAATATAGACTGAGCATCTCATTCATAAATAGCTGGAACATGCGGTGGGACAATGTCTTGTTATTGTATTAGGTTATAACGAGTGCGACACGAGCGATAGATAGGTTGTCTCTGTCGTAACGGTCGTTTCCTGACGACTCTGACGAGAAACACAACACTGTCTTTCGTTTCTCAAGTATACCTGAACTCTCCGTATCATAGCCGGGTAATTTTTTTATTTTAATGAAGCTATTATTAAATTAAAAATATATCGTATTTAAACTTTTTTATATTTTATTAAGATTTAAGACAGGTTCTTTTAAATAAAAGTTTAGAAAAAACGTCTTAGAGTCCAAAACGGATAAAAATAATAAACTACACGTTGTAGAAGAAATTTTATAATCGACATTACGTAATTTTTGAAATTAGTAATAAATTATTAATTTTAGTCAAACATTTACAACCCCTAATATTAATCAAAACAGGATCTATTCTACAGATATAATAGAATCGGCGACAGGGAGAGAAAAAAAAATATGATTGTTGTAATTTATTTTCTGGTTAAGTGATGTCTTATTATGTAAATTAGAAAAAACATAAATCTGTTCCATTAAAGCAAGGAAGGTGATAGGAAGTGGATAAAATGAAAACTACATTTATTTAACTCGGTACTGTCTTTATTATACCGGGTGCGTCCCAAAAGTGGCTCATCACCATAATTTTTTTATATTTTCAAATAAAAAAACAAGATTTAGTATGTTAGTATATGACATAAATTAGGATTGATTGACGCATTTAATTGTTTTTGGTCACTTCCTGTTTCACCGGAAATGACTATAACTTTTAATTTTTAAACGGCACCCTCGGTATATTTCAACTTTGTTCGATAGAAAATGACACTCTGAATAGAATGACATATCATATGTCGACATTTGACATTTTCGCATATGGTTTAACTGTAATTGTAACACGCGGTTCATAACGACAATTTGACTCGAAATACCAAGTCTGTGGTATCAATATATTCATAAAAAATGCTTTTTCCAAATATGCTAATGAGTCACCCTTGTTCCATTTGAAAAATTGACATATGTATGATTAAAAATACGATTTGTACATATTTTAACCGGCCTGGACAAGACACGAAACCCATTAGACGATCAAAACTATTTTTCCAAGGCTTCTTGATTAAAACTTAGTGTTTTTAACAACACCATGGCACCCTGGATTGAAATTTAAAATACGATTTGTTTTAAGCGACAATGTCAAAAGTTGACATATGCTATGTCATTCTATTCAGAGTGTCATTTTTTATCGAATAAAGTAGCAATATACCGAGGGTGCCTTTAAAAATCAAAAGATGTAATCATTTCGGTGAAACAGGAAAAGACCAAAAATAAACGAATACGTCAATAAATCCTAATTTATGTCACATACCTACTAACATACAAATCTGTTTTTTTTATCTGAAAAAATAAAAAAGTTGAGCCACTTTTGAAACCCGGTATATTAAAAAATATTGTTTCATAATGTAATATCATTTTAAAATTCTTGTATGTTATTTTAGATTCTGAAGATAATTTTAGAATAAACCGGAATATATTTTTAATAAAAACATTATTAATTATTAACAGGGTTATAATTATGATTTTGTTACAATGTAAGTAAGTAAATAATGTAATGGAAGAGAAAAAAATCAGATTTTACATTTTACTAAAATATTATCTAAATAAGCGCCTTTCTACAACAACGCCACTGACTCCCAATGGGTAAATTGAGAGTTGCCTACCAATCGAAAGTCGTTTCAAGACTTAAATGGATTATTTAAGTCAAATTTCTTGCAAATTTGGCACTGGCGAACCATATTTTATAGTTCTTGAACAGAAAAAGTCAATAAAATAAACACTTAAGGACTACAAGCTAAGAAAATGCGTTAATACAGCCGGGGACATAGCGGCAACAAAGCTTTACCGCACACGTGCGACGCGTACTACAAGGTAATAAATGAATGAAAAGGCTCCCCCGCCTCTAATCGGTGTTGTCATATTGTAAAGAACTTATCCTTTTTAAACAGTATCCGACTTATAATTTAGTAGTATAAGGACTATTTAATACATCTATGGAATATTAAAACCTACTTTATTAAAATGTAGTATTAATATCTCAATATATGTGTATAACAAGAAAAAAAATATTGATAATATTAAAGATAACAACATGACAGCATAGGCTGGATGAGGAAGGCTCGGTCGACTGTACCCAGAAGTAAACATGTGTACAAAAAAGATTGTTTGACCGCGTTGAGATGTAAATAGTATAGTCTATATTTTATTTAAGTCTATGACTGTACTCCTTGGAGGCGCTCCCTTTATGAACCAGATTTTATTCATATCTAATGATAGATTTAAATAAGCTTTTAAAAGTAGCTATTCTTAACTAATTCAAGTAGGTAAAATATATTATAAATAGCTGTATACATAATGTAATAACTGTAGCAAAGGATATATTTTAACCATTTAAAAATATGTATTTCAAAAAAGAATAAGACAGAGTTTGAAAATAAATTGAATAATCTCAAACTGTATTTTCTGTTGAAGATAAATGTACCAGTAGCAATTTTAATTTAATTATTGATCCTACATAGATAAAAAAACAATAATATAAGTGGAAAAAGACTGTTGAAACGAACAAAGAAAATGTTTGTCTTCGAGAGCAAGCTGATTCAAGAAAAAAAAATATTATCAAAGAAAGTACTGCCAAACCACTGATACATTTACCTGACCATTATAAGACTCACAAAGTAAACAAAAATAATGAATGCTTTTAAAAATGAATAAACATATTTGTCTAAATAAAAACTGACTTACGATGAAAATAATGCCAAAAACTCACCTGCTCAGTCTTTTTAGCAATAAGGGCACCCATTATTTTACTAACGTATGAAGCTAAAAGTGGATTTAGTGGAGCCTCATTCTCCAAAAATGTGTATAACTTTTCTAGCAGCCTAAAAGCAAATTTTGACTTAAACAGGGAGTGTAAAATAATTTGGCCACAAATGGTAATTTTATTTATTATTGAGTTATTGCAAAAAGGTTTTTCAAATAAATTTCAGCATACACAATATCAAAAAAAAGTCATTTTGACATATATCATGGTGTCAAATGACAAAAATCTTCTATACATACATAGGTATGTAAAAAGTGGGATTAGGTAACAAAATATTTGAAAAACGTAAAAAAAAATTATTCAAAATTTGATCTTCCGTCTAATAAATTGAAAAATATAAATAAAATAAAATTAATATATACTGCAGTATGTCCCCGGATTGTCTTTACAAGAGGAAAAACTTTGTTATTATTGGCATTGAGAAAAATGCATTCTTCATAAAAAAATTTGCTTGTTCTAAAATGGCTAAGCCCCTTTATACTTTTCCAAATTTCCATACCGTTTTAGAGAAAATTAAAAAAAAACATGAAAATATATAGTCTAAGAGCTATAGTCTATAAAATGAATAACTTTGAATTTTGACCGTTATTTTTTACCAACATGGCAAATATAAAATCCCTCTATCCAAAAAGTTACTGATATTCTTTAAAATGAGTACCTGAACGAATCAGATAGGTAACTCATTATACTTTCGTGAAATAGAAAAGGAAAATAATAAAACAAGTGACAGTTCTTCCTCTTCTTGGAAAAATCAACACCAAATGTCATAATTGACAAAAGTAAAATGTCATCAGCCTTTGACATTTCTAAATATCAGACCAATGCCGTCTCTAATAGAACAGCCTCGGAGAGAGATTTATGACGTCACGCTAGTTAGATACCACGGATTAATAAATATGTTGTCGAATACATGGAAAACATAATTATTCCTCGTATTTTTGGTTTGTATTTTAAAATTGATATAGTTTACATTAAATATACATAATATACAGTTAATAAATACAATATATATATATATATATATATATATATATATATATATATATATATATATATATATATATATATATATATATATACCTACTTATAGTAATAAATACTTTAGCAAATAAACTATGAACCATACAAATGCAGCAAAGGTTTTATACTATACAAATAATGAATATACAAGATAATGCGTAAAATGTAAAATATATTTTAAATTTTGGGGTTTTGAAAGTCGATCTAATTTAACAAAAAACATTCAATATCTACTAATAGTGATATATTATTATTTGCACTCACAAAAATATTTTGCAAGCATCAATATTCGAAAAATTATATTTGCAAATAATACAATATCATAGAAAAAAAGGCGTCAGCGATGACTATGCTATAAAGATCGCTCTCATTTTATATGTAAAATTATTCCAAATTTTTTGATTTTCTTGGGATTTAGATTCGGAAAAAACGCTGATTAAGTTTTCATTTGGTTTTTCATTATTTTTTTTGGTTTAAAAAAAACGTTATAGCTAATGTTTATAGCCTTCATCAGTGTTGTGTCATATGAAAAAAATAGTGTCGAATATAATCCAAAAATTACATATACGAGGAATAATTATGTTTTCCATGTATTCTACAACATAATTAATCCGTAGTATCTAACTAGCGTGACGTCATCAGGGTTCGGAAAACTACATGTTACTTTTAAAAACGACATAAACTACATTACATGTCGTTAATGTAGTTTATGTAACCTATGTATGTAACTTTCAAATATCAAAGGTTTGAGGTGAGGTTATAATAAGTTGAAGCTTTAGAAAACACATAACGTATTTAAGAAAACGGCTTTAAATATAATCATTCACATCATATTATTTACAGTTCGTCTGCTGGATCTGTGTCTATGAAAGGAATGCGGACAAAAAACATTTAAATAAACAGCAATATATTTTATACGTCGACTTGACGAGTACGTCACCGCAAATCGCTCCGCCCACTCATTTTATTGGCTACTTGCAAATTTGTCGAATTTTTATTGATGGGATGCGTCGTCTAATTTTTTACGAAAAACATCGAGAAAATATCGTTTCCCCTCTCACGGATACCCCGTAGCCTCAGAACGGACAGACGTACTGTAGACCCCTCATACAAAGGAAAATTATTCATAATATCAATACATATTTTAACGTAGTTTTCTTGTAGTTAATGAACGGAAAAAGAGGTAGTTTTTGAAGAAAAACTACACGTAGTTAATCAGGTAAATTACGTCTCAATTAACTACTTCCGAACCCTGGACGTCATAAATCTCGCTCCGAGACTGTTCTATTAGAGACGGCATTGCGTCAGCATGGCCGCAAGTTGCTGACCTAATAAAACTTACAGTAGAAAAGCCCGCGGGAACTGTCAAATTCAAAGTTATTCGTTTCACAGACTATAGCAACGTTTTCGAGAAAGTATTTTAAGACGTCTGGCTCTTTGATATATCTTTTATTATGCTCTCTGGAACAGCTTACAGGCCGTCTGGCTGCCGATACACGTTGCGTTCACTACTGCGCATCCAAAGAAGATCCTATATTTTTTACTTAGCGCTTTAAATTATAGTTTGAATAAAAACCGAGTAAGTCTCCTTTAGCTCGGCGCGTAGAGCTTTCGCCTATGAAGCGAAGGTCAGTGGTTCGATACCCCCCAGCCGGTATCGAAAAACGGTGCAACTTTTTTTTTTTCGTTTATATTCTGATAGTAAAGTATTAAATATTTGCTTTTTTTATCACCAGAATGGATGGCGTTTATGGGTTTATGATCCGTAGTGTATATAAGTAGAATTTGATACTTTCATTTGTTTTGAAGGATTATTGTGGTAATTAATTATTAGTTAGCTTTAGGATGGTCTGACTGCCGCGCCGGTAGTTTGCGTTCACTACTGCGCATCACATGGGTACAGGGTGTCTCATTTTCGTGCGTTTTTTGGGATTTCTCGTTTATGAGTGGAGATACACTGATGCGTTTTTTTTTCACATTACTTTGTTAGTTTTTTATGTAATTAAATATTCTACCCATAGATTTGCGCATTTTCTACACATTAACATTAATCAATTTTGTTTAAAAAGTGTTATTATTTTATTTTATTTAATTTAACCAGATAATTTTGTATCCCATCGTTATCTTAACAAACTGAACTGAAAATAAACTTGTGTAGCTTTTAGATAACAATCTGTTAAAAAAAGTATTATTAAAATGATTATTAAAATAAACAACAGCTGAAAAAAATATTTTGAAGAAAGACAGGCAGAAATTACGTTAATAAAGCATTAAAATGTTAATTTTTATATATATAGAGGATCTTCTTTGGATGCGCAGTAGTGAACGCAACGTGTATCACCAGCCAGACGGCGTGCACGCTGTTCCAGAGAGCATAATAAAAGATATATCAAAGAGCCAGACGTCTTAAAATACTTGTCTTCCCGACGTTGCTAGCTCTCGTACATAGTTTAGGCGGTTTAGGTCCTAAAAATCAAAACGCGTTTCTATGGTAATATAATTTCTTTTTCATTCTTTGATAGATTATTATTGACAGAATCTTAATTAACATCGTATGCTTTAGTCATATGTTTTACTTTTTTAAATGCTAAAGAAACACAAAATTTATTTAGTTGAATGCTATGGTAAGGGTGATAATAGTTATCGGAAGATTTGATACTTTAACAACATCAAAAAATATGACGTTAATCAAAATTAAATATAACGATCTATCAAAGAATGAAATCGAAATTACATTATCATAGAAACGCCTTTTGATTTTTAGGACTTTTTGGAAAAGTATAAACGGAATTAACCATTTTAGAACAAGCAAATATGTTTCCTCTTGTAAAGACAATCCGTGGACATACTGTATACTGTATATAAAATTCTTTCAATCTTTCTTTGATTTATGTACCAATCTTCATAAATATACAAGGGATTCTCTTGGCACACCTTATATATTCATAGATATATTTATAGTGGATAAACTTTTTTCAAACTTCACAAAAGTTCCATATTATTTTTTGTGATGTGATTGACATTATAAAAAGGTCATGTTAACGCCTCGGCATAAAAGTAAAGCACTTTTACATCTAAGCACAAAAGTACAAAAATACATTATACTGATATTAAGATTCAAATTCAATGTGAAGAATTAGTAATAATATTAAAGACTAGTATAACCATTGTTGCCCAATATATGTATAATTACTTACAAGGTATTACTTTTATATTATTTGCGACATTTAAAATTGTTTCAAAAATTATTTGAGATGTCTAAAAAAAGTAGCATGTTCTATTAAAAATGTACTTTTGTGCCTCGGCCTCGAACATCAAACGTACAGTCTCGCCACCAAAAGTATCATTTTTACTCCTAATAAAAAATATACTATAATTGAATATAACAAACAAAAAAAGTGTAGATCTTTTTATATCTGTCTATGATATAAAAATCACTTTTTCTATATTATAGATACTTCTTTTATTAATATATTAACTATATATATTATTATATTATGTCTTTATATTTCCCATACATAATATTTATTGAACATACAATTATTTTTAGAATAACTTCAAATTTGAATGAAGAATATAATTTTTTTTGTCAATTTATACAGGAAAAACATTATATAAATATTTGTTTTTGTTCTTATTAAATTGACATAGACATGTTACATAGGTGGTACTAATTTTTGGGCATAAGTTAATTCTAATTTATCAGTATTCCTTGCCAATTCGGTCTTGTAACAATATTTGTTGTATGTATCAAATAAAATTTCTATCTCCTCATTTTAATACTTAATTAAAAAATATTACCTTTCATCTCCAGCTAGACGTTCATTTATAGCGGGAACATCACAAGTTAGTAATTCACTAGCAATATTGGGATACTTAAATCTTATCTTTTCATTAATTTCAGCAGGCGGTTCCTTGGTAGTTAAAGTTACTAATTCTTCAATAATGTCAGGTTTTAATAAACTAACAAACATAATATTTGAAATTTAGTATCTATGCAAAATTCATATTTATAATCAATCACCACTTACAAATCAATCAAATTTTTGTTTTGTCCTCTACATTCAGTAATAATTTCATCGGAATCCATAACTTCCTGGAGAGACACATCCTAAAAATATATAAAAAATTATTCCTACATTATATCTCAATTTATCTTTATGTTACCTCTTTTGACAACAAAGTGTCAATTTCAGCAGATGAATTTGTATTGTATTTCCAAAACATCTTGTGGGCTAAAATTATGTAAAAGATTTACAAGAGAAATCTAATATTAAAGATATTTTTTTAAATATATAATTTTTATAAATTAAACAAATTAGGAATTCCCTGGATGGTAAGAAACTTTAGCTTTGAAAAAATACTGATAAAAAAGTAATTTGAATTAAGTGTTGTAAAATATAATAAAGTTAATATTAACATGGAGATAGTGTAGTTACATATAACACATTTAATTTCTAAAAATTAAAACAGAAATATGTGAATAAGCAAGGAATTTAACTTAAATTATTGTGCATGAAATAAGAATGAAAAGAAACAATACAGTAATTTATCTCTATTATCAAACAATGTAGAATATTGGGAATTGTCATTTTCCAACTTTCAAAGAGAAATATTACAAATGTCTTTAAAATAGTAATTATCTTTAAGAATTTATGAAATCTAAAATTAACTATTTTTAAATATACATACGGTAAAGTAGGATTTGCTAAAAATCGTTTGAATATACGTTCTTTTTTTGATGGGTTAGGTTCATTTGACCTCTGCTAAATACTCTAAGATCTACGGATAATTCACAACATTTAGAAAGAAAATAACCAGTTTTAGAGGTATATCACAATTTTAGCTCCAATTGGCGATATTTACTAGTAGAAAACAATATTTGGACATAAACTTATTTTTCACCAGTAAAAATTGACCACCATTCATATTCCCACAATGCACTTGTTGAGTTTTGAAGTTTGACCGAATGACAAATGACAAGTGACACGCAAAAATGAGGGAAATTTAAAAATGACTTTGTTTACCTGATTTTGATCAAAAACAGAAACAAGAGAAAACTTTTACGATAGAAAATGTAATTTTTCCCATTGTGGTAAAATCATATTAAAATACGTCAGCCAACACCGATTAACACCGGGAACTGTTGTAAAAAATATTTATATTTATGTCAGGTCATAAAATCTTTATTTTATTTGAATAAGCATATTTAAATTAAAGTAATTAAAATTTAGCCCAAAACAATAAAAAAAAATGGGGTATAAATAAGAGATTATATTTTTTCAAGGTTTTAACCTGGTTTTAACGTTTTTTTTTTATTTCTCATAGGTTTTTTACACCAAAATGTAAAAAAATCATCAACACCGTTGAACAATCCAATAGCAACCCTGATTAAGAGTTAAAAATCTGTGGTAAAAATTTGCTACTTTTTTAATCTGAGGTACCCTATAACCTTTTTTTCAAGACTTCTAAATTATTTAAACAACTAAAAATGTTTAGAAATTGTTTTAATAAGTTAACTAAATTAAGAAATTTGAACTATAATCAGTATAATAGGCTTTTATCAGTGGACGCTATTGAGGGGAAAGAAACAAATAATGTAGGAGGATATGCGGAGTCTTTCAAGAAGTTTGAAACTATCAATGAAACTCCAAAAGAAGCACCTCAAACGTTTGCCAGTTTATTAAAAAACTCAAAATTTATAGACGTAAGGTTGTATTATAATTAACAATTTGCCTTCTAAGTGAATATTTAGTTAGGTGATCCAGAAGGAAAAGTAGTTCTTGGAAAAATATTTCATATTGTTGAGGATGATTTATATATAGATTTTGGCTGGAAGTTTCACTGTGTATGTCCAAGACCAGAGAAAAATGCTAGGTAAAAAATCCACATGATTAATTAATACAATATGATTGAAAAAAAAAACGGCGTCAGCGATGGCTATGAAATGAAGATAGCTGTCTTTTACATGTATTTTATTTGTAAAATTGTATGGGGAATGTCCTCAATGTTCATTTCTCCCAAGCCAACTGGACGCCATATTTTTCAATCATACTGTATTTTGGCATTAAACCATAATATTTTATATTTTTAGTAACTACAAAAGAGGTGCAAAAGTAAGACTAAGAATCAAGCAGCTAGAATTGTCATCAAAGTTTTTAGGATATGAAAAGGATCTTACCTTATTAGAAGCTGACTGCGCTTTACTGGGATTAGTACATGATTAGTTAAGTTGATAGTTTTATATGATTGTTTGACTGTTAATTAAATATATTTTATTTTAATGAGATTTTTGTTTCAGCAACTAAATACCTTAAATTCTAACTGTTTAGTATTATTTACATTTGAACTTCGTTTTAAGATAGTGATAGTGGTCTGGCCATTAGTCATTAGTAGAGTCACCCTTACAAATTGATAGGGAAAGCAACTATTTTTTATATCTATATCTTATACTTTATATCTATTGTTATATACCATAGTTAGTGAAATAAAATAGCCCGTTTAAAAATATTTCAAATCACAGTAAAACCAAATTTATTTTAAACTCGTTTAATGAACCTTGGAGTTTTAGAAAACAGAGATTTATGCAAAAGAATAATTTATATTCTTAATAGTTAATACAATTATCTTAAATAATACTAAACAAAATTAGTACAGACCATAGAGTTAGAGATGTCTCTATATTATCTGAGATAATTTTGTTAGTTTTTATATTCCTTGCCCCTTGCACGAAATGACTAAATAAAGTGGCTTTTTTGGTTGAATATTTGGAAAATATGGAGCAATATCTGATATCTAGTGTTTTATTTGTATATCTACTTGTCTTGTGGCGTGCTGATTGTAACAAATTTTGTATCGGAGAGATTTGAATTGAGCGCTAAATAGAATTCCCGTAGTTTTTTTACATGCCCGTCACTGGATTTTTGACACAAACTTTGATCATATAATATGATATGAGATATGATGACAGATGGCATACCGTAGTCATTCCGGATTCCGATCATTCCTAATCTATCCACTTGATAGCCACAGAGTTGAAAAGTCGATCATCAATAATCTATGGCTTTTTGATGACAACGAATTTTATAGGTTATGATATTAAAAACATTTGAGAAACATGGTAGCATGATGGTAGCTATTCTTGTTTTTAATAATTCTAAAACATAAATAGTGAACATGGGCCTTACAAAGGACTATTTGCGATATGTTCCGGCCGGAAATTTTAATATTATAAGCAGCAATAACTGTAATGCTGTATTTGTAATATTGCAAGGGCAAATAGGTCGCTTTATAGCGGTTGGAGCATGTGAGCATATAATCATTTGGGATTTACGACTTGGAGAAAAGGTAATTTGCATGCTTCTTAATCTATAAAGGAATATATACGTAATTATTCTTATAGGCTCAAGTCCTGCCAGGCGAAAAAGCTGCAGTTACCACCATTTGTGCAAGTCCAAATATTAGAAACTTGGCTGCCGGATACTCTGATGGAATTGTTCAAGTTTTTGATCTAAAATCAGCTGAAATTATTAGTATTTTTTCGGGACACCGTTCTGAGGTTACAACTTTGTATTATGATAGTTTTGGTCACAAATTAGCATCTGGAAGCAAGGTACTATTATATTATATTTGTATGTTTATGCCACAATAAGATAATTATTGAAAAACTAATTTACCCTATTCTATGAAAAATTAAGTTTCTTTTATGTTTTAGTCTTCATATTACAAATATATTTATTACATATATTTTTTTATTATAAAGAACCAAACAAAATTAAATCCTTTGATCTGAGATTCTTATAGAATACTCTAGAACAGTATTATAGCATTATAAATGATTATAAAATAACGACCAAGTAGTATGTGATTTGTAGGTAGCTTAGTATACTTATGTTTGCACACGAAAGTTCTCACTAAGTTTATTCTAGGGTTTTTTCTCTACTGAAAAAGTTAAATATGTGTATGCGCGCTATTTAAATCTGATTAAAAACTAGGCTATTAATTAAGTGCATAAGATGCAAAAATTAAAAGTACACAAATTTTTAGGAGAAAGTATTTTTTCTATATTTTCTGAAAATAATATGATGAAGAAAAATAAATGTAGATAATATGAACATTATCTTTTTTAGGATACTGACATAATTGTGTGGGATACAGTTGCTGAAACAGGTCTTTATAGGTTTTCAGGTCATAAGGGTCCAATTACTAAAGTCATTTTTATGTCCAAGGAAAATGTTCTTATTTCAGCATCTAAAGATAGTTTTATAAAATTCTGGGATTTGAATACACAACATTGTTTTAAAACAGTAACTGGACATCAAACTGAGGTAACATTTACAGTGGTTACATTATACAATATTAAAAAGTATTATATAATTTATAATTAAAGGTTTGGGGTTTATCATTAATTAGAAATGATAAATACTTGGTTTCTGGATGTGGTGATGAAGAACTGAGGGTATATAGACTGTCTGTTCACAATTCGAATGGCGAATTAGTTAGTTCAGTTGACCATTTAACAAATACTCTTGAAATGGTAACATTAGAAGAAGGTGACGATACAACGGTGAGTTTAGTTAGTAATATTTTATAATTTAAATAAAATATTGAGGTCTTTGTTGAAAACAGCCATGAATGACAGCTCCCAGCTCACACACTTTTTTTAACATGGTACCATTTCTCGTTGTCACTTGCACTAATTCTTAGGTATTAGTTTTTTAAATGAATGAGATCAATAGTATGGTTGGGAGCATAATATTAAATTATATCTAAATCTATATTATTATATCATATAGTTATCATAATATTAAATTATATCTAAATCTATATAATAATATAGATTTAGATATAATTTAATATTATGCTCCCAACAATACTTTGAAATAGGTTTGAATTTTCAATATTATTTGTTATAATGAGGAAAAAATCACTTCTTATTGAATAGTGCAATGGGTCTGGATGTGCATAGTTTTAAAGTGGCAGGTAAAAAAAATATTTTTTTTAAATTTTCTTGAATACTGTATAGTCGATTTTCATGAAATTTGTCATTGATATTCCTAGTAATAAGGGTCTAATTTAGAATTATTAAAATACTTGATAATGAAGTTAAACAAGAAAATACAACTTTAGCACTTATAGCACTGAACACCAACTAACATTGGTGTTCAGTGTTATCTACAACAAATTTACTGCTTTCTATTTCTAGTATTTTTATAACGTCCTATATTTTTAATTTTTAAAACTATTCGTTTCTGGATCCTATAGGAACTTTTCTCCATATTTTTTGGTGTGGAATCATCCATATAATATTACAGTGATCTTCATTTCAAAGCCATCTCTGAGGCCGTTTTTTTTATTCAATGATACATTTCCATGTACAGGGTGTCCCATTTTCCTGTGCTTTGCAGTATTTTTGGTTTATGAGTGGAGCTACAAAGATGCGGTATTTGCTTCACTGTGCTACTTTTTTATCAAACTAAAGGTGCTACACATAGATTTGTCCTAGCGTTCTTAATTCCTAAAATACAAGGCGAGATTTAAAGTGTTATATTTTTCAACCCCTCCGTATTTTGGTCATCTTATAACTTATCAAAAAGGTGATAACTGAGTCTAATAGAGTTTTCCACGTAGAATCGAATAACTACTAGTTCAACTAGTTCTTTGCTGGAAGCTGTCATTCATGACCATGACCCAAACTGATGTTTTTTAATGGAATACTCTGTATATATATATTTTTTTATTTTATTTGCCTTTTTACTCTATAGTTATTTTCATTAACAAGGTAAGAAAATATTTTATTTAATTTTTTAACGTAGGGTAGGGTTGCCACCTGTCCTATTTTGAAAAGAACAGCCCTTTTTTGTAACAAATTGTCCTCTTGACTTTTTTGGACCTAAAAAGTTTATTTACGTATTTTCCCTGAGAAAATTAATCTACAGCAACCAGCAATAATAGTCCTTTCTTCCAAATTTAATTAGAAATGTTATAAAACTAATAAATAATTTTTTTTCAAACGTCACAAAAGTATTAATTTTTGCGACGTGATTGTAATATAAAAAAGTTATTTTAACGCTTAGGCATCAAAGAAAATGTAATCGGGAGATTAATATATTTAACAGAAATTAATATTTAAATATAATTCTAACTATTTTGACACGCAATCTCTTCTCTCGGCCGCAATCATACCGCAATCAACAACCCGTTGCCCCGGCAACCAACTGTTTCCAGAGCCTACGACTTCAACTACGAAGTGTCAAATTCAACGAGTATAACCATAATTTCTCGATATACAGGGTGAGTCTTAAATAAGTGCAAATATTTTCAGGGCCGGTATATCTCGGTAAAAGAAACATATTTTCTCTCTACCATTTTTCAAGTAAGTCCAAAATAACTCGGTTATTTAAGTTAATTAATTAAAAAAATATACTATATTTTTTTTGGAAAAATTTTGAGAGCCACCGGATTTTTTCTGTATTTGCATCCCTTTTAGTCCCATAACCATAGAGATAAGCTGTAACTATGGTAATATCAGAGATTAAGAAATTATACCGTGGGAAAATTTGCGGTGAACAGACAGTTCTCAAAAGTTTTCGAAAAATATACAGGGAAATTTAAAAGAAAATCCACGATTTTCAACATTTTTTTTTGCAGAAAAAACCTCATAGACGTGTCCCTTGGGTCGAAATATACCCCTGAAAATATTTGCACTTATTTAAGACTCACCCTGTATAATTATTTCCAGGGTATTACCCTGTGCAGCCTCACCACAAAAAGTATAATTTTTAATCCTAATAAAACACTATAATTTTGTTTAGAACCGGCAACATTATTTAGAACTCGCCGTTTAATCTGAAATGACAGTTTAGATACCGGACAGGTTTAAGCTCCGCGCGCACTGAAGGGGTATCGGCGCGAGCGAGCGGCGCGACCGACACGACCGGTCGGAAAGTCGATTGTAGCCGCGCACGATCGACGGTCGAGAGTACGTCACCAGCATAAATTTGAGCATAGACGAGGAGAAGTTTATTCAAATTTAGTCAAATTCATTCGGCATTTCAAAAAATTATTAAGTATTATTACTATTTATATTTTTATGCAACTTTTTATATTTTATGCTTTATGATGGAAATTAATATTATTTAGATCTTAACCAAACACACATTAATATATTTAGATCTTAACAAACTACATAAAATTAGTGAAATAGAGTGGAAGATGGGGATAAAATATACTATATGACTCTTAGCTTGACCGATTTTAACAAATTTGGTATCATTCAAAAGAGTTTAATTTGTTCTTTAAAAACAAAGTTAGATATGAAAAATAGTCAAATAAAACTTCTATTTTTAGTTTTTTAATCTAAATAAGTGTCATTACAAACATTTATATATAGCTTTTATTTTAAGTTTTTAAAATCTTTGTTTTACGTCAGCAGTAAATAAAACGAAACTTGTGTTTACATTTTGTTTAATGATTGACGTTTCGACCAATTTTAATTCGGTCTATAATAATCTATCTATAATAATGTATAAATAATTTTCTACGTTTGTGGTAAGAAAAAATTATATATTAAACACATTGTTAGTGATAAAATTGTATTGTATATTATAGATTCTGAAGAAGACCGAATTAAAATTGGTCGAAACGTCAATCATTAAACAAAACGTATACACAAGTTTCGTTTTATTCACTACTGACTTAAAACCAAGATTTTAAAAACTTAAAATATAATAAAAAAGTCAAAGGAAATTGAAAAAAGAAAAAATATAAATAGTTTTTATAGTACCGTATTATCGAAAAGGAACGGCATCAGCGATGGCCATGAAATGAAGGTCGGTGCCATTTTATATGTAAATTTATATAGGAAATGTCCTCAATCGTCATTTCCCATCCAACTGGACGCCATTTTTTTCTATCATACGGTAGATATATGTACAAATATTTTATTCAAACATAAATATTATTTTCTCTATTTGTACCTTGTACGGAGCGATCAACATAGTAACATAGGATGACTATTTATCAGCTGTTATTACTAACGTCAAAAAATCAAAAATTAAATAATATGATAAGTTTTTTGACGATATTTAAATTCGATTTCCATAGTAATTTGAGATAATCAAAACGAGATGAGAAATAAATGGGTTTAATCGGAAGGTTTTCTAATTCAATTATTGAATAAGTATATAATAAGTAAACAATACAGGTTATGTGCTTGTAAGAATTTTTTTATAAAAAACCGCATATTAAATATGATATGGTCTCGTACACTTTCGATTAATAATTCATCGGACATGTTTAATGTAAAACCGCTCCACTAAAAACAGTCGCTCGGCGTAGACTATTCGTCCCCCTCCCATGCATTCTCTGATTTCGCCTGATGGCGCGAGTACCGTCGATAGCTCGAAGCGCACCGATCGCACCGATCTAATGCGGTGCGCGGGCTTATATTTATTTCAACGTAAACTGAAAATTACGTGCCGCTCGCTCGCGCCGATACCCCTTCAGTGCGCGCGGAGCTTTAGGCTTTATTTTTAACCATTTTGATCTCAAAAAGAGCTTTTCAAAATTTAAAGTAGCGATTTCTAATCAGCGGTTTCCAATCAACAGGCTGTATTCGCCCTGTATTTCGGAAACCAGGGGGGGCTAGGACAAATCTGTGTGTAGCATCTTTAGTTTCATAAAAAAGTAGCACAGTGATGTAAAAATCGCATCTCTGTATGTCTACTCATAAACGAGAAACCCCACAAAACATGAAAATGGGACACCCTGTACTCTACTATTCAGTCACAGTTAAAATTAAAGTACAGCGGATTAGCGCGCTAGTAAAACTGTTTTTGTATAAAATAAAGTATTTCCATATATTTATGTAGCATCCACTGCAATGTTTTAAGACGGGAACTATTTTAAGAGGAAGCCGAGGTAGAGTTGTCTCACTTGTTACTGATCCTAGTGGACAAATATTAGGTTGTCATGGCACTGATAATCAGATTGAATTATTCTATTTCTGTGCTGAGGATGAAGCACAGGCAAGGTTGAAAAAACGTTTAAAAAAAGAAAGAAAAAAGGAAAAGTAGGTATGTTGTTCGTGTCGTGACTTCATTTAATTGATTAATTTTTTAGAGCAGAGGGGACAGAGAACAATACAGACGAAGTTCAGTCAAGTGTTAACACCCAGTTAGATTTAAGGGACGAAGTTAAGAGACTTCCATCTGTAAAATTGGATAATAAACCTAGAAGTTTGGATTTGGTATTAGGCAATGGCGGGGAACTTAGAATTGCCGTAAATTTGAGAAACAATTGTGTCCGGCTATTCAACTTACAAACTGCACTTAAGGTAAGTCGTAAAGCTAACTAATCTAATGTTGATCTACACTCAAAGCTAAATAAATAATCTCTATATATCTTTGTGACAGGTTACATAACAAAATTATATTGTAGAATGTAGAATGTTTAGAAGGGGAGTTAATCACCGCGACCTTATAGATCTATTGTGTGTTCCCCTTTCTTATGACTGTATGATGAGTTATAACGAGTTATAACTCATCATACAGTCTCAGGGCTTTAAGAAAAGCCAGTATCTGAGACGGCTCCACAGAGGCCAGCTCTCCATCCTCGACATCAGACGTGCCAAGGTTCATGGCACGAGTGGTCGTCGTCTCGGCGCACTCAGTGATAAGGTGTTCTGGTGTTTCCCCATTTTCCCCACAAAATCTGCATTCGCCGTTGTTTCTCAGTTTCAGCCTACTGAGGTGTTCGTTGAGGAGACAGTGTCCTGTTAGAAACCCCGTGACAATCCGAAGATTGTTTTTACTTAAATCAAGGAAAACCTTTGATTTTTCTCGGTCATAAGTTCTAAGGAACTTTTTCGAGTGTCTTAGACCGTTGGAGGACACCCATTCCAAGTTACGGATGGAGTCTTCCAGATTCTTCAGTTCCGCTTTCAGTTGGTTCCCGTTTGGAAAACAGAACGGTTCTGGTCCAGTTAGTGGAGTGTTCGCTCCTTTCCTAGCTAGATCATTTGATTTTTCATTACCTTCTATCCCTTGGTGAGCAGGCACCCAGAGTAGGAGGACCTTATTTTCTTTGCCTAATTTGTTGAGCTTCTCTAGGCATTCTTTGACCAACTTCGAATTGATGGTTACTGAGTTGATCGCGTTAAGTGCTGCTTGACTATCGGATAGGATGGCAATTTCCTGTTTTCGATAGTTCCTATCCAAGATAAATTGTACGCATCTTTCGATAGCGCAAATTTCTGCCTGAAGGATACTGGGGTAGGTGCCCATTGGTTCGGAGTATTTAGTTTTCGGCCCAAATACTCCTATCCCTGTCCCTGCTTTGGTTTTGGAAGCATCAGTATACCACGTGATGGTATGATCTTTTATATGCTGAGTAAGCGTTTCTTTCTTCCAATCCTTTTTATTACTCAATACTACAGTGAGGTGTTTCTCAAAGTTGTAAATTCTTGGTATGTCATCCACTGGGAGTTGGAGAAGTGGAATTTTCTTTTTGAGGGTGTTCCAAGCCCCTGACCTGAAAATTCTCCCAGTACTGTTTCCGTCAATGACCATTCTAATCATTGTCGCATTGGCATAACTACCGACGACAATATGCAGTGGTGTTAGGTCTAGAATGACCTCCATTGCTGCTGTTGGACATATTCTCATGGCACCTGTGATGCAGATACATGCCAGTCTCTGTACTTTGCACAGGGTTTGCCTTGCTGTACGTTGCTCTAGTACGTTGCCAAACCAAACAAAATTATATTACAAACACAATAATTTATTAATACCTATTATATTTTTGTAACATTTTTAATATACATATTTTTAATTCTATATGAACTTGAAATAAAACGTTTAATTGCAGAATGGAGAAGCTCAGTGTTTGAGAGGAATTTTAAACCATGGCCATCAAAGTGATATAAAGAGTGTAACATTCAGTAACGAAAATGTAGCTCTAGTATCAGGCAGTGCAGAAAGTGTTAAACTATGGAATATGCCTTCACAAACTTGCTTGAAAACAGTTGAAACAGGGTAAAATAAATTTGTTATTTTTTTTTGTATTGATTATAATTATATTTTTATTATATTATTATTTAGTATTAAATAGTTAAACTATATAGTCTGTTCAATGAGAGGATCTAAGTTACTAAACCGAATGGAAAAATAAACACAACTCGATATCTTTAAAATTCCAATTTTAACTAAAATTTCAAAATTAACCTAAATTTATTCAGCGTAGACGTTGGAATATCATTACAGGTACCGTAGATCCTTATAATCAAATCACGATGCTATAAACACACTAATATATTAAATTATTAAAGGCTGTATGTTACTACTTATTTAAAAATTAATTGAGGGTAGAAACAGCCTCAAACGCGGCCTCGAGTACCAGCGTCCTAGTCCCTAGTCCTAATCAATGCATCGCATCTGTCTGATAAAATCTTGATACTTATAAGGTTTGTTCCAATATAGCAGAGAAGCGTTCTTGCAACGGTTACGCTTATGTATGTACAGTAGAGAAAATGCGTTCCATCAACGAGAGAATCGTTTAGCGAGCGATAACTTTTGCGTTCCAACCAGATCTGTAATCGAATTCTGAATACGGTTCACAAACGATTACGTGAACCGTATTCAGAACGGTGATTTCAGCACGTTCGATTTCTAAAAGCAACAATCAAAAGAACTAACTTGCATATTAAGACTGTGTGTCAGCTGATTATAGTATTTGCCGATTCGTCAAGTTTTAATTGATACTTATCTTTTTTATACATATTTTAAATAAATATTTTTATTTATTTGTATAAAATATGATAAGTGACGAAGACACCAGTGATATTGAGTATGTGGATATAATGAAACTTTTTTTTAATAAAGTAAAAGTATTAATTAAAAAATAAATAAATTCAATAATCCGTAAATAAATCCAATACTTTGAATAAAAAGATCTAATAAAATCCAAAATTGCAAATTTATATTATTGATTCTTAATTTTATATTATTGATTCTAAAAGCAGTTGAAAAACTGTTCCAACCCGCATTTGATTTTGGTATAGTAACAGAACTGTCCAAGTCGACACATGGGCACATATACGATGCCGGCGATTCCAATTACTGTTCTAGAACGGTACAATTTCTGTGTTGGAACAAACCTGTGTTTTGTGTACAGTGAGTCGAATATTGTTATTTACATTTTTTTAGATATGTTATGACTCTGGCGTTTGTTCCTGGAGATAAACATGTTCTTGCTGGATTAAAGGATGGTCGCCTTTTAATCATAGATATTGTAGTAGGTGATATACTAGAGGAGATACCAGCCCACTCTAAAGAGTTAAGAACAATTGCCATCACCCCAAATTTGGTAAGTAAAACATTATAGTAAACTGTTGAAAAAAAGATGTATTTTTAAAAATAGCTTTAGTGAAGGGCATATATTTCAAATTTCTCAGCTGAAATTGTTCCTATGTTATTGTTATTTTTAAATTTATAATTTCAGTTCAATAAAATAGAGAGTGTTTAATGGCGGCTTTTTGAGTTTTTATAGTGACTAACATTATTTTTAACACAATTTTATGTAATATGTTTTTATGTTTAGAATGGATGTGTAACTGGCGGTGGCGATCAAATGGTGAAATTTTGGCAATTTGACTTAATAGTTGATGAAAAAAGTGAATCAAGAGTGAGGATTTTATCATTAATTCATAAAAGGACATTAAAATTGGAAGATAACATTTTGTGCGTTAAGTTATCGCCTAATGGCAAATTTATTGCTGTTGCACTACTGGATTCAACGGTTAAGATATTTTTTGTAGATACTTTTAAGGTATGTATAATTAAACATAATTAACTTGAAGGCACCGTACGATCGAAAAAAACGGCGTCCAGTTGGCTTGGCAATAACAAGCGATTACATTCCCCATATAATTTAACATTTAAAATGTCAGGGATTTTTACACTTAGCCATAGCTGACGCCGTTTTTTCGTTTATATTATATTTCTGCATAGTGTCGGCCTTGAATTAGAATTTTTATTTATTGAAATTTACGCTTAAAAAGTCAGATAATAAACTCACAAAAGCTATTAATTAAATTAGAGTAGTATTTACTTTTTACTACTATTTTTTTTTACTACTATTTGATTTATTATATATTTTGTCACGTGAAGGTATAATATAGGCAGGACAAATCTTGAAATTTTTCTAGAAAATGTATTGTTTTTTTAGTTTTACTTGTCCCTATATGGTCATAAATTACCAGTACAATGTATGGATATATCCAGTGATTCTACTTTAATAGTCACAGGGTCTGGAGATCGTAATGTGAAAATTTGGGGTATGGATTTTGGTGATTGTCACAAAAGTATTTTTGCTCATGACGACACTATTACTGGATTACAATTTGTGAAAAACACCCATTACTTTTTTACTTGTGGTAAAGATGGTAAAGTTAAGCAGTGGGATGCAGATTCATATAATAAAATTATTACATTACAAGTAAGTTGATTAACAAAAAAATGGTTTTAAAATTCAACTCTTTCAAAAAATTGTAATAGGCTTTGCGAAGCACTTTAGTACATTTCTCTCATATAAATTATTTTAATTTATCGTGTAGGGTCATTGCGGTGAAGCATTTTCCATGGCAGTAAGTCCCAATGGAAAATATGTGGTTTCCTGTGGTTCAGATAAAGTTCTGCGATTATATGAGAAATCAGAACAGATAGTAGTGCTTCAAGATGAAGAAGAGGAAGAGAGGGAGAAACAAGAGGAACTAGCAACAGGAGAACAAACGCTTATACCTAGTCAACCAGGGTTGAATCTTCCTAGTAAAAAAACAGTTGGTAGTGAAAAAGCTGTAAGTACATGTTATAATAGTGTCATTTTGTATCTCAGAATTACTTTTGTGCAAATTAGGAGTATCTTTCTATTTCTGTTATTCTTCATAGGCTGAAAATATCCTGGAATGTCTCGAAGTTAGTGAGAAGTATAGAGAGCAATTAGCAGAACATGAAGCATTACAAGCTGCTACAACTCAAAGTCTTGTACCTCCTGCTCCACCACTGTTAATGCAAGCATATAATGTATCGACACCTGACGATTTTTTGTTAGAAACCATATTAAGAATACGAGCCAGGTATGTTAAATCATTTATGTAGTATATATTAAGGTATTTCTCACTTATCGAGTATTCTCAAGAGAGAGGGAACTTGATGTTTCAAGCATCTGAACCCTGAATCTCAAGTATTTTTGACAGTTAAAATTCTAATAAATTGGGGAAACTTAAGGAAATGTTTTGTCATTGATAATATTGGAAGGATCCAGGGAAAAAACTTGATACGTGCCAATTTCTTAATTTTAGGATTTTACTTCATTCTAGGATCGCTTGCGTTCGTCGCTTGGTAATCGCCACTTGCATCGCTCGTTCATAATCGAGCGATGTCGGTTATTTCAATAAACGAGTTTTCGCTCGAGTTATCCCGTCACTAGCAATAAGTTGTTAAAGCCTATGCTATATGCCTAGTAATAATATAGAATACACGGCAAGTACCTAATAACTACCAGCCGTCCGGTGCTCTCCTGTATAATCAGTGAAATGGCGCTTATCATGTTTTTCCCCTGGACCCTTTGTTTTCTTTGTCAACATTTTGTGAAGTTGGAGTCACCCATTTTGATAATTAAACTCATTTGTGCTAATCATTGAGATCTGTGAACTACTCATCTGAGTAGTTTTTTGATAAATTTGTAGATGTAAACTAGATTATAACATAAAAGGAACATTTTTTAGCGATCTAGAGGAAGCATTGTTAATTCTTCCATTCAGCTCAGTTTGTGACATTTTGACAATGTTGCCAAATTTAATAGACAGAGGAGATTGTACGGAACTAGGATGTAGAGTGGCAATGTTTCTGTTAAAATTGCATCACGGTCCGTTAGTATCCAATAAAGTACTAATTCCAACTCTTCAGAAGCTTGAAAAAATTATGAACGAGAAAGTTACTGAATTACGGGTAATGTTTTATTAATATTTTAATGTGGAGTATACCGAGGGGGCGTCATCTTAAAAGCGTGGTCTGGATTTTAACGTGTAAGACAGTGATGTCGACAGCTTAATGAAAAATTAAATGTATTAAAAGAGATAAAAGTGGGGTTGATACATTCTGTTGATTTTTTCTGTGCGGCATTGCCGGATTTTGCATAAAAATTTCAAACCGTACAAGTAGGTGTTTACGAAAAATGTTGCATCTAGGGTTGAAACTTTATTTTTTACAATTAGTTACTCATTTTGTAACAACTGTAATAGATTATATTTAGCTTAGATATATAATATCTTCATTTCAGAAGTATTCATGAAAGTTTTTAAAATAGTTAATTTTCTTCCACATTATTTAAGGCTAAGATAATAATATATATACAGGTTGTTAATTTGTTTATTACTCGCTGCAAGAGCTTTATGGTTGAAATATGGCAACCTCGACGAGTCGGCAGCTTAGCTTAGTACTGATTTGGAATGTAGGCAGTGTTGCCATTGTTGCCAGCCGATATGTTGCCAACATATCGCTGCCTACACATGTAAAAACCGGCAACACTGTATGCCGCTTTTGATTTTGTCTCTGTCTGTTCGATTGGTCATTTATATTTATCTCTGTTGCATGTACTAAAGTACAGACCACCGAGAAAAAGTGTTCAGAACCATATATTTCAACTATATATAATTTTTAGGATTTAATAGGATATAATTACTATGGGTTGCAATTTCTTCAAGGTGAAATAGAATCCAGGGAAGGAGTTCAGTTGTTTAGGGATGCCACACTAGAGAAAAGAAAGGGCGATAGTAAACGGAAAAAGCGAGAAAAGCTAAAACGATCTATAATGGTGCTTAATAGTTAGTATTTTGTAAATATTTTTTATTAATATATTTATAAAAGTTAGTTTTGTGTCTTTTGGAATACGAGGTGTTCCACAATTAAATTTTTATACTGCATAGGTATATTAGCAATCAACTAGCACATTTTTTATATGGTTTTTTGACATGTTTCCTGCAATTGTTATTGGAATGCGTTTTGTGTAATATACCGGGTGCGTCTCGAAAGTGGCTCACCCCTGTTACTTTTTTATTTTTATTTTTTGATAATTAAATGAGACTTGGTATATGACAAAAATTAGAATCGATTGACGTATTCAATTGCACTTCCTGTTTCACTGGAAATGACTACAACTTTCGATTTTTAAACGGTACCCCCGGTATATTTTTACTTTATTCGATAGAAAATGACACTATGAATAGAATGACATATCTTATGTCAACTTTTGACATTTTCGCTTAAAAAAAATTGTATTTTAAATTTCAATGTAGAGTGTCATGGATGTGTTAAAAATACCAATTTTTAATCAAGGAGTCTAGGAAAAATAGATTTCATCGTCTAATGATTTTCGTGCCTTGTCCGGACCCGTTATAAGATGCTCAAATCGTATTTTTAGTCATATCTCAATTTTTTCAAATGGAACAAGGGTGGCTTATTAGCTTATTTGGAAAAAGCATTTTTTACGAATAATTTGGTACCCCATACTTGGTATTTCGAGTTAAAATTGTCATTATAAACCGCATGTTACAATTTCAAATAAACCATATGTGAAATGTATTTTTTTCCATTTAAAAAAATGAAACTTTGATGTGCTACGACTTTATGACCGACCCTGTATACCTAAATTTATTACCCGCTAATAGATATTTAACAACCCTATAACTTTTATATTTAACTTTTTGCGGTACCCCTTATATTTTGCCTAATAATTGACTGTCCCCATATGTATCAACGATCTTGTACCGTATGATCGAAAAAAAACGGCGCCCAGTTGGCTGGGAAATGAACATCAATGACATTTCCCATATAAATTTACATATAAAATGACAGCGATCTTCATTCCATAGTCATCGCTGACGCCGTTTTTTCTCGATCATACGGTATTATTAGAGAACAACGGCCTACGGCCGCTACTAACACTCGTAGACGTAAAGCATCTTATACATCTCTGTTATATACATGTAAAAATATAAGAAATGCGCGTGCGTACGTAAACGTTTACGTGTTTGTAGTCTGTGCCCTTGTTCTCTATTATCCAACACTAATTTTGATAATATTTTTCAATTGTCTTGAGCAAGTTTGTTTTTAAGTGGTTAGGAAAGAAAGTTTATAGATATTTTTATTATTACTTGTTTTTAGTATATTAATAAATTTATCCGACAAAATTCTATAAACGGGACCTTTAATAGTCAGAGACAGGCGAATATTATTGGATAAACTGATCTGAGGTTTCTATCTGATGTTTGCATTAGAAAAAAAAAACACATTAATATATTTGTATTACCTTTTTATTTAAATATTACAAATTACTGTGGAAATAATAAACAAGTATTCTAACATTTCAAGGAAGTAATATTTACAAAAAATCATGTTTAGAGAGAACATAATAAAAACATTGCTGCTTTTTTTCCGTTTAAAAGTTACATCTGAGATGTAAAATAACTTAGATAATAAAAATAACAGTGTACTGAATATATTAATATTATATTAATACTTGAAAGTAAGTTTGTAATCAGAATGGTATGCAGCGTGATTTCTAATTTGTTTCAACTAGTTTTATAGAATAAAATTGAAGACTCTTAATTTGCATATTTTTTTTAAACTTTAGGTTTATACATTTTTTAATCAGTGGCAATTTTAAATTTAATATAGAATGTGGTGCTATAGTGATGAACGAATAACGTTGAGCCTATTGATTTCAACTCTCTATAAAACTAGATATTGCTTTAAAATATTTAGGAGCTTTGGTTTGGGCGGATATAATTTATACATAAAAATACGAGACATAATACCAAAAATACAAATATTTTTACGGAAATAACATAAAGAAATAAATAAATGAACACGTGTAAGAATACTGACAAATTACACATTAAGAACCCAAGTATCTTTCCCTAGTTAGCTAATCATAGTCATAGCTAGAAGTAAGATAAATGGGATAAAATATTTGCAATTTTGGTATAAATTTTCTTTTCAATTAATGCGTATGTAAAAAATCTGGCGTTACATTTCTAAAAATAATCATTTTTATTTTAAATTAGGAACCGTGTGCTTAAATTATTATATATTTATTAACTATTTTAACTTACATGAATGTTATTGCCAATAATTGAACATGCTGAAAAGCATCTAATATTGGAAATGTTTCATAAAATTACTGCATATCTACATTTTTACAACAAAAAATAATTTATCCTCACCAACTTTTTAGATTTTAATGACTGACTTTTTTTCTTTCTGCCTCTTGCAACAGTCTTTACACAATATTTTCATCTAAAATTCTAAAAAAGTGGTTATGGTTTTATAATGCGAATATAGTTAAATATAACAAGTTAACAAGTAACAAAGTAGTAGCGAGGCTTTATTCTTCTGTTCTTTGAAACTGCATTCGGGAATGTAACATTTATTTTTACACCAAGAATGACCTTTTAGACCAAAATAAAACAAAATTTTTTAGACCAATAATGTATTACAATTAAAATAGAATATCACCAAAACAAGTACCATAGTATAAAGCGGCACACTTTTGTTAAAAATCGCACTAGATATATTCAAAAAAAAACGTTATCAAAGATTTAAAATTTCTTAAGTGTATTACCAGAAACTAAAATTATATATAATGTAATTTGAGTTAATATATGTATCTAGTAATTTTGTTGCATTTTGGTCTACAAGATTAAAACAGATACCTGCACAAAATATTAGTACATCCTATCATTTCATTCATTTAAAAATACCTTGAAATTTGGTACATATTTATTTACACAATTCAATAACTTATTATTATTTCAGCCTTACATTTTAATCAGACTTGCTATACATTTTTCGTTACCCAAAAAACATCACTTACTAGTTTTGTGAAGGGTAAGAGTTATAACATACCATTAATTTTCTTCTGTGTTTCTATTATTTTTTTAATTAAAATTGATGTTTTCGTTGTGTCCAATACAGAAAAAAAAATTTGTATATTACATCTCTTGTACAATTTAGGGATGGAAGAATTTAAAAATTAAGGGGGGACGTTTATAAAAGGACAGAATATAAATAAATTAAATAATAAAACTTATAAATGTTAGCTAACATTTTTTTGTAATGTTTTTCCTTATATCATTTAGGAAAGTGGAAAGTTGCCAAAAGGATTGACAAAAAATTACAACTTTATTTGCTACGGGTAAAATAATTATAGCAAAGCTGCATATAACAAGGTGCTTGTATATTTTTCTAACAATACAGTTCTTAATAATATCACTAAGCAAAAGTTGTTTGTTATCAATTTTTTGCATTTTCATAGCAGTGTTAAATTATTCTCCTTTGAAAGGCTACTTCATTATAGGAAGAAACTGTTTAAAATGCGTTAGGTACTTTCAAAAATTACTTTTATTACAATATGATAAATTTAGTATTCAAACAGACGTTATGTTAGTCTATTAGAATGAAGTGTTTTCCTCCAAACGTCTTGTGTATATTAATTATTTTTGTGCTACTCTCAAAGGATATCTTTTAACACCTTTATCGATACTACTTTAAATTGTTCCAAGGAGGAGCTTCTCTCGGTAATGCCGTAGTTAGATCCCCCCGGTCCTGAGGTAGACATGTACTATCGTGGATGCGAATCTCTTCATTGGCATTCTGAGCATGCGCTCTGGGGAAATGAACCAAATTGGGTTCGCGAGGGGGTAGATTGTTACCTCCTATAGTGTCTAGGCTAGACGTTCCGTGGCTGTTTACTTGGACAGCCCTTAGGGGACTCAAGCTGTCCCCCCTAATGGGCACCAAATTATGACCTTGAGCATGCCGAACACCAAACACTGGCTGGGGACGGGGATGGGGTGCACCATCGACTTGGTCGGTTGAGGCACTTTTTTTGCTTCGGCGCCATCTTAAATAAGCGGCAAGACATAGAATGACAGCTGAGAACACGGCGATCGTTGCGCCCCCTGCTATCGAGGCAGTTTCGAGCATAAAACGGCGTTGAGATGCTGTAAAAAAATATGCTAATTCAATATGATATATAATTAATTTTTTTCATCTGTTTATTGACTGAATTTATGAGAATCCAGATAAAAATAGAAATATTTGAAAAACTATTTTACGTCTCATTACATAATCAAATAATAATGTAATACGATAAAAAAAATCGGCAGCAAGAGTTGGCGTGGAAATGACGATGACTGTCATTTTATATGTAAAATTATATAGTGAATGTCATTGTCACTCCAAGCTAGCTTGACGCCAATTTTTTACATCATACGGCATTATTATAGAATCTACTATAATCTGTCCAACGATCAAAGTTTTGTAAATTTTTGACATTGACAGTAGCTGTCTATCATTTTCAAAGGTCTTTTTCCGTCAATGATTTTGAATGTCGTCTGTGAAAATTGGCCCTTTTCTCGTTAGACAAGCTTTAGTACTTTACAAATCTTTTAAGAGAAGGGACAGAAGTACCGTATGATCGACAAAAAACGGCGTCAAAGGCAACTGGGGAATGACAATAATCGATGATAATTTTGGAGAGGCCAATCTAAGTCATTTGCTAAAAAAATTTAAAACTTGTCAAAAATTAATACTAATTATAGAAACATTAAAAATCTATAGAACATTTCCAGACACACAATTTTTTTCTAAAATAAAATGTTTCTCGAATTTTGAACTACACCGTTTAAAAATCGTTTTTACTCAATATAAAAATGAATTACAATCTTCCTAAGGCCAACTGGCAGTAAGGGCCATTAACAAATAAAGAAGAGGGCAAAATAAATTACGTCCAGGGCTTGACTCAGCCAAAACTATTATCAATTGTCATTCCCCAGCCGTCCTTGACACCGTTTTTTCGATCGTATGGTATATTGACCAGTGTACTGAAATTCCAGTAAGGACACAAATTTTTTAAACTGATAAACCGATCTAAAAATTAGGTTGTGATTTCTATTGATTGAGAGTTATTTGACGAAAAGTATAGTCAACTAGCTTTATCCCAATTGTGCGATAATAGCCCTTAAATTATAAATTTTAAAATAAAGATGTTAAGACGACAGTTATTGGTAAATTCATACCAACTGAAGTTGCTGGGCAGTGTTGCTACTGGAATCCACAATACACTGCGTGTTTTTGGATAAAATAGAAATAAAATTAATACTTACGCATATATGATCCGTCTAGATCTTTATATTCACAACGGGATCCTTGGTAACCCTCTGCACACCTGAAATATTAAAGAACAAAAATGTTTAGACTGAAATAGATATCTAGAATGGCTAGAAGCACAGAATATCTAGCTACGCAAATATTCTGTGCTAGAAGATAATAAAAAGACAATAAAAATTGCGATAATATATAGTTCTAGTTCTAGTTGTAATTTCAGTTTCAGATAAACAGTCTCATGAACATAAAAAATGACCGATAAAGATTTGAACATAAAAAATGACCGATTTTTGAAGGAAGAATTAATACATTAAATTCAGACATAGAATAACATAGTTACACTCAGTGGCGGATACAGAGGGCCGCCCCCCCCTAAAATCTGTGAATTGGGTTAAATATCAGGCTTTTGGGTTAAAAATCGTGCACTAAAAAGCATATTCTACATTATGTTTTATTTTGAGCCCCCCCTAAAGTAAATTCCTGTATCCGCCCCTGGTTACACTCCTAATATTCCTTGGTTTAACTAATTGACTTGAACAAATTATCTACTATAATAAATATATTAATGCATATTAAGACCAGTCAACATCAAAAATTCAGTCTAGGTACAGCCGAGGGTACAGCTTTAAACGAAGCGGTCTAAAACTTTGAAGTTAAGTTAACTAAACATGACAGTTAATTTTAACATTTGATATATGTTGACAGGCGCCTACTATTTTTTTATATACAAATTGTAATAGAGAACTCTCGTATCCTATACTCTAGCTCGTAAAATATTTGGAGAAAAAATATCAGGAATATAGCTTCACTTAGAAGTACGCTAGTTAGCAGCGATACAGTAGATCTCATAAAAAACACAAGAGTAATAAAACGTGCAACAAAGATAGCTGTAAATAATGCCGAAATTACCTTCTTTTAGTTTAGCTACAAGTAAAAATTATACGTTTTTTATAAAGCTTTTATGGTCTTTTCATAATATCTCGTCTCTAGTATATAAATATCTCTTTGTGTACAGGTATAAATAGATATAGGTAATACTTACATGCAATTATAAAGCAGACTGTCTCCGATTTTAACCGTGAAACAAGTAGCTCCGTTGAGACAGAACCAAGCAGCATAGGCAGGGGGGCATTCGTAGGTTAGGAATGTTATATTGGGGCGTGGCGTGGGCGCCGGGGGGCGGGGCTTGGGTGTGCTGCGCGACGAACACGCCTCTGAAACAAGTTAAAATAATTACATTTAAAGCATTCACAATTAAATATTACTATAAAATTAATTCATTAAGACATAAAAGTAAAGCACGTTCACACCTAAGCACAAAAATATATTATCAAACTAACATTAAGTGTCAAATTAAACGAGTGTACCATTGAGCGATGAGCGAACGAGTGTAGGTACCATTGTTGCTCGATATAATAATTTTATTATTATTTACAAGGTACCGTATGGTCGAAAAATACGGCCTCAAAGACGGCTGGGGAATGACAATCGATGATAATTTTGGCGAAGTCTATATATAGGTATATAATCTACATCATTTAAAAATAATTTTTACTGAATAATAATAATACTTCTTAAGGCCAACGGGCAGTAAGGGCCATTAAAAAATAAAGAAGAGTAATGACGTCTATGGCTTAATCTTGCCAAAATTATCATTCATAGTTATTGCCAAGCCGTCTTTGATGCCATTTTTCGATTGTGGTACGAATGTGTTCGAATGGTACATTTTCTAGACAATATGTTATTTTAACTATATACTTACGCGTCTTTCAAATTCTTTTATGACTAGGTTGGTCTCATTACTATTTATGTCGCGTGTTATAATATTTTTGGGTTTTTTATTATGGACTGTTGCATATTTTATACCTATTGTTTGAGAATGACACAAAAACGTGTTAATGTAAAACATGTATTTTTTGCATGATAAATATTTTCTAATTTTATATAAGATTTATAAAAATATATAGAATACTCTAGAATGTAGGTGCAGACAGGTCAAAAAACTTAAAATATTATGACTAACTGTTTCACAATATAATAATATCTAGACAGAAATACGAAAAAAAATAAGAGTGTGAGCATACCTAAGAAATAAAATTTGAAGGTAGGCCAACTAGATGTATATACAAAGAAGTTGCCAAATTCAATAAGATTTTTTATCTACATTATTCTGGATTTATTTAGTTAGTTTAATTTTGGCGAGGTCAAGCTTTAAAAACAGCTTTATTTTGAATGGCGCTTACTGCCACTTGGTCTTAATATATAGGTATATTATAATAGGTATAATATAATATATAGGTAGATAGAGTTGTAATTTATTAGTAAAATAAATTTAATTTATTTTTACTGAGTAAAAATGATTTTAAATGTTGTAAGTAGTTTAAAATTCGAGAAAAAATATTTTGTTTGGAAATAGAATTGTGGGGGTCCTGGAAACGTTCTATCTTTTTCTAATCTTTCTATAATTAGTCATAATTTTTGACAAGTTTTATGTCAATTTTTAGTAAACGACGCCGGCGCCGACGTGACGTCTAGAGATTGACCTCGCCAAAATTATCATCGATTGTCATTCCCCAGCGGTCTTTGACGCCGTTTTCTTTTTCGATAATACGATATAACTATGTTACATCACATTATTGGTTGCACACAAGCGTTGGTTTATAGATAATAAATAATATATTTTTCTAACTGTCAAAGTCAAATCCATTATAGCCTGTGTTACGAATCAGGGAAGATTTCGACAGGCATCAAAAAATGACAGAAAATACAATTTGACTGTGAATTAAAATGACACAATTGTCACTGTCAGGAATTCTGTCGCTGGAGACACTATAAACGGATTACAATGCAACATAAAATTCTGATATTTTTAAATACAAAATTAAACACAAGGTAAGCATTAAACAAAGCGGAGGAACAACATCTAAAGTAATTTTTTATTTAATTTCACGGATTTACGAATACGTACTATACCAAATTACCGTAAATAACACGTCTGTCTGGTTGGAATGTTTATGTGTTCCGACTTGTGTTATTCCTTTGCAGTGCAGACGCTGCTTAGAAGAATGGAGGACATTTTCTAAGTTTAATTGTGTCACGCTCGAGAGAAAACAATAACTAATCTATTAATTGTTCATTTTTATTATTGTCTTAATAACGTGTTTTACGCCAATGAAAGTAATTTGACAATGTACGATAATTCGCTATATTATGGGAATTTTTTTTAAGTACCATAATGTGAATGCAACAAAAAAATTACGCTACGTAATGCATTTCTAAAAATACTTTGAAATCAATTAAGAAATCAGAATAACTCATTAAAAGATTGTTTTGTAAGGTACCTACAAATTAAGACTGAGCACGAGGGTCACAAGGGTAATAAAAAGGTAGATGAAATGACCAAGCAAGGTTCATCAATGCCATTCATAGGCCCAGAACTGTTCTGCAGCGTTGCAAAAGCATTCACGAGAATGACTACACAACGATGGGTCGCCAAAAAAGGTAGACGAAATGGCCAAGCAAGGCTCATCAATGCCATTCATAGGCCCAGAACTGTTCTGCGGCGTTGCAAAAGCAGTCACGAGAATGATTACGCAACGATGAATCGCCAAAAAAGGTAGACGAAATGGCCAAACAAGGCTCATCAATGCCATTCATAGGCCCAGAACTGTTCTGCAGCGTTGCAAAAGCAGTCACGAGAATGACTACGCAACGATGGGTCGCCAAAAAAGGTAGACGAAATGGCCAAGCAAGGCTCACCAATGCCATTCATAGGCCCAGAACTGTTCTGCAGCGTTGCAAAAGCAGTCACGAGAATGACTACGCAACGATGGGTCGCCAAAAAAGGTATACGAAATGGCCAAGCAAGGCTCATCAATGCCATTCATAGGCCCAGAACTGTTCTGCAGCGTTGCAAAAGCAGTCACGAGAATGACTACGCAACGATGAGTCGCCAAAAAAGGTAGACGAAATGGCCAAGCAAGGCTCATCAATGCCATTCATAGGCCCAGAACTGTTCTGCAGCGTTGCAAAAGCAGTCACGAGTATGACTACGCAACGATGGGTCGCCAAAAAAGGTAGACGAAATGGCCAAGCAAGGCTCATCAATGCCATTCATAGGCTCAGAACTGTTCTGCAGCGTTGCAAAAGCAGTCACGAGAATGACTACGCAACGAAGGGTCGCCAAAAAAGGTAGACGAAATGGCCAAGCAAGGCTCATCAATGCCATTCATAGGCCCAGAACTGTTCTGCGGCGTTGCAAAAGCTGTCACGAGAATGACTACGGAACGATGGGTCGCCAACAGAGGCAACAAATCTGTAGAATAGTGGAGAAACTCACCAGGACAGGCGAAAAGTTCAAAGTAGAACATTGGCCAAAATTCACGACGGACCTGATAAGCAAAGATAGAAAGACAGTCATAGCTGTAGTGGGTCTACTAACAGGGTATTGTAAGCTGAATACGCATCTAAAGCTAATGGGATTGACGGAAATGTTAGTTCTAATAATCCAGGTGCTAGTTCTGTCAATTTAAAAGAAGAAACGACCGAAAACATTTTATATCGGTGCGACAGCCTGGCAAATGTGCGGTTCTCGGTAATAGGCAACGATAGGCTATTGCCAGAGATCTATATACACGGAGGGTTCAGTCTCTAGTCTCTAAGTTGCTAGACTTTGTGAAAAGGATAGGACTAGGGAATATTATCTAAGGAATCAGAGTACTTTCAGCATTACGATAAATATATTGACTTTAACTAAAAAAAATCTAGTACACAGTCAGGTCTCTTATTTACAATTTATGGAGCATAAAATTACTTAGAAATTATTAGAAATTAATTTATTCTTCTTTTTATTGAAGCTTTTATTATTTTTTCATTTTAATATTATAAAATTTCTACAGGTGTTCTGGATTCCATAATACGTGACTGCTCTTGTTCCAATAGAATTATGTTACGTCAAAATCAACCTATAGAGATTATAAAAGCATCCGTTTATATTTTGTTTCTATTAAAAGGAAAATAGTCAGATTAGTTCATAAAATTACAAAATATATATTACGGTATTTTATTATTTTCTCACTGATTTCCTCACAAGAAATCGATCCTTTTGTAATCTTGAGTTTACCGTTTTTTTTTATTAAACTTGAGCTGGTATGTTCCCAAGGGTCTTTAAATATTTACAACTTTTCGATAGATAATTTAATGGATAAATGTTAGTTCTAATAATTTGCTTTTATAGTTGATTTTTTATTCTTTTGATTCGTTACTGTAATATAGATTACTAGGCCAAAATTATATTATAACTAGATTAATTTTGTTCTTTTCGCTTTCTTAACTTCAGAGCGTAGTAGATCTGCATTAATAACCGATTTGTTTTTTGGGTTTACATTTGATTACGATGAGTGGCTGTTTATTTCGGAAAAATCCGATTAATAAAAGCTCGATACGGTTAAATCGCGGTTTGAAATGGTTTGACATGATAGATCTATCTTAATATTGTGATGTTTTGAAAAGTTGTAATAGGGAATTTCTTTTTGACAAATAATACTATCAGGAAGATCCCAGATACAGATCGTAGGGTTGGAGGAACATTGGTGTCTACGATGTGTCTGAGTGTTTACATCTAAACCACGATATCTCAAAAACTAATCGTACGATTTCATATCCTGCTATAGGCTTGGCGCATTTCAGTTGATTTCAAAGAATTCCTACCGCAGCGCTGTATACAGCAGAAATCAGAAATGTTCACTATGTATATCACGCCGTCCCGGTAACAGTTCCTGTTGATCGCATATCGTGGCTTTGTGATAATACTTAGGTATTTTAGTTTTTTGCTAGTGCAGTTATTCAAACTATAAAACACTCAGGTACGAGGTTTGTGTGTTGTAACGCCGTTTCGGGTAGTAAAAAGTAAGTGAAAAAGAATCCGAACTAGGCCTCGTATTGTGTTGTAATAACTTCAAATGTTAATAAAATTGCCGAACAAATGTTAACGCGTAAAGGGGAGCGTAATTAGGGCGTTGTTGGGTGCAATAACATTCATTTACTTAACTTTCCGGGATATTCAACTCTCCCGAAACAAAGTGCTCGTTAGATAATCAAAAAATTAAATGGACATATACTATGAGAGGATAAAATATAATTTGTGCAATATTAATGGTATACTTTATTAATCAACTAGTGATTTAATGTTTTATGAACATCTTCTAAAATTATA